CCTGGGATGTGGGGGTGGGGAGGAGAGTCCACTCCCTGCACATCCTTTTCCCACACCAGAGCAAGCAAGAGTTAGACTTCCCGGGTTCCAGTCCCTCTTCCCATTTCCTTGACTCCCTGCACATCCTTTTCCCACACCAGAGCAAGCAAGAGTTAGACTTCCCGGGTTCCAGTCCCTCTTCCCATTTCCTTATGTGTATGGCTTTGAGTGAAGGCCTTCTCTCTGAGCCTCAGTTTCAGCATCTGTAAAACAGGAATAATGAATGCCATTTCTCAGGGTGGTTGCTGAGAGATGGTATGTAAAAGGCTTAGAAAAGTGTCTGTCCCAAAGCTGTTATCAATGCTGTTGCTATTTATTGCAGGTCTGTTATTACTGCAGGCTTCCACCCTATCACCAAGATCAGACCACCCTGCAGCAGCTGGGGGTGGAGTAAACCTTTCCCAAGGCATGCAGGGCTGGATAGGTCCCTACATGCGTAGAAGAAACACCTGCATGCCCTGGTGTCCCCCTCACCCAGCTCTGGAAGTCCCCACTGCTGTCTGACCTGTGGTGCCTCTATCTGCAGTATGTGCATGAGGGAGGTGTGGAGGACCTGGTGAGGCCCCTGCTGGCCATCCTGGACAGGCCCGAGAAGCTGCTGCTGCTGCGGGACATCAGGTGGGAGGAGGTTGCAGAGAGGGCTTGGGGGCAGGAAGGGGATCCCTGGTACCACCCCCAACCTCCCAGGGGCTGAAGGGCATCCTGGCACCTCTAGAACTGACACCCTGCCTGCCCCTCCCACCCCTGCTGTCTCTCACCCTCTCCCAGGAGTGTGGTGGCCCCCACAGACCTGGGCCGCTTTGACAGCATGGTGATGCCTGTGGAGCTGGAGGCTTTTGAGGCCCTCAAGAGCAGAGCAGGTCAGCAGTGGGAGGCGGGACTTCTGGGTCCCAGCCCTGCTGGGGATGGGGATGGGGATGGGACCCTGTGGTGGAGAGGGCTGCAGAGATTGCCGAGCCCCTTGAGCTGTGTCCCTCTGGGAGCCTGGCGGGGTGCCTTGCCTCTGACCTGTTCATCTTTCCAACCAGTCCGGCCTCCTGCTTTGAGACCAGCCCGGCAGGACACACCGCCCAAGCGTCACCTTATCACCCCCGTGCCTGGTCAGTCAGATCCCAGAGCCCAGGGAGGGGCACAACCCTGGGGAGATTAGGGAAAGGAGGATGGGCCTTCTACTTCTTTCCCCACGGGGAGGCAGTTGTGGCTTCCAGGCACATTGCAGTCCCCTGAAGGAAAGCTCTTGTCCACCAGAGCCATTTTATCACATCCGCTGGTCACCACCTGTACTATTATTTACTTAATAGTTGGTTTGAAACCTGCTCACTTTTAAAATCTAGTCTCATTCTATGCAGTAATCTCTGAGAAATTACATTTGATGTGCTAGTCGTCTTTTTTCTTAGATACATTAAAATAGAATTGTAATGATTCCAACAGGAAGTATTAAAATGCAATTCTAGGCCGGAAGCGGTGGCTCATGCCTGTAATCCCAGCACTTTGGGAGGCTGAGGCGGGTGGATCGCTTGAGGTCAGGGGTAGAGACCAACCTGGCCAACATGGCGAAACCCCATCTCTACTAAAAATACAAAAATGAGCTGGGCTTGATGGCGCACGCCTATAATCCCAGCTACTCGGGGAGACTGAGGCAGCAGAATCGCTTGAACCTGGGAGGTGGAGGTTGCAGTGAGCCAAAATTGCGCCACCGCACTCCAGCCTGGGCGACAGAGTGCGATTCCATCTCAAAAAAAAAAAAAAAAAAAAAAAAGCGAGTCTAATAGAACATGTTTGTCCGCCTACCTCATGGGTGGGCCGCACTGCACTGGTTCCTGAACAAACTCGGGCCTGGCTCTCACAGGCCCCACACAAACCAAAGCAAGGCCTGGGTCCTGGAGAGGTGGTCCAAGCTGGGAGGGGAGGAGTGGGCAGCTGACCTTGGCGCTCTTCCCCAGACAGCCGCGGAGGCTTCTACCTGCTGCCGGTGAACGGCTTCCCGGAAGAGGAAGATGATGGGGAGCTGAGGGAGCGGCTGGGGGGCCTCAAGGTCTCCCCGAGTGCCTCTGCCCCTCGCCACCCTCATAAAGGGATCCCCCCTCTCCAAGACGTGCCAGTAGATGCCTTCACCCCCCGCCGAAGTGCCTGCACACCCCCTCCCCAGCCACCCCCTGTGGCTCCCCGGCCCCCGCGGCCTAACTGGCTGCTGACAGAACCCCTGAGCCGAGAGCACCCTCCACATGGCCAGGTCCGGGGCCAGGCTCAGAGCCGCAGCCGCAGCCGCAGCCGCAGCCGCAGCAGCCGGGGTCAAGGCAAGTCTCCGGGTAGACGCTCCCCGTCCCCTGCGCCTACCCCTGCCCCCAGCATGGCCAATGGGCGCTACCACAAGCCTCGGAAGGCCAGGCCCCCTCTACCACGATCTCTGGATGGGGAGGCAGCCAAGGTGGGGGCCAAGCAAGGGCCCTCGGAGAATGGAACTGAGGGGACGGCCGAGGAGGCAGCCATGAAGACCCCCAGTGGCGAGCTGAAGACAGTGACACTGTCCAAGATGAAGCAGTCCTTAGGTGAGTCCAGGTGGGACTGGGCCTGGCAGGGGACACTAGGAAGCCTGGGCCCAGGAAAAGAATATGGGGTATTGAGCCAGGCGCGGTGGCTCACGCCTGTAATCCCAGCACTTTGGGAGGCCGAGGCTGGTGGATCACTTGAGGTCAGGAGTTCAAGACTAGCCTGGGCTACATGGTGAAACCCCGTTTCCACTAAAAATACAAAAGAATTAGCTGGGCGTGGTGGTGGGCGCCTGTAATCCCAGCTACTCAGAAGGCTGAGCAGGAGAATCACTTGAACCCGGGAGGCAGAGGTCGCCCTGAACCCAACTGAGATTGCGCCTCTGCACTCCAGCCTGGGCGACAGAGTAAGACTCTGTCTTGGCCAGGCGCGGTGGCTTACACCTGTAATCCCAGCACTTCGGGAGGTCAAGGAGGGCGGATCACCTGAGGTCAGGAGTTCCAGACCAGCCTGACCAACATGGAGAAACCCCGTCTCTACTAAAAGTACAAAATTAGCCGGGCATGGTGGCACATGCCTGTAATCCCAGCTACTCGGGAGGCTGAGGCAGGATAATCGCTTGAACCTGGGAGGTGGAGGTTGCGGTGAGCTGAGACTGTGCCATTGCACTCCAGCCTGGGCAACAAGAGCGAAACTCCGTCTCCAAAAAAAAAAAAAAAAAGGCTGTCTCAAAAAATAAATAAAAGGGAATCTGGGGTATTGGGGTGTATCTGGGTGGGGTCTAGATTTGAGGGGCTAGGCTCTGGAGGATTTTGGAATGAATTGAGATTTGAGTAGTAACAGAATGTAGGGATGTGAGAGAAGTTGGGGCCTTGGGTTTGGGGATGGGATTCTAGGTTTCTCCAGGGAGCTTGCATTTTGGGGTCCGGCTGCACTCTCACAGTGTTTCTCCCCATCACTAGGCATCAGCATTTCTGGGGGCATTGAGTCCAAGGTGCAGCCCATGGTGAAGATAGAGAAGATCTTCCCTGGGGGGGCCGCCTTCCTCAGTGGGGCCCTGCAGGTGGGTGAAGCATGCCCAGGCCCACCCTAACAGCCCACAGCTGAAACCAGGCAGGAGATGGGCTGGCCATGCTCAGCTTCCAGCCAGACATGTTTAGCCCAGGTTGTGGGCGGAGGCTTGGGGTGAGGGGGTTCAGATGAGCAGGATGAGCAGGCCCAGGGAAAACTCTGTCCCCTCATGCTAGCCTGAGCCTGAGCCCCAAGGGACAAAGAGCCCTTGTCTGTGCCCCACCCTGCCCCCAACGACTCCAGGCACAAAAGTCTCATTGTCCATCCCCTCCACCCAGATGGGGGAGGAGTGTCCTCGTGGGTGGAGGTGAGAAGATGCTGCCTTCAGGTTGGGGGCTGGTGCAGGGTGACATGGGGAGGGAGGGATGTGACTCTCTCATTCCATCCTAGGCTGGTTTCGAGCTTGTGGCAGTGGACGGAGAGAGTCTGGAGCAGGTGACCCACCAGCGTGCAGTAGACACTATCCGTCGGGCTTATCGAAACAAGGCCCGGGAGCCCATGGAGCTTGTGGTCAGGGTCCCCAGGCCCAGCCCACGGCCCTCACTCTCTGACTCATCAGCCCTTACTGATGAGGGCCTTCCTGCTGACCACTCGCCTGCCCACCAACCCCTTGATGCTGTTCCAGTTCCTGCCCACTAGCTCCTAGAACCTCCCACCAATCCCCAGACTCCTCCCACCGATGCCAGGCTCCTCCAGCCAACTCCCAGCCCAGCCCCCTCCCCAGCCCTCCAGACTCCTGATTCTAAGCCTACACCCTCCCCACACATCCCATGACCCTTCCCCTAACCTCAGATTCCCCCACTGACTCCAACATCCCATTATCCCCAGGATCTCTTCTACCAACTTCCTCAGGACTCTCCGGCTCCTGCCTGCCCACCCTTCCTCCTCCCAGTGCCACACTGGTGGCTCACATCTTTCCACTTTCTTCCTTCCTCAGCTGTCACTAAGGCTCTGCCTTAGTGTCCAAGGACAAGGTGCTAGTGGGCAGCCTGTGTCACCCGCACTCACGACTCCCCTATCTCCCAAGCCAGGAAAGGGGGTAAGAAACCCAAGGTCTGGACCTTGGGATTGGTGGGCACTTTCTCACACGCCGCCTCTTACTTTGTAAGTCATCCAAGCCTCCAGGGACACAGGCTGTCAGACAGGGCCCTCAAGGGGTCAACGTATCCATTCCTCAGCCCCAAGCAGCATTCTGTGCAAGGAAAAGGATTAAAGGCTTTTCTAGTCCCTGAAATCCTGAGAGACCATTTCATGTTGGGGTCCATTAAGACCTCAGACATTCTACTGGATTTGTCCTTCCTCCATCACCTTTTCTCCCCAAGAGAGCTCGGGGGATAGCCAGCAAATAGAGGGGGTGTGGGTCAAACAAGTTCCTATACTCTTTATCCAGCGCATTCACATTATTTTTAAACAAAAAAAATTTTTTTTAATTTTTTCTTTGGGTTTGTACAAGAAATTTACAGTGTGAAAAATATACAAGTGAAAACGAGGCCATAAACCTGGGTGAAGGGAGAGGCTGCTTGGTCACAAACACAAATAAACAAGACATTTCTGAGTTCTTCCTTTGGTCTGACTTCAGCCCCCTCCCTCCAGGAGAGAGGCTGCAGAGCTCGAACCTGGGAACCGAGCCCAGGCCCGGCCCTGTCCCCCAATGTGGGCAGGCACATCTGGAGCAGCTGGTGCCATCTGGCTTTCTCTGGCTTTGGGGTCAGGGGGAATGTGGAGAGGAGGGAGCCCCTTCTTCCTCCCAGCTCCCCTGGCTGGAGTGGGCTGGAAGCGCCTGTGAACAGGGTTGGCAGTGGCACTGGCAGCGATGGGGAATGAAGTGGGTAGTGACAGGAGCCTCTGGGTGACAGTGAACACGGGGACCTTCGAGCGGTCTGATCTTGCTCCTCCAAGTCAAAGGACCATCCCAAGTTCCTGGCAGAATCCCAGAGGCCTGGATCCTAGGAGACAAGTGGCTTTGGGGCCCTCAGCTTTTGGGGTCATCCGTGGGCCCTGGGGCCTAAGTGGATCTGCAGCTGCTGCCCCTCTGGGAGAGCTCCCTGCAGAGCTGGGTGCCGAGGGCCCTAGATCTCAGTAGCAGTGATCTCCTCCAGGCAGATGCAGGGGGCCTGCTCAGCCAGGCCCAGCTCCGCAAGCTCCCGGGCCTCCAGCTCCAGGCTGAGCTGCTGCAGCTCCTGCTCTAGCTGCCGGTTGCGCCGGTACATCTGGATGTAGTTGTGCTGCAGCTGCTTCTGGTAGCGGATCACCTGCTCCTTCTCTGCCTGCCAGGCCAGCCGCTCCCCTTCAAAGCTGTCCCGCTGCTCCTCACCCCGCCGCCGCTCCCGCTGCAGCTCCACCCGCAATCGCTCCACCTGGGCCCGCAAGCTGCCCCCAACCCCGGCTGCTGCCCGCTGCACTTTGGCCTCATCACTCTCTGCCAGGAGGAATGGGTCAGCGGTGGCAGGTGGCACAGCGGGCTCCCGGAGTCCAGCCGCCTCAGCATCCAACTGCCCAGCTTTCTCCCGCAGCCGCTCGGCTTCCTGGCGGTGTCGCTGCAGCTCCTGGGAACAGGCTTCCAGCTCCAGCTCCCGAGCTCGGGCGGCCTCCTGTAGACCCCGCGCACGGCCCTCACTGACCCGCAGGGTAGCACGGGCCTCCCGCAGTGCCACCCGCAGGGCCACCAGCTCGCTGCCCTTCTGCACCAGCTCTGCCTGAGACTCCTTCAGCTGCTGCTTCAGCAGGGAGATCTCGCCTGATTTCTGGCACACCTGGGGGTGGGAGGCAGTGGGGAAGGATGGTGAGACAGGTTCTCCTGGGGGGACAGGCCCTGTGCATCATGCTGGGCATTCGGGAGGAGAGTCCATCTTTATCCCCATTTTATAGATGGAGACACTGAGGCAAGTCTAGTGACATGTCCAAGGTCATAGAGTGAAGATGTGGCTTAAGTGGAAAGCAGACATAGATTTTTTTGCTTCAAAGTTGGTGTCTTCAAAGCATCACGAGACACTGTGGAAGTACCACCGAGCCCTGGGGACTGGGTGCTGGCAGGTGCTGCAGGAGTGGGGGCAATGGAGGGCAGTACCCAGGTGTCTACTGGAGAGGTACTACAGTGACTTGGTTAAGAGCTCAGATATTGGAGCCAGACTGCCTGGGTTCAGATTTGGCACTCCAGTCTTTCTGGGCCTCAGTTTACTCATCTCTAAAATGGGGAGACTAGTGGTAGCCCCCTCAGTGTTGTTATAAGGATGAAATGATCTGTCCCATGTAACATGCTTAGAAGAGTGCCTCCACACCACAAACACCACATTCTTACTACTGGCTGGAGCTTGGCTTTGTGCCACTAGACAAGGCCAACAAGGAGACCCTCCTCCCAGAAAGGAACAGAGGAGAACTTCATCTCACGGAGGTGAGGAAGGGGAGGACCTCTGGGGGTGGCAGGCTGAGGGAGGGTGCGGCTGGGCCCCTTTTTCCAGGGTTTCTCCCTGTGTGACCCTGCTCCCTGCCCCTCCTGGTCTGGCCCACCTCCCACTTGGTCTCCTCAAGCCTTGGCCCGAGCTCCCGCTGCTCCCGCTCCAAGGTGGCGCAGCGCCGCTCCAGCTGTTCACGCTCCTGCAGCAGCTGTGCAAAGTCATCCTGCAATTGCCGCTTCTCCTGCTGCAGCTGGAACACCTGCAGCTGCAGCAGCTGTTGGGCCCGCTGTGCCCGCTGTGCCTGGGCTGCACAGTCCTCTCGCAGGGCCTCGCGCTCTCGCTGCCAGTGCCGCTGCCGCTCCTCGTATGCCTGCAGGCGAGAAGACAGACCCAGCTCCTGGGCAGTTTTCCCAACTCCCCACTCAGTGTCTGCCTGGCGGCCCACTTCTGAGGGCTCAGGAAGGGTGTATTCCATCAAACAACAATAGTAATTGCAACAATACTAACTGCTTTTATAATGATCATAGAAACAAACACAAGAGCAAGCAGACCGGGCTCGGTGCCTCACGCCTGTAATCCCAGCATCTTGGGAAGCCGAGGTGGGTGGATCACTTAAGCTCCGGAGTTCGAGACCAGCCTAGGCAACACAGCAAAACCTTGCCTCTCCAAAGAACAAAAATTAGCTTGGTGTGGTGGCGTGTGCCTGTAGTTTCAGCTACTTGGGAGGCTGGGGTGGGAGGACTGCTTGAGTCCAGGAGGTTGAGGCTACAAGGAGCCGAAATCGCGCCACTGCACTCTAGCCTGGGTGAGAGAATGAGACCCTGTCTCAAAAAAAAAAAAAAAGCACTTGGCCGGGTGCAGTGGCTCAGGCCTGTAATCCCAGCAGTTTGGGAGGCCGAGGCGGGTGCCTCACTTGAGGCTAGGGGTTCGAAACCAGCTTGGCCAACATGGTGGGAACCCCGTCTCTACTAAAAATTCAAAAAAAAAAAAAAAAAAAAAAAAAAAGCAAGCATTTATGTATAGCATTTCCTAGATACCAGGCATTAGTCTAAGCACTTTACACCTTTTGCCTTATTTAATCCTCATAACAATCCTATGAAGCTAGAAATATCCCTGTTATAGATGAAGAAATAGAGGCTGAATAAAGTTAAGCAACTTGCTCAAGTCCAAAAACTGGTATTTAGCAGTGGGAGGTTTGAATCCATGCACTCTGACTCCTTTCCACCCCACAAGTTTTGTTTTTTGTTTCTTGTTTTGAGATACAGTCTTGCTCTGTTACCCAAGGCTAGAGTGCAATGGCAAAATGTCAGCTCACTGTAACCTCCTCCTCCTGGGCTCAAGTGATCCTCCTACCTCAGCCTCCCAAATAGCTGGGACTACAGGTACATGCCACCACACTCAGCTAATTTATTTTTAGGAGAGATGGGGTTTCCCCATGTTGCCCAGGCTGGTCTCAAACTCCCGAGCTCAAGCAATCCGCCCACCTCGGCCTCCCAAAGTGCTGGGATTACAGATGTGAGCCACCACGTCTGGCTATTCCACAAATTAAACCAGACAACTGGTGGGGAGGGCAGGGGGGGTCACAACTACAACTACCCAACCCCTCTTCCCTGCTAAAATGGAAATGCCCCTTTCATTCCCCAGGCCTTGGGATGTCCTGCCATGCCCCTTCCCCATCATTGCCTCTGACCACACCTGGCACATGGTAGCCTCATTCTCGTCCAGACTGTCCCGCAGCTGCTGAAGCTCTGCCTCCCGCTCTTGGAGCTTTCCTTCCAGGACACAGTGCAGCAGGGCCTCGTCGGAAGGAGGTGGAGGCGGGGGTGGTGGTGAGCGCTCCCCACAGGAGCTGCTGTCAGGGGAGGCCCGGGTACCACTGCCCAAAAGCCCGGCAGCCACACGGCCCCCCAGGGAGCCTGTGCTCTTGCTGGAGGAGGACCGGCCACTGTCTGAGTGGGAGGGCCCAGTAGGGACCCCTCGGGCTGGCCCAGGCAGTGCCCCTCGCCCAGAGCCATGGGAAGGCAGGTGCCCGCCTGGGGAGCTGGTGGTTGGCTCGGCACCTCCGGTGCTGTAGGTGGGCAGGCTGGACAGTGAGTTTCGGCCAGAGTCGGATAGCGTCCCTGATGGGCAGCCACTGGCCCAGCCACTAAATGCCAGGGGTTTGTCAGCAGCTGAAGAGGAGGAGGAAGAAGAGGAGGAGGAGGCAGGGCCCCCAAACAGCTGTGTCAGGCTGCCCTGGCTCCCAGACAGCCCGGTGGCCCGAGGACCCATGAAGCTAGGCAGGGACGGAGCCCCTCGAGGTTTGGGCAGCACTGGCTTGAAGGCTGTTGGGCGGATCAGGATCTTCTCCATGTTCTGAAATGAGGTGCCATGTGACAGTGGAGATGAGCTGCCCAATCTTGCAGAACCCTTATGACACTCCCTGCCCTCCCATGTGGGGTCCCCAATGCCCATATATTCGTAACAATTGCGGCCACTGGTGGAGGTGGCCACCAGTGTCAGCTTTGTGTCAAGCAATCTGAAAGGTTTATCCCCATTATCTAAATATGATCACTATTCTCATATTACAGATGAGGAAATGGAGGCTCAGCAAGGTTAAAGGCCTTGACCAAAGCCAAACATATAACTGGTGCAGAAATAACCAGAACATAAGCAACTAGCACTTAACAACTGTATACATGCCACATGCTAGGCACTATGCTATACATTATTTGACCTTCACGTCAGTTCTAGAAACTGAGGCTCAGGTTAAGTGACTTCCCTGAGGTCACACATGCAGAATGAGAGAGAGCTGGGATTAGGACCCAGGTCTGGTGAATCTGGAGCCCACACTCTTTCCTCTATATAAGCTTCTAAATTCCAGTTTTCCAAGGGGGACTCCCGTTCTACCCAGGCCCACAAGGAAGAGCTGGTCCTCACCTTCTCCAGCTTTCCAGAGACAGGGATGAGCTTCGGTGGTGGGCCGCGGAGGTGGGCATTGTGTGCCCGCTGCTCTCGGGCATCCTCAACATCACTGCTTGGGCTAGGGGGTGACTCTGTCCGGAAGTCCTCATTGATGTAGGTGAAGCTGGTGACAGGGACAGCCTTCCTAGGAGGCACAGCTGGGCACAGCGGCTCCTGTGCCTCATAGCCACCCCGCAGCAGGCCATCCTGCTGGCGGAAGAAGGTGGGCCCAGGAGGGCCGTGGTGGCGGGGAGGAGCTGGACCCCCAGGACAGGGCCGGCCTGAGATAAGGCTGCTCACACTGCCCATGGCTGGAGCTTGTGGGGCAGTGGCAGCTTCAGGAGCAGGCTCCAGTGGCACTGGCAGAGTCTGCACAATGGCCATGGTGGCAAAGGCTCAGGCCTGGCCAGCGGCCTTGCAGGTGACCTGTAAGCAGGGCAGTGGTGTCAGAGTCCCTCCACCTAGAGACCCCTCCTGACCTACTGATCCTGACCAAACACCTCCTTGACATCAGTAACAAGCCTTGATCCCCACCGAGACTCCCCCTTCAAGTGCTGGAATGAACCTCAATTCCCCCTGGGCCCCAGACCACACTGTCCAATGCTGGTCTGAACAGGGCTGAGGATTGAATCCACTCAGCAGAGATGCTGAGAGGGATGGGAGGCGTGGGTGATTACTGCAGAGCCACTTGTCAGCAAAGACCCAGGCCTAAGCCCAATCCTGCATCCCACAGAGGCCAGGACTCAGGTGAGGGAGGGGCCTTCTCTACCAGCTTGAAGCACAGGTCCCTGGTCCTCTAAGTCAGGTGGGCAGTTTGGGCTGAGGTACCTCAGGGGTGCAATCAGCACCTCAGATGGTAATTAGGGAACGAAGAGCCAAAGTCAGTCAGTGCCCTGCCTCCCTCTGCTGGGCCTCAGTTTCTCCCAGTGAGGCAGCTAAACTGCCTCTGTGGATCCGGCTAAATAAGACAACTCCTAGCCTCTGCACACCCAATCAGTGAGGCCTAAAGGAACCTCCACAGGCTCTACCCCATTGCCAACCTCTCTGAAACCCTACAGCTTCAGAAGGTCCCCAGACTAACCCCGAGGGGAGGAAGGTAGAAGTCCCGCCTTCACCTCTAGTGGCTGCTCCAAAACCTCACTTCCACAGAACCCAGGCAAGATGGCTCCACCTCCCCAGGCCCTGCTCCTTCCTGGAAGCAGCTGCAAGCCTCCACCCGGAACCCCCTCCCTAGTCCCAGTCCCGAGGCCGCTGATGACCAGGACTTAGGCATCTGCTGAAGTCATCATGCAGAGCAGGGCCAAGAACTGGACAGAGAATTGCACTGGGAGTAGGAATGTGTGCATTTAGTTATTTGTTGTGTGACTACATGCACAGGAGCGTGGAAATGAACACGTGTATATGAAAATGTGCGTGAAAGCATCGTGAATGTGAGTCTACACATGTTTGATGTATCAGTACATTCACATACATGAGTTCATGTGTGAATTCACATGTGTATATCTTACAAGAGTATGTGGGTAAGGGGTCATTAGAAAGCCTGTGAAAGTTATAAATGCAGATCTAACAAGTGAGTTTGTGGTGTGTGGGAGAGATGGTGCCTGGACAGCTTTGTCAGTAAGTTCATGAGTTTATGTGTGATCTCCTATGTATGTGTGCGACTAGGAAGGTGAGTGCACCAGGGTGTGCAGAGGAACCTGTGAACGTGGGCACGCAGGTATGAGAGTGGTGGGAGCCTGGGTGGATTGAGGGCCCATTGGTGGGGGGAGCCTGTTTCCTTCCCTCTCTGCCATGTGGGGAGAGGTGGGACATTATCTAACTCCTTTGCCTGATCTGTTCCCCTTCTTTCTCGCATGCACTCCATTAAATCCACCGCCTTCCTTCCCACCCAAGTCAAAAGATACTGCGAACCAGGAAGAGGTGTCCAGGCTGGGGCAGGAGCTGCGGGGAGCTGGGGGAGGGGTAGGCCGGGCGCAGGGAGCGATCACAGGCCCCTCTGCAGGGTGGGGGCTCAGACCACCCCACACATCCCAGCGCCCAGCAGAGCAGATAGAAAAACCCTTCCCCTCCCCTCTCTGGGCCCACTCCAGGGCGTGGAGTGAACAGTGGGGAAAGGACTTCTTAGGGGGCCAAGGGCTGGCACCTCTGTTGCATTTCCCCACTTCAGCGAGCACGGAGAAAGTGAAAACTGAAGGAAGGAGACAGGCTCAGAGAAAGACAGGGACCCAAAAGAGACAAAGACTTGGAGAAGCCCGAGGGTCAGGCCGACAAGGAGACAGTCAGGCGTACCCAGTGAGCCAGGGCCCCCAACCCCACGGAGCCGAGGGCCCCTAAGTCCAAAGTGCCACAGAGCTGGGCCCTGAGAGCCACACGCCCAGGGAGCCAGAGCCAGGAGTCTGGAAAGCCAGGCCCAGCCAGCCCGGCTCCCGCTCTTGGAGAGAAGGAGGGGCAAGTGGAGGCTCCATTTTGAGAAATGCGTTTGTGGCTGTGGGAGATGGGAACCCCTCATTCTCCCCAGCACTCCCTGAGCAATCACTCTGGCCCAGGAGCACCCCCCTTTTAGCGGGCTGAGGGGAGCTGAGGGCTGGAGCTGGTTCAGGGCCGGCGAAGGATCTGGAGTTGGGGAAAGTCTCCCTGCCACCCAAACTCCAAGGACCAGTCAAGCGGGGTCAAGTCTGCGATCACGAGTTCCCATTCGGCGGCGGGAAGCCGGGAGCCCCCGATCCATCCTCCAGAACCCAGCCCCCCTTCCACAAAGTGGGGGCGTCTGGAGAACGCTGTCTCCCGGCTGGACTCCACCGCGCAGAAGTTGGGGACTCCCCAGGCCGCCTCCCAGACCCGGCCCCCCCTCACCTCCGCCGCGCTGCTCCATGCTCAGCCCTAGGCCGCCCCCAGCGCTCCACAGGCGCGCCGCCCGGCTCCGGCTCCGGCCCCGGCCCGCGTACCGCCACTCGGAGCCGCCCGGCCCGGCCCCGCCTCCGCGGCTCCCCCGGCCCTGGCCAGCCCCCGCCCAGTGCGAGTGGGCGGCGCCGCGCGGGGGAGGGTCCGAGGGGCGTCTCCGCCCCGGGACGCGGACACGCGCAGGGACACGCGCAGGCACCCGCGTCACGCGAATCGCCCGGGGCGCACGTAGGGGCTGCTCGGCGGCAGTCGGGAGCCCTGCCTCCGACGCCTTGTGACTGCGTGTCCGGCGGCTCGGTTCGGCTCGACGCGGCGGCGGCGGTGGTCACCCTCCGCCCCAGCCGGGGCCCCGGGGCCAGCGGCAGCTGGTCATTGTTCCAGCACAAAGGGCCACGGCACGGCGGCGGCCGCCCCTCCCCCTCCGCTTCTCCAAGCGAAGCTTCCTTGACACGCTCTCAGCCTCAGAGTCCCAAGCGAGAGAGGTCGACGACCGGCCGTCCCCCACTCTCCGGTGCCGGGGCCCCGCGCCCTAGCGCGAGTCGGAGGCCGAGGCTGTGTCCGCACCTGCCTCACCAGGGGCGGGTTGGAGGCGGCAACCTGGGCTTCGCAGAGGCGGCGCCACCTGGCGGCCCCCTCGGAGAACACACCCAGCCGCCCCCCACCACGCGGGCCCTGACCCACTCCCCGGTACGGTGCCCTTTTCCCCGCGAACCCAGGCCGGCCTCTGGCGCGGCCCCGTGCTCCCCAGCCTCCCCTCGGGACCGCTTGCTAAGACAGAGGTCATTTCTCGGAGAGAAGCGGCCCCTGGCTCCCCAACAATCACTGGGGCAAACCGGTCCAAGCCTACAGCCCAAACCTACAGGAGCCGCACGGCAGACAACATTCCACTTTCTCAAGGTCGCAAATATTCTCACCTTCTCGCACACAATACAGTCTCCCTAACACCCACGCGACCTTTCCCACATGCAGCCTCACCACGCAGCCACAAGCAGTCTCAGCTGTCACGTGGGTCCGCGTTCCTTCTTTCCATAATCTTCCAGTCCAACTCACACACAGACACGGTGTCACAGGCCTGTTGGGCACAGGCTTCCACAACAATCCGCAGTCCTTCGCACCCAGTCACTGTCTCAAATGCACTTAGTCTCCTAACCATCTTTCACGCATTGACAGCCTCTATTCACAGTCACTCACACAGACAACTTCTTACAGCCATGCTTCGCAAATATTCTACCGCACAGCCTTTCCCCTAGGGGTCTCGGTGACCCGGTCAGGTCAGCTGATGCCTGCATCCCTGGGCAAAGACAGCTTTTCTCCCCTAACCACCCCCTCCCCCGCAGGGCCAAGGCCTGCCAGAGCTCGCCCGGGCCCCAGGAAGGAGCATCCCCCCCTTCCAGGCCACAGCCCTGGCCGGCTCTCAGCTCTATTTTTAGCTCCATGGACAGGGTTGTTTTTCTTTCTTTTTCCCTGGAAAGGGAAACACAGCCCAGCCACCCTCAGACTCACCCCAGACCCTCAGCCTCACAAGAACAGACTGAGCCCCTCTCCCCAACAGAGCCCCCTCCTCTGGCCTTGCCCTGATCCCTGCCTCCTGGGGCACCGAGAACCTCCTCCCCTTTCTGGCAGCCTGCCCAGCTCAGGCGGCAGCTGGGCTCAGCGTGTGTGTAGGGGTAGGGGGTGGGGCGGGAAGAAGGCATCGAGCTACTGCCCACTCCCTCATTCCCTGGGGGCAGGGGCTCGTCCTCCTTTTTCTAGGGGTCTAGGCCCACTCTGGTATTGAGGGGGCGTTTACACTCATGCATTTTCTGCGGGGGAGGAGACTCCTACTCCGGCAAGGAGTGGAGGTGAGGGTAGGAAGGGGACCCGCAGGCGCTCAGGCAGCTGCTCTCTGGGCTGGCGGGAATAGGCGGGGGCAGCTGTCCACTGCCATCAAGGGCCTGTCTCCGAAACCTTCGGGGATGCAGATACCAAGAATGTGCTGGGGGAAGGACGTACAGGAGCCCAGGTTAACCCCAGCCCTGCCCAGCAGCCCGGCCCTCCTGCTCCGCCCCGGCTCCAGGGGGCGCTGTGCTCCGGTTCCTGGGAGAGGGCTTATCCCGGCTCCAGGAGGAGAATGGAACGCCCTCCGGCCTGGAACCAAGCAAACGCGCCTCGTGGTGGGGTTGGGGGCACAGGCCACTGGTGTGCGGAGCTGTCACGTGCCCGGCGCCTGTTTACGTCTTCGTCTTCACCTGTGGGCGGCCAGGAAGCAGGAACCTCTGGGTGCGTCCCACCCGGCCCGCCCCCGTCGGCGGTCACGGGGCTGCCCCTTTCCCGCACCCAATGCGCGACCGCAGAGTGCCCTGCCCGCTGTGGGTCCGCGCGGGCTGATTGGCGCTGTCCCTGGGAGTGCAAGGGTAGAAAACTGGGCGCGTCCTTTCCGACTGCATGTGTGTTCGCGTGTCCCAAGTGCGGGCGTGGGTCTGTGCACGCGTGTTTGGGGCCCGTCGGCGTGCGTTTTCGTGTCGCTTCCCTGTTTGGACTCTTCGCGGGCGACCCACCAAGTGCGGACCCCCCTCCTCACTCCACCCCTAGCTTCCCCAGAAGCGGAAAGTTCGTTCAGGAGCGGGGATGTGAGGGAAGCAGGAGTTCCTGCACCTCCGCGGCCCCACCACTCACCCAGCGCCACCTGCGCCTCGGCTCCAGCTCTGGCCCCGCTCCTGCTCCAGCGCGCCCACCTCCTCGCCGCGACAACGCCGCCTCCCTAGCCCGCTCCGAACTCTGGGCTCCGAACTCCGGGCTCCGGGTTCCGGGCTCCCGGCTCCCGGCTCCGGGCGCCCGCCTGGCCTGACCTGGTGGGGCGGGGCGGGGCGGCTCAGGCCGCGCCCCCCACCCAGGGAGGGGAGGGGTCTGTCCCGCACTCCACCAACAGCCTACCCAGTTCCCAGCCCCACAGGGACTCGACGGTGGCCGAGGCTGCCCCTCTGGCCTTCGCCTTCACAGTTTACTGGATTTGGTTTTTGACGTGGGGAAGGGGGCGAGCATCTCGTGACCGATAATTCGACTACCTGGCTGCCTTAAACTAAGCTGCCCTATAGAACTTGACTCTGCCACCCTCCCTGCTCCGTTGGGAGCCCAACCCGGTCCACTCTTGACCCAATCCCCAAATATAGGGAAAACCCCTGGGAATCAGACAAAGGAGGCTCGAGTTTCACCAGAGCAGCTCCCACCTGCCCCCACCATGCACACACCTCAGCGTGGGGCTGCCCAAGCAGAACCAGCACAGCCCCCTCCCTAGAGTAGGTGTCTGCCCAGGTGAGCAGGCCTGCCGGTTCTGACCCCCCACGGGGCATGACTGGGCTTCTCTTAGACTCATAAAATCCTACCCACAGGCACAAACAGGAAGTTGTCCTGTATTGCAGGGAGGCCCCAGGGGCTCCCACCCGCCATGGCACTCAAGGCAGCATGTGGGAAGGTCTTTAGGTATCTGGGCCATATGGGCTGCTGGAGACCTCGGTGAGTTGTTGTTTTTTGAGACGGAGTCCCGCTGTGTCGCCCTGGCTGGAATGCAGCGGGCGCGATCTTGGCTCATTGCAACTTCAGCTTCCAAGGTTCAAGTAATTCTCCTGCCTCAGCCTCCAGAGCAGCTGGGACTAGAGGCATGTGCCACCACGCCACTAAAAATACAAAATACACTAATTTTTGTATTTTTAGTAGAGACGGGGTTTCACCATATTGGCCAGGCTGGTCTCGAACTCCTGACCTCGTGATCCACCCACCTCGGCCTCCAAAAGTGCTGGGATTACAGGTGTGAGCCACCACACCCGGCCGAGCTGTTTATTATTAAACCCATCCACAGCAGAGAGGAAGCTGCTGGAGGACCAAAGCTGCCCCCTCATAGCCAAGTGTGACATACACTATCAGTTAGAGGACAAGGCTGTAGATCCAACTGGACCTGGCTTAGCCAGGCCTTTCCTGAGTTCTCGGGGAAATGTTTTTGAATTTTTTTTTTTCTTCCCAATCCACTGAACCTGTGAGTCAGGGAGATTCTTAACATCCAGTTGGGTGTAGGCAGACCAGTCCTATCCCAGGGAATCTGCACAGGCCCTAGGGACCCCCCACTGCTTTCTAGAATCCAGGGATCTGAACAGGCTGGGCCCGATCATGATGTGGGTGTTTAAGGCAGGTATGGAGTAGAATGTGTTTGTGCAGGGGGTGGGGCTGGGGAGAGTATTAGCTTCCCCTCCACCTCATCCTTCTGGTTTGTGCTGTGTGGGGATGTCTACTAGAAGGGTGGGGCAAGACAAACAGACAAGTCTGTATCCCTCTATCCCCAGTTCACAGAGACCTCACAAAGGTCCCCTACTGGAAACCCCTAAAGGATCTCCTGGGAACCCACCAGGCATTCTAGGGAGACAGGAACGTGGAACCCACATCCTTACAGGTAGGACTGATCTGGTATTGTGCCTCTGGAAGGCATGGCTGCTGTTCAGTGTTACAGACTCTGGATGAAGCCTAGACCAGTCAACGGCTGGGAATGATTACTGCGGGATTAGGGAAGCCTGGCTCCAGCCAGTCTGGGAGAGACCCCCAAGAAGGGAGGCCCTGGAGGAGCTCTCCCCACCCCCCAGGTTCTTCCTCACAGAGAGCAGCTTTCCAGCAGCCTTGCTCTGGATGTTTCAGGAGACATTTGTGGCCAGAGTTCTCACACTGCAGAGACCACAGACCCCTCCACCAGTCCCAGAAGCCCCTTTATAAGTTGAAAGGAACAGCCTGACAAAGCAGCTCTGCATCCAAAGGGAGCAGGAAACCTTCCCCCAACCCTTACAAAAGGATTCTCCCCAGCCCCCTCAGAACATCTTGCATTCTCACGACTCTTTTAGGGAAATCCAAAGGGAAACTAGGACTTTTGGATATCAGAGGACAAGAGATGAGGTGTCATCATTTAGGAATACTTTTGACAGTCCCTCTGGATCACCTATTTTACAGTCTCCTCCAGGGTTTGTTAAAAATGAGGATTACTGTAGCCCTCGTCAGATCTCCAGAATGAGAACCGTATGTGGTGGAGGATGGGGGGAGAATGGGCCCTGGGTTCTGCATTTTTCACAAGTCCCCAGGAGTTCTGGCACATATCAACATATGAGAAACATGGAAAGGGTACAGGAGGGAGAAGGATGGGGGGTGGACAGAATATGTTGAGTCCACTTGAGAGATGAGTGGCTCACATCACAGAGGAATGGCCAGTCAGGCAGGGCCTAGGCATGTGGCCCAGTGATTGAGTACCTGTGCCAGTAATCACTCAAGATCCTCAGGGAAGTTAGCTATGAGAACAGACCATTTTGTCTTCCCTAGGTCAAGAGGAGATGTAAAGGGGAGGTAGGGGGTGAAGGCCCTTTAATGTCCCTGCTTCCTTGGGAGCCCACTGCTCAAAGGATGCAAACGGTGGGAGGGACCCGTCCATTCCCAATCCCCAGAGGGAAATACAGCTACGGACTGGGGAGACACCTGGTGGATGAATAAGAAAAAGCACAGAAACAAAGGCAATGGAAAAATTTTTTAGTAAAACTGGAAAAGGCTCTACAAAATGTCTTAATTCCAGCTGTCTTGAGGCAGCACACAATAGCATCAGTGTCTAGGTGGCAGGCACTCCGGGCTGACAGGTTCCTCCCATGGCTCTATGGCCAAGCAACCCAGCCCGAGGCAGCTCCCACCCGTGAGGCCCTGATGTTGCAGGCCTAAGCACCTAGGATCCAATTCTAGTACATGCCACCTCATGCCAGGCTCTACAAAGTGGAGAGCAGAGGGGCTTGGTACCCACTGTATCGCCCTTTGACTCTGAAAGCCTAGGCTGGAGTTTTGCATGAAGTCCCCGACTCTCCTGAAGATTCAGGGGGCCTGACCTTACTGCCTTGAATCTGACCTGCTCATTCCTACCTCAGGGCTTGGATTTCCTTTTCTCTGCCTGGGTCCCCTTCTCCGGATGTTCACAGGGCGCTCTCTTTCTAGTTGTTTAGGCCCCAGCTCACACGCCCTCGGCTTAGTCACCTTTTCAGACCACTTATCTACACTAGCCTGCCAGCAGTCTATCTATCGCATTTATATTTTCTTTACAGCATTCTTCACTAACTAAAACTAGGTTTTCTGCTTATTTGTTCATTGCTTGCTTGTCTCTTCCACCAGAATGCATGGGGGCAGAGACCTTTCTCTCTTTTCAGTGCTGTATATACAGGACCTCAAAGAAAGCCTGAGAAGCACAGTAGTTTCTCAGTAGTCTGCTACATTGAATTTTCTCACTATAGAAACCAGCTCTAGGTTAGGCCCCTCAGACTGAGAAGGGCACACAGCTCAGGACCACAGGATAGAGGAGCCCTCAGAGTTTTATGCTCCAGCCTGTCCTATCAGGCTCATTTCAGTGAGCAGCTCTGCACGGCCTTCACTTTGAACGCTTGGAGGTGTCTGGCTGTTTGGGAGTGGGGACCTGGCCTGAGCAAATCTCAGAGTTCTGTGGCGTAGCCCCCTTTTTGCCAGAAGAGGGCTTTTTGGCCACCGATCCAGTGTCATCCTTGATCTTCTTGAGCCGGGCCTTGTTCTTTGGTGGAATGGAGAAGGTGAGGGAGTTCTTGTTGAACTCAAGTGGGAAGACACCTACATCTCCATCAAAGCGGTTCTTGGACACCTGCAGATACCGTTTCCCTGGTCCAGTTACCAGCTTCCTGTCCTGCAGGATCAGAACATTGTCTGCTTCCTGGCTTGCCTGGGGAACAGAGGGGCAGAAGGAGGAAAGCAGGAGTAAGAAAACATGAGCAAAGCAGAAAGGAAGGCTGACAGGGCAGGGAGAAGTGATTAACAATGGGGAGAGGGGCTGGTCACAGTGGCTCACGCCTGTAATCCCAACACTTTGGGAGGCCGAGGTGGGCAGATCACGATTTCAGGAGATCGAGACCATCCTGGCTAACACGGTGAAACCCCATCTCTACTAAAAATACAAAAAATTAGCCGGGTGTGGTGGCGCACGCCTGTAGTCCCAGCTACTCGGGAGGCTGAGGCAGAAGAATCACTTGAATCCAGGAGGCGGAGGTTGCAGGGAGCCAAGATTGTGACACTGCACTCTAGCCTGGGCAACAGAGTGAGACTCCGTCTCAAAAAAAAAAAAAAAAAGAATGGGAGAGGGAAAGGGAAAAGTACTTCCCCCCATGACCAAAGCTCTTTGAACTACTGACCACAATGCTGGGGCCACTCAAATCTTTCACTTCCCTGACAAGCTTGCTGCTGTTTCAGACGCTGCCCGTGCTGTTCCCACTCCTTCTCCACAGCGGGCCACCCAACTCAGCCTCAGCTTCTTCTCATTTAGGTCTCGGTCTAAATGTCACATCTCATGAAGGAGACCATTCTTTTTTCTTTTTTTTTTTTTTTTTTTTTTTTAAAGACAGAGTCTCAGCCAGGCGCAGTGGCTCACGCCTGTAATCCCAGCACTTTGGGAGGCAGAGGTGGGCAGATCACAAGGTCAGGAGATCAAGACCATCCTGGCTAACACGGTGAAACTCCATCTCTACTAAAAAATACAAAAAATTAGCCGGGCGTGGTGGCACGTGCCAGTAGTCTCAGCTACTTGGGAGGCTGACGCAGTAGACTTGCTTGAAACCGGAGCTTGCAGTGAGCCGAGATTGTGCCACTGCACTCCAGCCTAGGCGACAGAGTGAGACTCCATCTCAAAAAAAAAAGAAAAAAAAAAGACAAGGTCTCACTCTGCTGCCCAGGTTGGAGTGGAGTGCAGTGGCGTGAACACAGCTTACCGCAGCCTCAACCTCCCAGGCTCAAGCAATCCACCCACCTCAGCCTCCTGAGTAGCTGGGACCACAGGTGCATGCTACCATGCCCAGCTAATTTTCAAATATACACACACACACACACACACACACACACACACACACACGTGTGTGTGTGTGTGTATTTTGAGATGGAGTCTCACTCTGTCACCCAGGATGGAGTGCAGTGGTGCGATCTCCTCTCACTGCAAGCTCCGCCTCCTGGGTTCATGCCATTCTCCTGCCTCAGCCTCCCAAGTAGCTGGGACTACAGGTGCCCGCCACCACACCTGGCTAATTTTTTTTTTTTGTATTTTTAGTAGAGAAGGGGTTTCACCGTGTTAGCCAGGATGGTCTTAATCTCCTGACCTGGTGATCCACCCACCTTGGCCTCCCAAAGTGCTGGGATTACAAGCGTTGGCCACTGCGCCTGGCCAATTTTCAAATTTTTTTTTTTTTTTTTTGAGACGGAGTCTCGCTCTGTCGCCCAGGCTGGAGTGCAGTGGCCGGATCTCAGCTCACTGCAAGCTCTGCCTCCCGGGTTCGGGCCATTCTCCTGTCTCAGCCTCCTGAGTAGCTGGGACTACAGGCGCCCGCCACCTCGCCCGGCTAGTTTTTTGTATTTTTTAGTAGAGACGGGGTTTCACCGTGTTAGCCAGGATGGTCTCGATCTCCTGACCTAGTGATCCGCCCGTCTCGGCCTCCCAAAGTGCTGGGATTACAGGCTTGAGCTTACCACGCCCGGCCAATTTTCAAATATTTTTGTAGAGACAGGGTCTCACTACATTGCTCAGATTGCCAAACTCCTGGGCCCCAGCAATCCTCCTGCCTCAGCCTTCCAAAGTGTTGGGATTACAGACTGTACCCTGCCATTTTTCCACTTCTACATTACTCTCTTTCCCAGCTCCATGTTTGTTCCATCATGGCACATGATTTGTGCTCCTTGCTCTGAATTCCCTGTGCCCAGCCCAGGCCTCGTATGTAATAGGCATTCACTAGAAGCTTCAGGATTGGGCTGGTCCTGATGCCCAGAAGGCCCTCCCATTTACCTGATCATCTAATACTCATTGTCTACCAAACCTCAACCCAACCTTTGTTGTCACCTTCTCTGGGAAGTCTCCCAGATGTCCCAGGCTGACTCAGACACCTTTTCTCTTTGCTCTCCAAATACTTATGCTGCCTATCATAGCTCTTATCATACTGAATTGCAATCACTGTGTTACTGTTTCCCACAGGAGAGGATGTGAGCTCCTGGAGGGCAAGGAAAGGAAAGAACCAACTATGAGCGTCTGTATTTCCAGCACACATATTCCTCATGTCATGGCCCCAGAGACATTGCCTCCTGCCTGTTCCAGATGGACAGTCAAGATGATTAAGGCTGAATAAGGGCTGTCCCTGGTCACACCTACCCACTCTACTTTCCAAAGCTTGAGCTCCTCTAAAGGCCACTCACTTTGGCTGAGCCAAAAATGGATGCTGTCTGTAGTTCCTTGTCATCATCCTCTTTCCGGGGGTGAATGACCAGCGTCACATGGCAGTTATTGTCTGTCGCAAACTTCCGAAAGACCCCAACGATGTAGTCTTGAGCTGCGATCCTACCCCCATCCCAACAACACAAAGAGCTTATTAGACACAGAAGGACAAGAACATACACATACTCTTGATTCATTCACATCTCCCCACAAAATACCACAATCCACTCTACCTCCCTCTACCCAAGGACTCACACTCAGATCCCTGTCCATACATCCTGCTGCCATACCCCACACCTCCATATGATACACATGGGGGTGGTACGTGCCTGCACATATCTCAGAAAATAAGAGAGCACAGCGTGTGTGCCTAGAGGCCAGCTGCCTGAGAAGTATGTGTTGTATGTCCAAGCGGGCTCAAGCTAGACAAGAGAAGATGTCACCTGTCTGTGGACAGCTGCTCGTGACCCATCATGAACTGCAGGTTGTCGATGACCACATGACAAATGTCATAGATGTAGACTGCATGTTGCATTGTATCTATTACAGTCCTGGGAAGAGGAAAGGCAAGGAATTTGACAAGTTGTCTCTAGACCACCCCAGGCAGAGGAACTAGCATCCTGAAAACTCTCTTGGCTGCCTCCTCTGCCCTTCTATTATTATTATTATTTGAGACAGGGTCTTGCTCTGTAGCCCAGGCTGGAGTGCAGTGGTGTGATCACAGCTCACTGCAGCCCCAACTTACTAGGCTCAAGTGAGCCTCTTACTTTTTAGCCTTCTGAGTAGCTGGGACCACAGGCATATGCCACCACCATGCCCAGCCTAATTTTTATTTTTATTTTTATTTATTTATTTATTTTTTTTTGAGACAGAGTCTCGCTCTGTCGCCCAGGCTGGAGTGCAGTGGCCGGATCTCAGCTCACTGCAAGCTCCGCCTCCCGGGTTTACGCCATTCTCCTGCCTCAGCCTCCCGAGTAGCTGGGACTACAGGCGCCCACCACCTCGCCCGGCTAGTTTTTTGTATTTTAAGTAGAGACGGGGTCTCACCATGTTAGCCAGGATGGTCTCGATCTCCTGACCTTGTGATCCACCCGTCTCGGCCTCCCAAAGTGCTGGGATTACAGGCTTGAGCCACCGCGCCCAGCCTCCCAGCCTAATTTTTAAAAATTTTTTTATAGAGAGGGGGGTCTCCCTATATGGCCCAGGTTGGTCTCAAATTCCTGCGCTGAAGTGATCCTCCCAAAGTGCTGGGATTACAGGCATGAGCCACTGTGCCCAGCCCTGCCCTCATTCTTTGAAAAACTCCAAACCTAAGGAGATGGGGGAGTTCCTACTGGAGCTGGAAAAGGAACCAAAGGTTCCTGAGTGCTGGGATATGTCTGGGAAAGCAAGGTGGCTGGAGTCTGAGAGTCTCACCTGATGCTCTGCTGTCCATGGAAAGTCATGAAATAGAGGGGCAGGTCCTCAAAGCGGTCAGCCCAGTGATCGTATTTGTCCAATTGATCTTCCAGCCGCCCCTCGGCAAACTGTGTAAGCATGACCCGGGCTAGTCTCACATTACTGATCTCGAAGCTACCCCACAGTGTGTTCACCCCCTGGGAACACAAATCCAGGGCATACTCACTGATGAATGTCGTCTTTCCACTGCCTGTTGGCCCTGCAGTGGGGTGGAACAGACCTGGGTGAGGGAGGAAGTCCTACCCTTGAAACCAAGACATAGGTCAGGGCTTTAAAATTGTGGGGAGGGGGCAAACCTTCTTTTCAACACTGTCATGGCCCAAACCCACTTGCTTTTGTCACCTGATCTTCTGCCCCTTTACTCTAAGTAGTGATTTCTCAAAGGGTTACCTGTGAAGACCGTCAGTTCACCCTTTCGATGTCCCTTCAAGATACGATTGAGGTCTGGGAAGCGGCTCCAGCGGAGGCCAGCTACTTGCTCCACATTTGACAGTTCTCCTAGCACCTCCTCCCGAAGCTGCCGGAAAGACACGATGGACTTGTGCCAGGCAGGCAGCGCGGTACGAAGAATACGAGAAAGATTGAAGCCTCTGTTCAGGGCCTCCAGGGGACGGGGCTGCTGGTCTCCTGGCCGCACCAAGAAGCATCGTTTGGGGTTCAGTTTTCGTGCAAACAACTTGGCCGCTTCCCAGGACCGAAGGTCATCCCCCAACCAGAATACAATCCGCCGGAACTGTTCCAGGTAAGGGAGTAAGGAAGGGGGTAAACAGGTCGTTCCTCGGGGTAGAGTAAGGGTAGGCAGCCCCGTGGACTGGTTCAAGGCCAGGCTGTCAAGCTCACGACTGGTCAGTACCACCTCAGCATCTCTACGAGTAATCAGTGGTAATCCAAACAGATTGTGGTAGGCACTGGGTCGGGGAATAGTGGTTTCCTCATAGCTCACTCCATCCCCCTGGCATTTAGCCTCTAGTAGCTTCAGACCTCGTAATCCTGAGCCCCCAGGGGAGAACCAAGGGAAGACAAGACTGCGAGCAGGTCGCAGATATCGCACACTGAAACGCTTGAGTGTGTCATCTGTAACCTTGGTAAGGCCAAACATTGTATCAGCCAGCTGAACCTCTTCCTGATCAGGCAGCTCCCAGAGAGGTACTGCTCGGTTCCAGATCCTCCGGACCTCCTCGCTGTCCTCAAATTCTGGAGCCTTACTAAGCAGAAGACCCTCCTTGGCCCCATCCCCTCGCCCCTCCACGCTGGCCTGGAAGTCCTCCCAGCTCCCCTCTGCTAGGCTGGTCATGCAGAGAAAGCGGCCTGTGGTCTTGTCAATGAAGAGGCTGAAGGAAGTGGTAACACCAGTCTGGTCTTTGAGCTGCGAAGACTCTGCAAAGGGGCTCGGTGTCCGCAGGCAACTGTGGCCATCCTGGAAGGGGATCCCATGCCCCCGCAAATACTGGCGGATTTCGGTTGCAGTTACAGGCAACACTGGCATCTCCAAGGCTTGGAGAGTCTCCTTCCCGTATCTTCTGCGAGGAGGGCCTGGGGCCAAGTTTCGGGGCAGGCCCCTCCGACCCATCCACTCCCCACGCAGGGGTAGCAAGATACGGAGGGGGTACCCACCTCTGAGGCGGGCCCACATTCTTAGCCAAATGTAGGAAGTCACTACTTGAAATGCCTTAGGTGCCTGGTTAGCGTGCCTTCACTAGACCAGACTCTATGGATAACCCACGCAGCACTCTGCAGAGCTCACTCTAGGTGCCTTCTTTCTCTCCATGAATTTCTCCTCTTCAACCCCTCTACCCTGCTGCTTAACACATATGCCCATCTACACGACCCTTTCACGTCCACGTCCTTCTACAACGGCTCCCTCACTTCTATGGTCCGTTACAGTTTCTCTCCACCACCTCACCTCTATGACCCTCTACACAGTTCCTCACTGATACAGTTTCTCTGCATCATCTTCTCACCTCTACTGCCCCTCCACAGCATCTCCTCGTCGTCCTCATTTCTATAGCCACCTGCATCCTTTTTGTAGTCCCTTTGCCCTGGACCCCGACTAGAGACCCTCTTCCCCTGCTCCTTCCCCTCACTGGGACCTCAACACAGCGAGAGCACCCAGCACGACTCCCGCCAATCCTCGGGCCCAAAGGAATGCCTGTTTCTATCCTCCCCCGTGTCTTCACTCCGCTCTACTACTCCGAGCTCCGCCGCGCCGGTCCCCGGCCCCGGGTTACCACTCTTGTCTCTCCCACTTAGCCCGCAACGTGAGTCTCCAGCACACGCTGCTCGCCTTGACCTCGGAAGCAAAACTCCGGGAGCGGTCGTCCCGGAAGCGGAAGTCTCGAGGTTTAGTCCCGCCCACCCCCCTCGCCGCTTAGGCTCCGCGGCCTCCAAGCTGTAGCTATGACTGCGCGCGGGACTCCGAGCCGCTTCTTGGCCAGTGTTCTGCACAACGGACTGGGTCGCTACGTGCAGCAGCTACAGCGTCTGAGCTTCAGCGTCAGCCGCGACGGCGCCTCGTCTCGCGGCGCCAGGTGAGCCAAGGGAAGTGCGCGGGCGCGGGTCGGGGTGGGGGTGGGGGTCGGGGTAGGGGTGGCAACGACTCCCCGGGTAGGTCGCCCCCAGTCAGGGGTCATATTGCTCACTCTACCGGGTCTTTTAGGGAGTTCGTGGAGCGGGAGGTGATCGACTTCGCCCGACGGAACCCAGGGGTCGTAATATATGTGAACTCGCGTCCGTGCTGCGTGCCCAGAGTAGTGGCCGAATACCGTGAGTGGGGCCGGGCTCCGGCTGGAGGGCGGGATCGGGGGCTCGGCCCGCTAGCCTCCCTCTCTCCTGGTCGCACCGGCCAGCTTCCGCCCACTCACACCCACTCTCACTCCTCTTCTGCTAGTTAACGGGTCTGTGCGCGAGGAGAGCATCCACTGCAAGTCGGTCGAGGAGATCTCGACGCTGGTGCAGAAGCTGGCCAACCAGTCGGGTTTGGACGTGATCCGCATCCGCAAGCCCTTCCACACCGACAACCCTAGCATCCAGGGCCAATGGCACCCCTTCACCAACAAGCCGACCACTTTCCGCGAGCTATGCCCCCGAGAGGTTCAGGATCCTGCCCCAGCCCAGGTGCAAGCACAGTGAAGAGTTGCTCCACCCCAGGCTTTGGACTGTTTCTCCAGTAAAGGTGGTTCTTCCCCTTTGGGGTTCCAAGCCCAGGTAAATGGAACCCATCAATGGGCAAGTTGACAGAGGTTCTGCTTGGGATAAAGAAGAGCTGCCTGTTTCTTTCCAGTGCCTGCTTCTAGGGGCAGTGACCTTGTGAACCCCTAATTTTTATCAGTTAGCATCCCTAAAACCTGAGATGAGGAAGACTTAAGGGGTTTTACAGGGCCCTTGTTTTTTAAATCCAAATTGATAATGATCTCAAAACACAATGAGAGGTCTGAAGGCTAGCTTCTGAAGAATCCCTGATGTCTTATTGGTACAACCACTGAGCTGTGGAGAGCTCTGCTGTGATGGGCTAGGCACTTTATATCTGTGTGAATGTGTGTGTGTATAGATTTATAAAACTGAGGTTAATAAACTTATCCAAAGTCACATTTCAGGTCTGTCTTCAAAATGTGTGCATATGGTCAGCGCAAGCTTCAGTTTTCATTATTTTAAAACTAGACGCAGAACATATAACAACCATCAGGTGGTTAGCATTAAAGGCTAAGTGATTAATCTAGGCCTGACCCTTGAAAGGGAGAAGGGAGTTATTCCCTGGCCAACAAGCTTTCTGTGGTCTTAGCTATACATCTCCTTCCTCCCACGTTCCTCTTTGTGCAGAAATAAAATCCATGTCCCTTGAGCCAGCTGGTGGGGGGTGCTGAGAACCTTGGGGAAGGGCAGGAAGGCTGATTAATATTTTCCAGTCTTAGTTTAAAAAGGGGGGATGGTGGGGAAATGAGAGCCAGAAAATAAAAATCTAGAAATCCTCATAAGAATTCTTGAACCGTTGTCATTTTCTTGTCATGCCCTAACACCATGATCAATGAATAGTGTGAACCTTAATAAAGAGGCCTGCGTGCCTGCCAAGGAGTCTGGATGGAAGCAGAGGATCCCAGTTTCCTCTGCAAATAGTTGTATTAGGGAGCAGAGCCAACCCTGGAAGCAGACATCAATGCGGCAACTGTATAGGCTCAGGAGCCTGTCACCTGGTGATCAGGGCTGGGCCCATCTAGATGAAGCAGACTACGCATAGCTGTGGGGAAAGAGGGTGTTTATTAACCAACGGCAGGGGGAGGAGCTGAGCCCAGGCTCCCCACTCTGTCACATGCCTGTTCCACCCACCTGGTGGTAAGTGGGGGCATTCCTAAAGAAGTATAGCCATTCTCACAATAAATACATTCATTGTGGGGTGGAGGTGGGAGAGTTTGGGTGAAGGGCAGTAAAAACTCGTGGGATTCCACGTTCTCAGCTACAAAAATAACAGTCATCCTCACCCGAGGGGAATGGGGGAGCTCAGTCAGAATTGATTGTCCCATATAGGCCTAGAGACTTCAGAGGTCCCTGGACCCTGAAAGTGCCCCGGTGAGGTAGGACAGGGGTAGGAGCTAAGCATCCAAACTCCCAGCCACTGCCCTTTGCATAGTTCCAAGAACGGGCTTCATATGCCAATTGAGACATCAGATTTCTCCTCCCTTTCCCTGCTGTAGTCTAGGGGAAGCGAATGCTTGGTTCCCCCAAAAGAGAGGCTGGCTCATTGAGTGCAGTGTTGGTCATCCATTCTAAGGAAGGGCCTGTGAGGACAGCTAAACGGGAGGGGGATCTCCCTCTGAAATGTCCACGGACCAAACCCAACAGACACAGGTCCAAGGCAGCAAGGGGAGGCTCAGAGGTGCATGTGAGTGGAAATGTAAGCACATGTGTGATACAGGTGTGTGTGGCCACATGTACATGGGGATAGGACATGCCTGGAGCTCTGTCTCTGATACTCTTGAGAATGACCAAGGAGAGTGGGGAGGCTGATTCACAAGGGCCACACAGGAAGGGAGAGGAGGGGAGTGATGCAGTCTTACCTCCCCAGGCTGGCCCATTCCCAAGCTCTTGACAAAGAGGTCACCACATGGGGCTGGGGAAGAGGACCAGATAGGATGTGGCATTTGGGAGGGTACCCCAAGTCCAGAAGCAGGGATGAAACAAGAATGCACCAGGAGAAGGTGAGGGTAGGGGCACTGCAGCCCAGCCGATAAACATTCTTCCACGTGTGCATGTGAATGTACGCAGGGCTTAGGTGGCTGGCAGAGGTCTTGTCTGGTTTCAGGACCATCCAGCACACAGGGCCATGCAGAGGGTGGTGACATTGAGCCCATATGGACCTGCAGAGCCCTGCCTGGGAGAAAGAGAAAGGGTTTGGGCAGATGAATGGAACAGGAGGATGGAGTCCTCGCCTCTTAAGTGTTTAGGTTAGGGGATAGGAACTGGCTCTGGGTCTGCAGGGCACCTGATCCTGAGGGAGCACCTACCTCTGAGGAGCACCGATGGGCCTGGGCTGCTCACATGTGGGTCTGTGGAGACTGAGGAGGGGGCTTTGGCTGGGCCTGACTGGCCAGCCCTACAGGGACATCAAAAAGTTGGGAAAAGGGCATAGAGTGGGGGGAATGAAGGTAGGGTGGCTGTGTTAGGGAGGCAGTGGCCCAGCCTGGGACAGACAGGCTGGCTTGGAAGAGCATTTGTTCTGGGAGGCTGGGCTCAGACAGAGCTCTCATCTAGCTGCTCCACGAGCTGCGTGTGCTTCCTTTTCTCCAGGATGCGGCTGAGTTCCTCAGCGAAGGAGCAGGGCCCTGCTGGTACTCCATTGTTGCTCTGCCTCAGAAGCACATAGCTATTGCCATTCATCCTTCGCAGCCGGCTGGGCAGTGCCACCAGGCCATTGGTCAGCTCAGCTGGTGGCAGTGGGGGCGGTGGGGGTGGTGGGGCTGGGGCTCCCTCCCCAGGGATGATCTGGAGACAGCTGCCCTCCAGGCCTCCAGCCCCCTCCTCCTCATCGCCCTCATCTTCCTCTCCAGGACACTGGCCTGAGACTGTCTGCAGTTGCACGGCAGATCCTCCTGCCCGGCTGGCCCGACCCAGTGAGTATTTCCGTCGGCGCCCTCGTCTGCCTTCCCGCAGACAGGCCACATAGAGGAGGGAGGAGGCCAGGATGAGACAGAGGCCACCAAGTGCGGCAATGGCTAGCACATAGAGCAGTCTGACATCAGGTGCCAGCTGTGCCCCAGGTGTGTCAGGGGCTTTCGGAGCTGGGGCAGGAGTGGCTGGCCGGACCACGAGGCTATAGGAGGCCAGCAGGGTGCGGAGGCCATTTTCCTCAGCATAGCAGCCATAGTTGCCACTGTGCTCAGGCTGTGCATCTGTCACCAGCAGCCCATCCACGCCCACACGGTAGCCACTCTGTCCATCGCTCAGGCCCATGCTTCCATTGAGTAGCCACAAGGCCCGGGCCAGGTTGGATGGCTGGTCACAGGGCAGGAGGACATCATCACCCCGGAGCACAGAGCGGGTCTTCAGTGGTGGTGGTGGCCCTGTGGGGGTTGGGGGAGAGGTCAGTACCAGCCCATCTCAGGAAGGGAATGGAGATGGCAAGCCAGACTGTTGACTGCCAAGTCCCTGGCACCAAGCACAGAACCCGGAATCACCGTGACAGCTGACCCAGGCTCTGTGCTCATGCTTCCACATAAGGTTCACGTTGGCCCTTCCCAGGAAGCAGGCAGTGCCCTTTTCCATTCTCTCTCCATTCTCTCATCCTGTCCTGTAGTTTCAATTTCTGCCATCTGCCAGTAACTCCTAGTCTCTCCCTCAGACTTCTCTCCTGAGTGCCAGACTTGGATATCTACCATGTGCTGGGCATCTCCATATGAGGTCTCTTGGACACTTCAAAGGCCAAAGCTTTTCTCCCAAACTACGCCAGGTCCTTTCCTTGAATCGCCACCACTATGAATGGCGCCACCAGCCATACAGTTGCTTAAGTCAGAAACCTGGGAGTCTCCCTCCTCTTCTTGTTCACCTTTTTTTGTTTGTTTTGTTTTTTTGAGATGGAGTCTCATTCTGTCACCCAGGCTGGAGTACAGTGACGTGATCTCAGCTCACTGCAACCTCCGCCTCCCCGGTTCATGCAATTCTCTTGCCTCAGGCTCCTGAGTAGCTGGGATTACAGGCATGTGCTGCCATGCCTGGCTAGTTTTTGTATTTTTAGTAGAGACACGGTTTCACCATGTTGGCCAGGCTGGTCTTGAACTCCCAACCTCAAGTGATCCAACCGCCTTGGCCTCCCAAAGTGCTGGGATTATAGGCATGAGCCACTGTGCCCGGCCCTTCTTCACGTTTGTATCTAACTCTCACGAAGATTTGGTTTCTGGCATCTATCTTAGACCTGTTGATCTCTCTCCTTCCATGACTTCTGGCCCACTCTGGCCCCATGCAATCCATTCTCCAAGAGAGGTATTTTAAAAACACAAATCTGATCTTGCCACTTTCCGGCCTAAAACTCTTCAGAGATTTCCTGTTGCTTTTCGGATAAAGACCAAAATCTTCAACATGGTCTTTGCCCACTTGTCCAGCCCATTCTCCTGTCACTCAAATGTGCCAGCCTCCCTCTGCCTGCTGCTCCCTCTGCTTGCATGTCACCCCATTACCCCATGTCGTCTGCTTGCCTGGCTAACTTGTGGGAGATAGCATAATATAGTATAGTGACCAGAAGCACAAAGTCAAGTCAGACTGCTTAGGGTCAGGTTTGAATTCTTTCTTCCTTCCGTTCCTTCCTTTCCTTCCTTGCTTTCTGTCTTTCTCTCTCTCTCTCTCTTTCTTTCTTTCATGAGGTCTCACTCTGTTACCCAGGCTGGAGTGCAATGGTGTGATCTTGGCTCACTGCAACCTCCACCTCCCAGGCTCAAGTGATCTTCCCACCTCAGCTTTCCAAGTAGCTGGGACTACAGACATGTGCCACCACACCTGGCTAATTTTTGTATTTTTTGTAGAGATGGGGTTTTGCCATGTTGCCCAGGCTGGTCTCCAATTCCTGAGCTCAAGCAATCCACCTACCTTGGCCTCCCAGAGTGCTGGGATTACAGGCGTGAGCCACTGTACTCAGCCAGGTTTGAATTCTGGTCCAGTTTCTTAATAGCTGAATAAGTTTGAGCAACTTACTTACACTCCCTGGGCCTCAGAGAGGTCCCTCATGGGGACGATAATAATGGCACCTTTCTCATAAGAATGCTGTGAGAATAAATGACATCATGCATAGAAGTATTTAGATCAGTGCCTGGCACACAGTAAATACTTAATACATCTTAGCTATGATGATTAACTTTTGTTCTTCAGATATCAGCTCAGTCATCTGATCTCCCTTGGGGAAATACCCATTACGTTCCTGAACCCTTGTCATCTGCTACTTGGCTATAAGCTCTAGAAGTGACAACACACTTCACATCTTGAATGTGTTTCCTAGTTTATAATTCATTTGGGCAGTAAATGTTTGTTGAGCACTTACTCTGTGCCAGGCTCTGCGTTTGAGTCATCCTTACCAAATGCACACAGCCAAAGCCACTCAGATACAAACGTGTACGACATAGCAGTAAATGGCAAAGAGGAGAGGCTGTGCAGCTAGACCCACACTCATATGAGTCACTTACCTGTATCCCTGCTGCTCTCACAGCCTCGATTTCCTCTCTCTATGTCCTGTATCAGTGCTGTCCTGGGACAGAAGATCAGGTTTTATGAACAAGCGGAACTGGGTTTCAGTTTCCCAGTGACAGGGTAGATAGGTCTGTTACCAATAACTAACCCCTGCACTCCCCCAGGCCTTCCTCCTCCACTCAGGCCACATGTGACTCTCACCCCCCACCACTTCCCACCTGCTTCCCTGGGACCTGTTGGCTATGGTGGTGGCTGCCATGCAGGCATGGGTGCCGGGGTCCCAGCCACAGTAGGGGTCTCGGGCCAAGATGCAGTCATAGCAGGATCGGTAGCGGGAGCAGCTGGAGAGTGGTAGCTGGATGACTCCGCTAGGAGCCCCCACATAGAGGCTGTGCTGGGAGCCAGATAGGACAGTTGGTCAGCAATGCCCCCACTCAAACTTACAGATACACAGCCTCTGCCCAACCTCCCCACTCCCTCCTCCTATTTCAGCAAGCCTATATTAAGGATCACAGAGAAGGGTTACCTGCATTAGAGAGATGACTAGATTTTCCACAGACTGGGGCTCCCTGAACACTTGTGTCTCTTCAATAATGTGCATCCCAGAGCCCAGGACTACGGCCTTGTGGATCCAGCCATCAGCTGGCATGGAAAGAGCAGAGAGTCAGACCCCAACTATGGGATCTGCTCTCAGCACCCTGCAAGAGGCCTAATAGGAACAGCTCAGGAGTCATGAGGTCCAGAGGTCCAGAACAAGGACTCAGCCAGGAGCAGTGGACCCTCAGGACATTGGGAACTCCAGATTAGTCATGGCAGGAATTAATGGATTCAGAAGCATTAGTGATCAGGGCCAACAGGGATCAGGGATTGGGATCAGAAGCACCTGTGCCCAGAAAGAGCAGGTCATAGGTGGGTCCAGCAGGCGTGGTGACAGGTGTCCCTGTAAGGTGTGTGTAGCGTACATTGCGCTTGAGCAGCAGGGGCCGTCCACGTGTGGGCACAACGGGCCGAGCCATCAGTGGGTGCAACTTTACAAAGTCCAGGACCAGGGATGGCAAGTCTTGGGATGAATTGTAGCCTTGGCTGCGCAATGAATCTGTGATACACTGGGGTAGGGAACAAAGGTGGTGAACCTCGGGACTCCACCACCTGCCTGCCCTCTCCACAAGGCCAGACTCACTGACCCTTCCCTGGGCTCTGTCTGCTCAGCACTGGTCCCAGGCCTGGGCACTCACCGAGCCAGGCCGGGGCTCAGGCACCCCACCCTCATAGCGACCCCAGCGCCGGGAACCATCCTGGTATTCCATATAGGGTCCTGCAAAGACAGCCTGGATCTCTGCCAGGTCATAGCGGCAGATGGCTGAGGCCTCCAGGGTCTTCCTAGGAATGGGACATAGGGCAAGGGGGGCGAGTTACACAGAGTCAAGCCTGCCCCCCAACCCATGCTCAGCCTGAAGCTCACTGTTACCCTGGCCAACCCCAGCTATAGTCCCACAGGGCCTCTCCTGTGAGTCAGTGGACCACTGCATTCATTCTCTGCCTCTATGTGCTTGATGTGCTTAAAATTCTTGATTCTCTAGCTTGATGTGCTTAAAATTCTCACTTTGCCAGCACTTTGAGAGGCCGAGGCCAGTGGATCACGAGGTCAAGAGATCGAGACCATCCTGGGCAACGTGGTGAAACCCCGTCTCTACTAAAAATGCAAAAATTAGCCAGGCATGGTGGCGTGTGCCTGTAGTCCCAGCTACTCGGGAGGCTGAGGCAGGAGAATCACTTGAACCCAGGAGGTGGAGATTGCAGTGAGCCGAGATCGCGCTACTGCACTCTAGCCTGGCAACAGAGCGAGATTCTCTCTTAAAAAAAAAAAAAAGAAAAAAATATCTCACTTTGCAGCCAGACCTCCCCACAGTGGATCCTATCTCATCTTCACTGACCTCTGCTCCAGCCCCTATGCTGTCCCCAGTTCCTTGCCTCCCCATTGTCCCTGCACTGACCACTGTGTGCTCAGCGTGAAGGCTGCATAGAAGTGTGTACGGCTTGAGGTTTCAGCATCCAGGCTGCAGACCCCACGCAGTGTCTCATACAGTGGAATGTGGCAGATGAGACGGGCTTTCAGGAAGGATGTCCACTTCTTCTGCAGGATCTTCTTCCCTCCCAGGTCTCCCTGGGGAGGTGGGGGTACGGGTTAAGGGGCCAGGGTCAGAGGTCCAACCTCTATACCCGTGCCCCAACATCAGCCCTATCCACCTTGCAGACACGAGCGACACGGGCCACACGGTGACTGCTGCGGCTCTGAGTGAAGCTGCCAGAGCCCTCCTCAGTGGCACGCTCCGTGAAGAAGTAGTATACCTTGTCGTCGTCACCCACTGCACTGGCCTTGCTCTCCCGCACGAGGACGGAGAACACAAACTCAGCATCTGTGGGTCAGGCAGTTTGAGAGGCTTTTGAGACAGGCTGGGGACCCCTTTCCCCCACTCTGAGTCCTACCCCTCACTTGACAACACACAGGAATGGAATGGGCAGGCTCACCTGGGGACTTGGGGGTGGGGTGGTCAGCTGGCCAAGGGAGTAAAAATGAAGAAATAGTCCCCTACCCCCCATCATCCTGTGCCTCATCCTCCTAACCATTGAGCCAATGCATTGGTGTCTCCTCAGTTCTCAGGGAGTGTGGGTGGCGGCTCCGACGGATGTCGGGAATGCTCCGGAATTCATACCGAGTGGCTGTGTAGAGGCCTCCATCTGGCGTGGGGACATTCCAGGCATGAGAGACGTGTCATATACAACAGGGCACATGACATATATGTGGTGGCAGGTCCTAGAGATGAGATCCACATCTTAAAAACATCATGCTTGTGATAGGGAAGAGGGCCTGCTCACCAATGATGAGGCCCGTGAAGCCACGGGCTGGGTCGTAAGGACACTTCTCCTTCCCCTCCTCAAAGCTGGTTGGCAAGGTGAAGGCCTCAGCATCCTAGGGAACAAGGGACCAGCAGTAACTGGTTCAGAGAACAGGTAGGGACAGTGGCTCCAAGTCAGATCAGTCTGGGGTCAGGGATCAGCAATCAGGGCTAGGGGCAGGTTGTATGGCAGATGCACCTGACAGCAATAACTTAAGCATCCCCTGAGAATGACCTTATGGCCTAAAAACAATGTATGTTTGGAGTTCCAAATCTGCAAGTGGGCAACCCAGAGTTTCACTCCTTATCTATGAAGAACACATGAGCCCCTAGCCCATCCTGTGGAACACGTGCCATCCAGGGGATCAAGTCCCTTTGTTTTGGGTTAAATGAAGTTTGCCAGGTGGAGGTGATTAGGGGGAGGCTGCTAAGTGAAATGCTATATAAACTGCATGCTTTTTACAAAGGGGAGTGGTTCTCCAGTGCAGCCCGCCACCACAGGACTGCCCTGTATGGAAGTCCCCTTAATAAACCATCCATCTCCTTCACTGGCTCTGAGTCTCTTCTTTGGCATCTCGAACATGATCCCATCCCTAATGAAGCCAACAGAGATCTAGCACAACACAGGTCTACTCACAATTGCTGCACAGAGGGGCTGGAAGGCGTGAGTCCCACATGCATAGAGGTGGGTGGAATTGAGCCGCTGCAGGAACCGCACATGGTTAAAGCACTCTGTCTGTGGGATGAGGTGGACAGGGCTGTGAGCCCCCTGCCTGACTAGAGGCCTCCTCCATTAGTCTAGCTTGTAGTTTGGCTTTTGTCCCTACCCACAGGACAAATGGTTCTTTCCAAGATACCTGTGATCCTTCTCACTGCTCCAGAATATTTCCTGGAACTCACTCTCCTTGGCCTCCCAGTAACATGACACTATTTCTCTCCTCTGTCCCTCAGATTATCTGACACCACTTTGCCAATATCTCCTGTGTCTCTTGCAGTTCCCTCCACCCCTGGTTCAAGAGCTGCCAGGGATTCCACCATCCTGAGGTGCTTCTCCTCTCCCATTCAGCTCCTTCTCAGCAACTCTTTCTATTCTTGGAACTCCTGCCCTCCCCACTGGGGTGATACAACCAAATCTCTCCCTAGATGCCAGCTCGCTCTCCACCTGATATCCCAGGGATGCTTTAAACTCACCTTGTCAGAAGCCAAGTTCATCCCCTCCTCCATAACCTACATCTTTCCTAAACCTGTTTATCCAGTTTTTCCCACCTCACTTCATCCATCCTACGACTCAACTTAGAAGCCAGGAATCATCCTTGCTGCTTCCTATTTTCTCACCCCCACATTCAGTCCCTCTCCACAATTAATTCATTGTCCTAAATGTCTCTTGACTTGGTCCACTTTGACTCCACCAACAGCACCCAGTCCAAATGACCACCATGACCTCTTCCTTAGACAACTGCAGTTGTTACCTGATAGCTCCTCCCAACCTTCTCTTTCCTAAAAATGACTTTTATAACAGCTATTTATTCAGTCAACGATGAATACATGTACATAGTATAAAACTCAGAAAGTACAAAGGGGTATGTTATAAACAAGGAGTCTCCCATTTATCCCTGTCTCCTAGGTTGCCTGCAAAGAAGACTGCTGTTACTATCGTCTGAAGTTTCCTTCCAGAGATATTTTACCAAACAACACACTTTTGGTACTCTCCAACCACTTTCCAAGGGATATTCTAAAAATGTAAACCTAGTCAGGTGTGGTAGCTCACACCTGTAATCCCAGCACTTTGGGAGACTGAGGTGGGAGGATCACTGGAGCCCAGGAGTCCAAGACCAGCCTGGACAACAGAGCAAGACCTCATCTCTATGTGGTGGCATGCACCTGTAGTCCTAGCTACTTGGGAGGCTTAGGCAAGAAAATTGTTTGAGCCCAGGAGGTCGAGGCTGCAGTGAACCACTGCGCTCTAACCTGGACAACAGAGTGAGACCATGTCTGAAAAAAAAAAAAGTCAAGTGGATCACACCACTGTATCGGCTCATCGGTGACCTGAACAGAGTCCCACATGCTCCTAGCCCTGTGTGATGGGACTCTGCCCCTTCCTCTGGCCTCACTCACCCCACTCCAGTCACACTGGTTTTCTCTGCCTGTCAAATGCCCTCAGCTGCCAGTCTCTTGACTCCTTTGCCATGTTAATGATTCCTCCTCTTGCCTGTTACCCAGGGTTTAAATCCATACAGGCCTCTTTTGTCTCTTCCTGCTCCCTCACCTGGTATAAGCCACTGGCATCTGTGCCTCCTCTCCATAAGCCTGCTCAGGTCCCTTCCTCTGACCCAAATGATGCCCCAGCCTCCTCACTGCTTTTCCTGCCTCCAGACTCACCCTATTTTCATCCATCCAGTACCTGGGGCCAGAAAAATGTTCCTATAGTGATGTTTCCCCAAGATGTTTATTTATTTTTTTTAATTTTTTTTTTTTTTTGAGATGGAGTCTCGCTCTGCCACTAGGCTGGAGTGTAGTGCGTGATCTCAGCTCACTGCAACCTCCGCCTCCTGGGTTTAAGAGATTCTCCTGTTTCAGTCTCCCGAGTAGCTGGAACTACAGGTGTGTGTCACCACGCCCAGCTGATTTTTGTATTTTTAGTAGAGACAGGGTTTCACATGTTGGCCAGACTGGTCTCGATCTCTTGACCTCGTGATCCACCCGCCTCTGCCTCCCAAAGTGCTGGGATTATAGGCCTGAGCCACCACGCCCAGCGGATGTTTACATTTTTTAAAGGGGGGTAGGGAGGTATTCTCTGCTCAAATAACTTTAGAAACCACAGGTGAAACCTATCTTTACTGGGGTTACTTCCTAGAGCCTGAAGGATGTTGCTGTGCATTGTGGGACTGGACATGCAGTGTTTCCCAAACTCATTTGACATTTAAACCCCTCCTTTGAAAATTAGTGTTCCTCAGAACATGCTTTGGGAACTGTTCTATAAAGCCTTGCTATCCAAAGTGTGGTCTGGGGACCAGCAGCATCAACTTCACTTGGGAGCTTGTTAGAATTGCAGACTTGGGCCCTTCCCCAGACCTACTGAGTTTGGCACCTGCATTTATAATATATTTGGGTGATACATTAAAGTAGGAGCCTCTAAAATATCAAATTGTGAGCGTGTTCACTGTCACAGAATAAAACCCAAACTCCCAGCTGGGCATCTGTGGCCTTCCATGACCTGGTTCCACCTGCCTCCCCAGCCCTGTTTTCTACTCGTGCTGCACCAAGAGGCAGTCTTCGATGGAAGCTCTTGGAGATGCCTTTTTAAATGCAGCTGTCCCAACACCACCCCCGGCCCACCTTGCCCCAGTGGACCTTGGGAATGTTTTTTTGTTTTTTTTTTTTTAATTAGAGATAGAGTCTCATTATATTGCCCAGGCTGGCCTCGAACTCCTGGGGTCAAGTGATCCTCCTGCCTTGGCCTCCCAAAGTGTTGAGATTACAAGTGTGACCCACCATGCCCAGCCCAGGGTTGTTTATTTTGTAAAAGCTCTCTAGATACAGCCATTACATAGCCAGACATGGGACCCTTGGAGACACCCTATTCTTTAGCTGGAAAGGGCTGACGCTTCATTAATGCCTCTCCATGGAATACTGGGTATTTGAACTATTCCTTGACCAAAGCCTCATTTTTCTCATCTGCGAAATGTAGGATAATACCATTTCATGGGGTTATTTTAGAATTAACTGAGATAATAGCTAAATCAGCACTTACTATAGATGGTCCCTGACTTAACAATGGTTCAATTTATTATGATGGCTTTAATGGGAAGTAACCCCATCCTAAGTAAGCATCTGTAGAGGTTACTTACTGTTTTTTGTTGGTCTGTTTTTTTGAGACAGGGTTTTGCTTTGTCGTCCAGGCTGGAATGTAGTGGCTTAATTATAGCTCACGTAGCCTCAACCTCCCAGGCCCAAGCGATACTCCCACTCAGCCTCCCAAGTAGCTGGGACTATGGGTGCATGCCAGCATACTTGGCTAATTTTTTTTTTTTTTTTTGTATATTTTTTGACACAACAGGTCTCGCTGTGTTGCCAGGGCTGGTCTCAAACTCCTGGACTCAAGCTGTTCTCCCACCCTTAGCCTCCCTGAGTTGTTGGGATTACAGATGTGAGCCACCACATCCAGCCTACTTATTGTTATCATGATTATTTGGGATCCCAGAGGAGATGAAAATGCCATTGCAGGACAAGCTAGTAGGCCACCAGATGTTTGAATTAGAAGTGCTGTGCCCACGCGGTGGCTCAAGCCTGTAATCCCAGCACTTTGGGAGGCCGAGGCGGGTGGATCACGAGGTCAGGAGATCGAGACTATCCTGGCTAACATGGTGAAACCCCGTCTCTACTAAAAATACAAAAAACTAGCCGGGCGTGGTGGCGGGCGCCTGTAGTCTCAGCTACTTGGGAGGCTGAGGCGGGAGAATGGCGTGAACCCGGGAGGCGGAGCTTGCAGTGAGCCGAGATCACGCCACTGCACTCCAGCCTGGGAGACACAGCGAGACTCCGTCTCAAAAAAAAAAAAACAAAAAAAAACAAGAAGTACTGTGCCCAGATGCCAGGTGCAATGGCTTACATCTGTAATCCCAGCACTTTGGGAGGCCAAGGTAGGAGGACTGCTTGAGGCCAGGAGTTCAAGACCAGCCTGGGCAACATGGCAAGACCCTGTCTCTATAAAAAATAAAATACTTAGCTCGGCGTGGCATATGCCCGTGGTCCTAGCTACTCAGGAGGCTGAAGTGGAAGGATCCCCTGAGCCCAGGAGTTTAAGGCCACAGTGAACTATGATTATGTCACTGTACTCCAACCTGGATGACAGAGTGAGACCCAACCTCAAAAACAGAAAAAAAAAAAAATGCTGTGCCCATGGCTTGCCACTCTGGCAATACTTACAATGTTTACTGTGGTTGCTGAGATTTACTGGCAGGTCTGTACCTACCCATCTGTGTCCCCAACAACCCTGGCATCCCTGATTGAGGAAGAAGAGGAGGAAAGGAGCTGGGGACAGGGCAGACCACATACCTGGTTGTTTTTCCCTTTTTGATGACATTTGCTTTGCATCTCTGGGGAGGCTTCCCAGTGGATCTAGTAGGGGCAAAGGGAATAGGCTGATGCATTGACCCCAATACCTATTACTCATAGGACCAGGCAATAGGACCCCACGGAGCTGGGGAAATTGGGGTGAGGATCAATTTCAGAAGGAACATTGAATGCAAGGGACACCTGGGCTGGGAAGGGCAGTGCTGTCTGACCAGGGGACTATGGAAGGCTTGGCAGGGTTTTCAGGAAGTTGAGGTCCCAGGGAGCTGGATGAGGATGGAGACCCTCTGGGTGGTCCAGGTTCCAGGGCCTGACCTCTTTGTGAGCCCCATCTCCTATGTCGTTGGCACTGAGAGAGAACAGGGCACCTCGGGCTCCCACCAGCAGCCTTGCTGAGGCCTCCTCCAGGAGCAGTGTTGAGTAGTTCTGGGCTTGGCCCTCGAAGTGCCGGGTCCCAGAGAGCTCTGGGGAGAGCAGGTACAGTGAGTCTAGTTCTGGGGTGCCTTCCCACCCCCAGCCCTGGCTCCTGCTGCCTTTTGAGGTTGAGGGTCTAACCTTCATAGGGTATGGTCATCCGAGGGGTGGCATCGAGTTCTCTAGATGGTCTCCGCAGTGAGGGTCCTGGGACTGCAGTTGCTGTGAGGATGCTCAGGAGGAGGGGCCACAGCCTCCCCCACATCTTCCTGGGGAGGCCCAGACTAACAAGACCCCCAAAGGGAGCCAGAGTCACAGGTTGTAGGGGCAGGGATTGGGAAGCACAGTCACAGAGGTCAAAGTCCAAGGAAGTCACTTGGAAGGTCAGGGGTCATAAGCTCATGGGAGTCAAGGAATCATGGGGCCATGGGGGGTCCTGGAATCGGGGGGACATGGAGTCACAGGGTTGTGTGGCCATGGAATCCCAGCTAAGAGGTCAGAAGGAGGGAGGGATCACATGCCTTTCTGCATCAAATGCAAACTCCATGGTGAGAGGGAGTTGTGAAGTTCTAGAGGGGTTGTAGGTTACTGATGGGGTCACCCTGCCCCCGACAGTAGAGCTAGTCCTGGTTTTCTGAGGTCTGTTTTCTGAAGAAAAAACAGGGAAAAAAAAAAGCTCTTTGATCTGTATGTGGGTGGAAGATGGATGGCGTTACCCAGACTTCAGGGGGCACTGAAGGAAGGAGGCCCAGCATCCACAGAACGCCCACGACAGGATCAACTCACAATCATTCTGTCTATCCCTTTGCTCTGATGCTGGAGGCTGGGGTGGAACTTACCTTCCTTACAAGACCCTAGACACCCACAACCCGAACCCAAGGTCATGACCCTCTTCTGGCCAAGTCAGAAGCTCTGCTAGGCCCTCAAGTCAAAGGAGCTGGGGTTCTCTGAGAGAATGCCTGCTTCTCTCAACAATGAGATGCAACTCGGTCAGCAGCTGCCCCTGCTGCCTGCGGGGGTGCCTTATGCAGGAAGGCCTGACCAGAGAGGTTTAATGGGCCTTTGTTTATTTTGTCCTGCTTTCCCTTTGTTTTTTCTTTTCCCTGGCCTGAGAGCTCCCTCTGGAATTTCTCTTTAATTATAACTTCTCCTTGGTATTCCTCTCTAAGGGGGTACACATCTCTGCCCATGCCAGTCTGTGCTGCACCCTCTGGCTAGGCATCCACACGTGTCCCTACCTGCAGGTAGGCATTCACAGGCATTGGGGTGGGTACCTAGGGTCCCCCTGGTTGCACAGGTGTAATGTCTGTGCAGGAGGCTGTAGTGTGCATGGCCAGTTGAGACATAAGCAATGTGAAGAAGGTAAATGATGGGATCCCTGAGCCCTTGGACCCTCCCTCAAGCCAACCAGCTGGGGAGGGAATGGGGGTGGGTGGTGGGCCTCTCCCAACCCCTGTAACAGGCCTCCTAATCACCAAGGGTTTCCTTGAAGAGTTCCTCGGCTGGGTGAGGTGTGGAGAGACCTAACCCATTCCATCTCATCTGTCACCCACAGGCAGGGCCAGAGGGTGCCACTGGTGCCTCCTCTCCCAGGTCAAATATTAACTACCTGGCCTTGGAAAGAGGGGAGGAATCAGGAACTGGCCAGAGGGATAACAGGAGCATTTATTCAAGAGGTAAAGGTCAGCACTGCAGGGGCAGAGCCCTGAGGGGGAGAGTTGACTATGAAAGGGAGAGAAGAGGATTCCCTGATCCTGAAAGGGTATAGGCTCCCTGTTTGGGAGCTGGGACAGCAGGAAGCTTCAGGCAAGCTGGCCATGCCCCACCCCTCCCTGTGGAGGCACACCTGTTTACCTTTGGGACCTCCTATTTGCTCAGTGCAAAAGGCATGTGTGTGGGGAGCATTATGGCTAGGAGGAACATGCCCCAGGTTAGAGGAGCCACTCAGTGTGGTGCATGTCACACTTACAGTTTAAGAGTCACATGGGTGACTCTTAGGAAGATGATGTACACGCACATGGATGCACACACACACATACACATTCACAAGGAGGACTGTGAACACATGGATTCACAGGGGTCACTCACACATACACTCACAGGGAGGTTTATGCACACATATGCTCACACAGAGGGCCACAGCCACAGGTAATCATACATATTCACATGTGAAGTTGAATTTACATGCTCATCCATTCAGCAGGTCACACAGCCTCAGAGGTTGAGGAAAGATAAACCCACACATATGGGTTTCTGTCAAGGACTGTGCACCTCTATTCAACAGGAGGGTCCTATCCATATACATGTATGTGTGGGGACATGCACACAAACCCACTGATGTAGTGGGCCAGGCAATCATGTTCACAGAAGGGTCAAGTACATGTGTGTTCACACAGAGTCCTTGAACACACAACTACATCCATGCAGAGAGAAGCACACATGCATACAGGGGTCCAGTTTTCACCACAGGCTTGGGGGCTGCTAGTGTCCACTGGGGTGAGATGCAGAGCAGAACCCTGCCTGCGTTCCTGAAAGTCCCAATTCTAAGGCCCAATTTCAAGTGTGTGTGTGTGTGTGTGTGTGTGTGTGTGTGTGGGCGAGGGGGGTGATGGGGGAGGCTTCTGACCTTGGATGGTCAGATGGGATGGGTGCATGAGTCAAGGCCGCTCTACAAGGGAGGGAATGGGAAACTAACCCAGGCAGGAGGAGGCCTCTAGCTTTAGCAAAGGAAAGATGGAATGGAACGCATAACTTAGTACTCCTCCACCCCGATGTATATTGCAGTTCTAGAGGTAGGAGACGGGCTGGCGCTCTCAACCCCCACTTAACCTGTTGGGAGGGGGCGGGGCTAAGTGAGCAGGGCGGAGCATACCACCCCTCCCTTCAGTGGCGAAGCGGGTTTAAGGTCTCCTGTCCACGCCCCACACTCCACCCCAAGTTCCACAGTTCGAGTTCTTCCCCAGGGCCAGCCCCCTGAACTCTGATCACCTTCCCTCTATTAGATCCTAGGGTGGAGGGAATTGGGGAGGAGAGACCCTTAAAACAGGATCAATGGAGGATCAGCAGGCTTTCGACCTTCATCCCAGATGTCCACCTACCTCGTGTAGGCAGTATCTCCCTCTGCCTAGTAGGATGGTGGTCTCTCCTGGCTTGAGAGAGCCCCTCCCCCGGTACCCCCTCCCTACAACATCCTGGACAGTCCGCGGTTCTCGCCCTTCGTCAGGTCTAACCTCAGTCTCTACTGCTGCAGCTCGAGGACAAGCTCTCCTTCGATCCCGCCGGACGCCGGGAGACGTGACCCAGATCCTGGGGAACACTGTTCACCACACGGACCCCTCCCCATGCTGGTCCCCGACTCCGTGATGGCCGGTCTGCACCCTGCGCAGCCCGAGGCCTGGCCCGCGCCCCTCTAGAGCCTTCATGCAGAATCGGGGGACCTGGCGGTGAGAAAGGCCTGGCCCAGCTTGGAGGGTAGAATGGACGTGGGGGAGGCCTTGCCCGACCCCCGGCCCGAAGCCCCCGACTCAGGCCAGGCCGCCGCCCGCACTCCCCGCCTTGCTCACCTTTGCGCTTGGATCCAGGGCCATAGAGACAGCGACGCGCGGCTCCGCGGCCCCACAGCACCAGCTGCGAGGAAGGGGCCGCGGCTGGAGGCGGGGCGGGGGGTGGAGGCGGAGCCGGGGGTGGGGCGGGGTCCTGGAAGGCGGGGCCGACTGGGTGGGGTGAGGGGAAGGTCGCCGCTCTCTTCTTTGCGCCCCCTGCTCTAGCACAATAGAGGCGGTTTGAGAGCGAGGCTCACACACAGCCTTCGGCCATCGGGCGACCCCGCGCCTCTAGGCGCTACGGCCCTGATAATCGCCCCCTGGTGGTGGCCTCGCCACCCCGTGCACCCTCCACATGCTTATAGCCCGCCCTCTCCTCCCCTGTAATCCTAGGATTCCCCCCGACTTGCCTACTGCTGGGGACGTGCAAACCTGCCCTGGCGTTGAGGGGTTGGGGGACCCTCTCAGAGGGCCTTCTGGCCTGTCGTCTAACCTGGACCTCACTCCCTGCGCTCCTGCCACTCGCTTCTGCTCTAGGATGTGGAGGGAAGGCTACCCTAGGTGGAGACTGGAGGTTGGGGAAGCTCTGAACACAAGGAAAGGGCTTGATTCCCAGCTTCAGGGGCTGTTCAGCTTGAGCTATGCGTGGGGGAGATGGGGTCAGGCCTGAATGGATGGATGAAGTAACAGCTTGACCTGAAAGGCACACAGAAAATGCTTTTTCTGGATAAACAAGCCACAAGCATTTGCACCTGTTCACTCACCAAATCTTAACCCTAACCTAGGCTCACCTCAGGGACTGGGTCATTCAAACACTTGCCTTCCCCTCCAGCTCATCTTGGGCACCATTCTTATCCAGAACTTAGAGTGCATCCTTCTAGGCAATCAAATACCCTGTCCTTCCCAGATTCAATCACCTTACCCAGCAGCAATCTAGGAAACCCCTCACAATCAACTCCCCAACTCCTTTAACTCAATTAGGATGGTCCTTCTGTGCAAACTTGGGTCCTGCCTCCTTTAATAGGTCACAGCCTATTAAAGTGAACTTAGCCCCTATAGTCCAAACAAAACCTGCATTCAGGCCCTGACCCAGCCTGGTCCTTCCTCCTCCATCCATGACAGTATTCATGTGGGCTCAAGAGATGGACCAAAATGATAAAGTCCACAGGAACATATGTGATTGACTCTTGCACATGCCTAGGAGTCAGAACAGGATTCAAGTGGCACATTTAACCAAAGGAACCTTGGGAAAGACACTTCATCCTTCTTTCTGGATTCCCCAAAGCTCACAGTTTGGCACTGAATCATATACAATCTCGTAGTTTGGATGGCTGTGTGTGACTGCAGACTGCTAGACAGCAGGGCCCACATCACAGTTCCACCTCCCCCAACACTCTGCAAATAGGATATGTGTGGCGGGGAGAGGGAAGGTAGCTGGGGAGAAACACAATAAAAAATGTACACATGCTTTTACAAAGAATATCCTGCTTCATTTTTTATTTGTACCCTCATCCCATCCTGAGGAATTTATAGCCCCATTTTATGGATAGGGAAACAGGCTCTAAGACATTAAGTAACTTGTCTTGAAATTCATTCTTGTGTTTACAGAGAGGACAATCAAGACTGGAAAAGTCTGAGAAGGAGGAAGCAGGGTAAGCCTGAAGGGGAAATACCATTGGCAAAGGTAGAAATGTTCAAGCTTATGCACAGGCTTGTGTTGAGGCACTAGGGAAGAGGCATGAAAGAGGGCAGTTTGATTTGATGAAATTGCAGTGGGTAGGGGGATTCCTAGTGGGAAATAAAAGGGAATAGTCAGCTAGTAGTTTGAAGAAGACCACAGAAGAAAATCCTGAGATTATGGACTGAGTAAGGAAGTCTGAGATGGGAAGACCAGTTAAGGCAGGGCTAAGATAAATCTGCAGTCCTTATTAGAAAGTGGATTGGTGGTAACAGTGGAGGCAGGGTAGGAAGACTGCTGGTCCCTCAGTACCAGATAGGAGAGCAATTCAACTGTAGGGGCCCAGAAGGCTAAGAGGCACAGCTTCCTAAATGTTCACAGAACCTGCAGTGCTGACTTCAGATACCTCTGGAGGTGGCAAGTAGGCCAATGCGGCAGGCTCAGTAACTCACTCAACTTTATGAGCCAAGCTTTGCTCCTCTGAGGTGCTGATGGCAAACTCAGATATTGTTAAATGAGTAAAATGTGTGTGATTTCAACTATCACTGGACAGTTACTTCAGTACTTTTGATACTAGACCACAATCCATTTCCTTCTGCTATCCTCCCAGTGAAATCTCTAAACCTAATGAGAGTATCAGAGTAAAGGCAATTCATGGAGCTGTCTATAGGAAGCCCTTTTGATTGATAGTACATCTCTCTGCAAATCCAGCTGATAAAACAAGAACGGGGGAATACTGACAGACAGTGGAAAATAAAACTGGAAATCAAATAAAGAAATTAATCCTAACCCAGCCATAAATCTCCATCCTGGGACACAGGCAGGTCATTCTTTGAACAGTCACTACCCTGGCTGCTTCACAGGGTGGCTGTGAGAGGATTCCATTTGGAAACCTTCTGGAGAATTTCAGACACACAGAAAAGTATGAGTTTTGTTTTTGCTATTCTATTTTCCCCAACTTTGCTGTAAGAAAGTGGCTGAGAGTAGTGCTGGCCGTCTTCAGCACTTTGCACAGAATAGTTACTCACTGTAGCAGGGATCCTAGGTGAAGGGGGTGGGTATGAATTCCTGAAACTTGAGCAGGTTTCCTGAAGCAAGAGAACTCTGGCCTAGTCAAGCTGTCCTGCTTCCTGTTCAATGTGGCAGCATTTCTGTTCCTGCTTTGCCATCTCCATCTCTGGTTTGCCCAGCACTTTCCCTTTAGGTGGTGTGATCTTTATTTTGGCCATATATACAGCTGAGGAGCTTCTTCTGTAGGGGATGTCACCAGTGCAGCAATGCAGAAGTCTCACTATTCCAATGTGCCTCAGAAGCCTGTTTTGCCTGTTAAGTTTTCCTCCCAGCCAGTTGTCTTGGAGTCAGACCCAAAGCTGGGCCTTCTGGTTTGCCCTCTCTTGACTCCAGCCTAGGGAATGGTTAGCAAGGGAAAGGGAGTGTGAGGACATTTCCACAAATGCTGGAAAACCACCACCTATCACCAATTTCTCACCTTTAGCATGCTGGCTTTTAAAAAGTGAAAATTTTAATAAAAAAAAAAATCAGCAGGGATAGCTGGACAGAGAAGCCTCTGGAGCTCCCGGTATCCAAAGGAATAGGGCACACTTACAACTATAATTTTTGGAGATATGGTTTGCTCAGATGTCAGTACACCCTGAGGTGTCTGCTTAAGATCAATTCTGTCATCAGATAAAAGCCTTGTTAGAGCAGCAAGCATTTGATGAGTTCTTGCTATATGCCAGTCACGGTACTAGGCACTTTTCATGCATTAGCTCACTTAGTCCTCACAAACCCTGAAATAGACACCGCTATTATTCCTTTTAACAGATGAGGAAACAGTGAGTTTAAGTAATCTGGCAAAGATCAAAAGGCTAGTGTGATGAATCTGGGATCTGAGGTCAGGCCTTGGGCAAGGTCAAGGCCCTCAACTCGTATAAGGTTGTGCTGCCCACTCTCTAGTAAGTACTTACGGCAATGTCTCTGCTTCTGCCTGGGCTGTCATCCCTTGTCCCTCTGCCCCACTGTCAGAGAAAAATGCTCCCATTTAGTCTCTTTCTAACCAGCCTGTCAGAAGGGAGAAATACTGGCATGGTTTTGGAACTCAAGGCCTCTGATAATGCCTAGCTTCTATGAGCTCCAAAGTTTCTCCTATGAGGTTTCAACCTCTGCCTCCCAAGTTGGCATACCCAGAACTTATCTGCTTGGCAGGTTGGAGGTGATCTCAAGCCCTGCTTCTGGATTGTACAGCTTCTTCTTTCTTGGTCCTGGGCTCAAGAACAAGGGAGTCAGGTTAAGGGTATTCGTTTCTAATTCTCTTTGCCCCAAAACAGAAAGTATTTTAACCTGGATGCCAGGAGGTAAGATTCATGAGGGCTCTGTGTTGTTCACCACCAAATCCTTATTGAATCCTAAAGAGTGCCTAGCATGTAGTTGAGACTCAACTGTTAGAATGAATGGTGGAATGATAGCCGGGCATGGTGGCTCACGCCTGTAATCCCAGCACTTTGGGAGGCCGAGGCGGGCGGATCACGAGGTCAGGTGATAGAGACCATCCTGGCTAACATGGTGAAACCCCATCTCTACTAAAAATACAAAAACTTAGCCGGGCGTAGTGGCAGGAGCCTGTAGTCCCAGCTACTTGGCAGGCTGGGGCAGGAGAATGATGTGAACCCGGGAGGCGGAGCTTGCAGTGAGCCGAGATCGTGCCACTGCACTCCAGCCTGGGCGACAAGAATGAATGGTGGGATGAACATAGTGAATGAGGTAAGAATGAGATTACCGAATTCCTGATTGCAAAGTATACAGCAATTAACTGGGTTATATAAAAGTGAACTGTGTACAACGGTGGCTTTATGTTTTCCAGAAACCGGAGACATCAAGCTAAAAAACTGGACAATCCAAAGCAAGAAGAAATGTTTAAAAACCAGGGGACTGGGGTGGGGTGAGGGAACAGGGCATTCCAGATAACTTAGCCTCCTCAACTCCCAAACAAATATTACCAAACACATGTTCAAACTGAGAAAAAGCAGTTTTAATAGCACACACACACATATTCATAGGACTTTAACAAGATGTAGTATAAAATCTTTAAAAAAATAAAAGGAAAGAAAAAAAATCTGTATTTACTGCCTAAGAGCTGCTGGATTAACTGGCTGACAAGACTGTCCAGGGAAAACAAATGCACAGATAATGAGGTGAGCTGACACTGTTCATGAGTAAGGAATAACCACGGATCATGCTAATTGCTCTACGTGCCCAGCCGCCTGGACCCTACTGTTGCCTCCTTAGCGACAAACCACCACAGTCATCCCCTAATTCTCCAACTCAGTAGCTTGTTTAATGGGCTACCCCTTAAAATTTTCATTTTTAATTTAAAAATTACCCTTGGCTTAAAGACGCCACACATTATTACTGGTCAGTCCCCACCAATTATATTTGTTTTGATTACAATAAAAATGCAAATACTCCAACTAAGCCTGGATGATAACACGCCATTTTTTATCTTTTACATTTGAGATTTTTGTGAAGTTGAAAGCAAGCTACTATTTGCGTTTCAAAGCAGAAACAAAATGCAAACCTTCCAAAAGGTGACAAAGGCACCACTGCTATCAGGAGATAGAAAATGTACAAATGCTGTTACTTTACGGCTACATCGATGCATTTTGTGCACAGAGAGCCTCTTAATGTGATAAAACTAGTAGAATTATATTTTCAGTAACAAGAAAGGCAGTTAGAAAAGGCGAACAGTTACACACAAAAGCATAAACACAAGTACCTTAATGTGCAGCTTGCAAGAAGGGTAATAAGTTTGCCATAAATATCCATAAAATTAGACAAGGTGATTTTTGGCACAGTAATATTGCCAAACACACCACCACTCAGTGCAAGCTTTGTTGCCAAGTCCCCAAAGTGGCCTGACATTCTCTGTGCAATGAACACTTCTCCCTCTCTACCATCCCATTCACTGAGCAATAGCAGCAGGAGGGAGACAAAGCATGGGGACTCGAGGGAGAAGGAAAATACTTGATTTGGAAGAAAAACCATGGGCTACTTGTGCTAAAAGAGAGTCACAAAATTTTCTTGAGAACCCAAATGCAAATACTGACCGGACTATGACCTGGAGTCTGAAGACCTCTACCAGAGTCATAAATACAAGGGCCTAAACTGAGGTCTGGCCATTTATTTTAAAGGGATGATGAAATATTTTTTTCTAAAGGAGAAATATAATTAAAAATAGAGATTTTTTTCTTATTGGAACTGTTAAATAAAAATGTATCAAAGTAGTTTTAAATTTGATGGGCAGTTATCTGTTGAAACTGCAATACAAAAGGGTCACTTAAAAAAAAAACCTGAATAACCCACTTGTCCCCCCCATCAATGTACACAATTAGAAAATATTTACACACTGTAAATTACAAGCAATATAAGCAGTATTTTATACTTTGAGATTTTGTACACTTTACACAATGCAAAATGAGAAAAATATGAACACGTATAAAATTACACACAAATAATGTATCTACAAAGGATTAAATTACAGAATGAAAGCCCCCATCGTTGGGCAGATAGATGCCAGTTTCAAGTTTCTGTCAAATAGAACTCTTTGTATCTATCTCTTTAACCATAAGTGGCATTTTGTAACAATACCCTTGAGAGGTAGTATCAAGATAATAATATTCTTACCAGTAAACAACACAGAATAAAACTTTTGTTGGTCTGACTCTTGGAGCCTCAATCAGTTTAGGTTCTTGGAAACTGGATTTACTTAGTTTTCCCTATAAAATCTCTGACTGCCAATGCTTGATTGACATAAATTCAAAAGTTACTGATGCTATTTTAAATGATAAATTTAAGACAAAATGCTTTTTACTCCTAAGCCTCAATTTAGAGGTAGAAAGTTATTTTATTTTCTTGCCTCTCAAACCACAAACATCAAGTCCAGTTTCCGTTCCCCTCCATCATCTTTCCTCCTACAACTGGAGACACTAGAGCAGTCAGGAGAACAGGTCACTCAAGCCAATACTGAAAGAACAACAAAAAAAGTTGCCATTCTTTAAGGAAACAAACTCTCCTAAAAGGGACATCTAGTCAACAAAATAATTTTCTAGTTGGCTAGTAAGAGTTTGTTACTACCCCTGGGCTAAAACCAGCATGTGCACTTCCACGAACTCTCTACCATTTAAACCAAAGGATGGCTTTCCAGTGTTTAAGAATTTAAAGCAGCTGCGGTTTTGAAGTACAACTTCAAGATACAAGCAAACATACACACACACACACACATACACACACACAGACAGACATAGTGTCCCAAAGAATTCAGGTCTCTGCCAAAGTTATATACTCATGGAAACAAGGTTGTTGGAAACTTGTCCAGATCTTTAGGCTTTTACAATATAGACTTCTGTAATACGGTTACCAAGAGCCAGAATTCTAAGATATAGCCAAGATTCTAAGATTTAACCAGTATTTAAAATATATGCATTTAAAAGAAATCCAGAACAAACTGCATATGAATGTTCTGGCATCAAAACAGGGCCACTACTTTACAGCTTAACCTCTTCCTCTTAAGGGAATCTGACACATACCAAACTTTTGTTTCTCAAGTTTAAATGTATTTTAAAAACAGATTTATAATCTTGAGTAATGAAGGAAAATGCATGGATTGAAACCTCCCTGTGGTTTATAAAAGTTACAGAAGAGATTTATGCTTTTTATTACTAAACTCAGTTTTAAGCATTCCCTTTGTGTCCGAAAATAACCAAGAGGGAAAATTAAAACCAACTGGAACTTGGTCTTGCTTTCCATGTCCAACTTCTTAAGTTAGTCCAAGCTCTTTTCTTATATTATTTCCTGTGATTATCCAAGTGACAAAAATACTATCTAAAAAAGATAATTGGCTTATAATTTAACAAAAGGAGTTAACTGGGGCAGGTTAGACATGTGACTATTAGCTGCTTCTACCTCTCCCCTCTTTTAATAAGACTCTGCGCTTTTGAAAGGTCAGTTGCCGTAACAATTAAGCAGATCATATTTCATATCTGCCTCAGAAATGGCAATTTCATTACCAGCTTCATACTAGATATTCAAGTGGCACATTTGCTGTACATTTTCTTGGCATTCCATTGGATTCTGTAATAATCCTTTCTACTCCTCTAGGAAAGGCTCTTATTGAATTTCTCTTGCTTCATATTTTTGCTGCTGCAACTCCTATTAAGAATCTGGTACCCAGAAATCATGAAGCTGCCCCTAAAAAAGGGGAAAAAAAGAGGGTAAAACAAAATTTAATCAGATTATGAATTACTCCTTATAAAACTACTAATCATCAGACAATAGGCTTTGATAAGACAAGTAATAAAATCTTTATATTGACTTATCTGAAAATTTATGGTAATCTGATTCAAATTTCACATACAGTGGTCAAACAATAAAAAATAGTATAAAATAAGTGCAGGATGTTTTTCTCACCACTGCACACATGGAGGGACTTAGTTAAGCAAAATAAATAATGTTAAGCTGATTAGTATAGTTTTGCTATTAAATTATTTTCTGTTTTAATACCACATCAATACATGACCAGCATTAAAAGAAAATCCACTAAGGTTAGAAACAAATACAAAAACAACAAAACATAAATTTAAGATTTCTCAAAGACTTAGAGAGATTGCTTTATCTACTTAATATTCAGTGTTCCTATTATTTTGATATAAAATATAAGTAACTTCTAGGCCCTGGCTACTCAAAGTTTAGTCCCTGGAGCAGCAGCATTTGCATCAATCTGATAACTTGTTAGAAGTATAGAATATCTCAGTTCTCACTCCAGACCTGTAAGTCAGAATCCATATTTCAGCAAGTTCCTAGTTGATTCCTATGTACATTAAAATTTGAGAAGCGTCATTTTAGACAATCCTATGCCAGTTAACTCTGTAAACAAGCAGGCAAGCACACTTACTAGCAGGTGTTAAAAAAAATGTCCCTCTTAGGCAAAGACTCCTTAGACATAACATCAAAAAAAAGTGACAAAAATATATACATAATAAATAAAAGAAAACCGACACAAAGAATGGAAGAAAATATTTACAAATTATATCTCTAATAAGAGATTTGTAACCAGAACATATGGGGAATTCATACAACTCAATAACAAAAGGACCAATAACTATATTCAAAAATAGGCTTTTTGAAATGAAGTATGAGATGAAAAAAATGGACAAAGGATCCTAATAGACATTTCTGCAAAAAAGCTATACAAATGACCAATAGGCATATAAGAAGACGTTTAACACCATTAATTATTAGGGAAATGCAAACTAAAACCACAATGAGATTCTACTTCCCTACTCTCTACTATGGCTTTAGTAAAAACAAGTATTGGTGAGAATATGGAGAAATTAGAAACCTCAGACATTCTGATGGGAATATAAAATGATGCAGTGACTTTGGAAAACAGTTTGGTAGTTTCTTAAATCACTTAACATAGAATTACCATATGGCCCAGCAATTCGACTTCCTTTTCAAATGCTTCATTTGAGAACATATATTCACATAAAAACTTGCATACAAATGTTCATGGAAATATTTGTAATAGCCAGAATGTGAAAACAATATAAATGTCTAATAAGTGGATAAATAAATGTGACATATCCATTCAGTGGAAAATTATTTGGCAATAGAAGGGATATATATGCTACAACACTTATCATTATGTTAACTGAAAGCAGACAATTACAAAAGACTACACAGTATATCTCATTTACAGATGTCCAGAATAGGGAAATCTATAGGGACAGAAAGTAGATTAGTGTTTGCCTAGGATTTGGGAGGATTCAGGAGGGGAATCAAGGTAGTAGGGGAAAGGGGAATGACTGCTAATGGGTATGGGATTTCTTTTTGGGGTGATGAAAATGTTCTAAAATTAGATTGTGGCGATGGTATTCACTCTGTCAATGTATTAAAAACCACTGTACATGTTAAGTGGGTAAAATCTATGGTATGTGAATTCTATCTCAATAGATCTGTCTTAAAAATGCTCTTCATTGAATAACCTCCATTTGATGCAATGTAATATTTTTAAATTGGCTCAACCACTTCTGGAAATAAATTAATGAATATAAAGCAAACAAAAACTAAAAATAATTACAAACCATGTATTATACTGGCGTTTTCAGTTTATCTTAAGATAACTAGAAGCAAATGCACTGTTATACTCTATTTTATTTCAAACAGTATGAAGAGTGCCATTCAGCAAAACTATTAAGAATAAATGAAATTGTATAACAAAATGACACCTGAGTAGGCCGACAGTTCTGGATTATTTCCTGCCATTTTCCATGTATCCTGGCAACCAAGTCTTTCACCTTAAAAATATCAAAAACGGGAAAAGGGATTGGATTAAAACATCCTCACCTACAATCAGCTTAACACTACACAAAAGATCTGACAGTTGCAACAGGCCCACACTCGACAACTCAATTTGATTTCTGTCAACAAAGAGAAAATAAACTATTCATCTTTTGGAGGAGATCTCAAATCATAAGTAATTAATAAGACTTTCCTTTATCATCATAATCTAAACTATTGAATGTTTATGATTTAATTTTCCTGTTATTAAAGATCATCCCAAAAAACACGTTCTCTGCCTTCAAAGGAACTTAACTTTAACTTGCTGGCTTTTGAACAACCAGACAGAGAAGCTGAAGGGTGGTCTGTGTCAACAGACCCAAGGCTTTGGCTGCTCCGTGCCTTCCCTGCCCAGCTTCCCTTTGAAAGGATCAAGGCCATTAAAAAAACGTTTATTTGTTCCTCTCCACATTATTAGAAGATCCAAAATTCACTGTTACTCCTCTCCATGTTTGTGCCCAAGTACTATGAATCCCCTTTAAATACCTAGTATTTTCCTATATTTGGAGGTTTAGCAAGTCTCTATGCAAAACTGAAACTTTACCACAAAAACCAAACTCTGTCACTCTAGAGATGCTCAATTAGCTATTGAACATAACTGCTTGAGAAAAATGTTTTAAACAACTTAGGAATTTTATATCAGCTTTAAATTTATAAAGTAAATTACAATCTCTGCTTTTTCCTTCGTCTACAGTTCAGCAAATAAAGTTTCTCCAAAACAATCACCAACTTTTCTACAATAGAGGCTTTTGGAAAGGCAGACAACTCACCTATGTCAGCAGGACCATCCCTTGAAGCAATTTCCACAGACCACTATGTCGCTTTCCACTTTAAGTAAGAGAAGCACTGGCAACAATCTGTGCCAAGTCCTTGTCTTTAAGAAATATAAAACTTGGGTGGTCCCCTTTTAGCATGTCTGTCAGTAGTAGCCACTACCAAGTTCTACAGGCCAGCAATTCTGGTCAATGAATGCTCAAAAGAATGTGCTTCTGAAACTAGAGTTCTACTCTTGGGCAAAGAGCTATCCCCTACAGGTATTTGAAAATCAGAAATCTGAAAACAACTTCATTAGTTGCTTATTTTTGTATTTAACTTAAATTTACTAAAATAAATACATATACTAAATCCGAATGGGCATTGTTCAAATGACTAACCTTTGCAGCTAATTAATGTAAGATATTAAGATACAAAGCTGAGGCTTCATATTCAATGACTATCCAAAGATAAGAGGCAAAAAGAATCAGCATTATATTACATTACCAAAGCTAAAAGATAATCTTGGAATTAAAAAATCCTTAGAAAAAAGTATTTTTATTTTATTTCGTTTTATTTATTATTTTTTTACACAGAGTCTTTCTCTGTCGCCTAGGCTGGAGTGCAGTGTCGCGATCTCAGCTCACTGCAAGCTCTGCCTCCTGGGTTCAAGGGATTCTCCTTCAGCCTCCTGAGTAGCTGGGACTATAGGCATGCGCCACCACACCTGGCTCATTTTTGTATTTAGAAAAAAGTATTTTAAAAGTGTCTGATTTTATGTTTCAGGAAAAACTGTCAGATCATTCTATTAATACTAACATTACTTTCCTACTCCATACTCATAGATTTGGCTTTTCTACTGTCTTTGAGTATATAAAACCTTTAAGAAAAAAAGCTTAGCAAGCTTAGTGCTGAATCATTTCCACCCTAGAGCTCAGACTAGGTGATGTATGACTCAAAGATTTGAAGACTCCTGGCTGGATGCGGTGGCTCACATCTCTAATCCCAGCTCTTTGGGACACCCAGGCAGGCGGATCACGAGGTCAGGAGTTTGAGACCAGCCTGGACAACACGGTGAAACCCCATCTCTACTAAAAATACAAAAAAATTTTGCTGGGCATGGTGGCGGGTGCCTGTAATCCCAGTTACTTGGGAGCCTGACGCAGGAGAATCACTTGAATCTGGGAGGCGGACGTTGCAGTGAGTCGAATTCATGCCACTGCACTACAGCCTGGTCAACAAGAGTGAAACTCCGTCTCCAAAAAAAAAAAAAAAGATTTGAAGACTCCTTCCTTTAATATATTCTTCAATGGAACATTCAAAGAATAACAGCTAAACTATTTCTACTCTATGAATAAAACAAGTTTTCAACCATCATAAAATTTCAAAGCCACTGTTTCATAACTTATATATTTATTTAAATAATGCTTCAATCCTTGATGGTAACTTAAGCATGAAGGTTTTAACATGTGTAATGGGGAAAAATAAGTATCATTAGTACTAGAAGTATTTTTCTCCTTGGGTGTCAGGAGTTTCAGAACAGAAAGCAAAGTGAAAAGTGTATTTGCTTTGAGATTTTTTTTTCCTTTCACTTTTAATTCAGCTACACTAATTTAGCAGGAGCTGATTTCTGTTATTAAAAGAGAAAGTCCTATTTCTAATCTTACATGTTTCTTTTTTTTTTCGAGACAGAATCCTATTCTGTCTCCCAGGCTGGAGTGCCATGTGTGTTCATAGCTCACTGCAACCTCAAACTCCTAGGCTCCAGTGATCCTCCTGCCTCAGCCTCCCAAATAGCTGGAAGTACAGGTGCATGCCACCATGCCTGGCTATTTTTCAAAATGTTTGTAGAGATGGAGTCTTGCTATGTTGCCCAGGCTGGTCTTGAAGTCCTGGCTTCAAGCAATCCGCCTGCCTCAGCCTCCCAAAGTATTGGGGTTACAGGCATGAGCCACCACGCCTAGCTTTATATGTTCTTTTTCTGAATATAGGCCTGTATGCTTCTATCCTTAAATATTAACGTAACCAAGATTAAGAAAAAAAGAAAAAACACACTTACCTTAGTTCTGTAAAAAAGTCTTGCATCTTCCCTAATATCACATTTAACATGCTTTTCCAAAGCCCCACAGAGTAGCACAAAGTGTTTCTGTGCAAAACAAATGCAAGGGATGAAAACAACTCTGAAGCATTACAAATTAACAAAGAAGAAATTATGCAGCTAGAACAACTAAATCATTTAAAAATCTATTATTCCTGTTAGCAATGCCTGATGTTAACTATCCCACATAACAGTAGTTGTATCAGTGAAAGTTGCTTCCATGACAGTAAGATTATTAGCTTAAAAAATATACACTCTAACAAAAGTTGTTTTGCTATGCATGAACTCACATTAATGAAAATTAACCCCAGAGCTCTAACTGGGTAATATAGTACTCAGAAATTTAAAGAGTCCTTCCTTTAACATACTCTCTAATAAAATATTCAAATAACAGCTAGCCTTTAAAAAAAAAATTAAAAATTTTTTTTTTAAAGAAATGGGGTCTGGCTCTGGTGCCAGGCTGGAGTGCAGTGGCACAATTATAGCTCACTGTACCCTTGAACTCCCCAGCTCAAGTGTTCCTCCAGTCTCAGCCTCCTGATTAGCTAGGATTACAGGCACGCAACACCATGCCCAGTTCTTTTTTTTTTTTAGACGGAGTCTCGCTCTGTCACCCAGGCTGAAGTGCAGTGGTGTGATCTCAGCTTACTGCAACCTCTGCCTCCCAGGTTCAGGCGATTCTCAGACTCAGTCTCCCGAGTAGCTGGGATTACAAGCGTGTACCACCACACCCAGCTAATTTTTGTATTTTTAGTAGAGACAGGTTTTGCCACATTGGCCAGGCTAGTCTCAAACTCCTGACCTCAGGTGATCCACCTGCCACAACCTCCCAAAGTGCTAGGATTACAGGCATTAGCCACCGCACCCAGCCATTTTTTTTTTTTATTTTTAAATTTTTTTTTTTTTTTTTTTTTTTTTTGAGACGGAGTCTGGCTCTGTCGCCCGGGCTGGAGTGCAGTGGCCGGATCTCAGCTCACTGCAAGCTCCGCCCCCCGGGTTTATGCCATTCTCCTGCCTCAGCCTCCCGAGTAGCTGGGACTACAGGCACCCGCCGCCTCGCCCGGCTAGTTTTTTGTATTTTTTAGTAGAGACGGGGTTTCACCGTGTTCGCCAGGATGGTCTCGATCTCCTGACCTCGTGATCCGCCCGTCTCGGCCTCCCAAAGTGCTGGGATTACAGGCTTGAGCCACCGCGCCCGGCCTTATTTTTAAATTTTTTTGTGGAGACAGGGTCTCACTTTGTTGCCAAGGCTAGTGTCAAATGCCTGGTTTCAAGTGATCCTCCCACTTCAGCCTCCCAATGTGTTGAGATTACAAGCATAAGCCACTGCACCTCGCCAGCACAACACTGGCCCATTTGATATTTGATAATGTTGGTATCTTATGAATATATTATAGTGTTGCCAAGGTATAATGGTTAAGTTCCACTCCAACAAACAGAGCTAACATTTGCTGACAATCTTTTCAATATGACATGGTTATAAGACCATATCACACCCCTCTTTCTGGTATATATGGGAATTCTTATAGCAAAATCAGTTTGTGACTTTTTTTTTTTTTAAGAGATAGGGTTGGCCAGGTGCAGTGGCTCACGCCTGTAATCCCAACACTTTGGGAGGCCGAGGCGGGCAGATCATGAGGTCAGGAGATCCAGATCATCTTCACTAACATGGTGAAACCCCGTCTCTACTAAAAATACAAAAAAGTTAGTCGGGCGTGGTGGTGGGTGCCTGTAGTCCCAGCTACTTGGGAGGCTGGGGCAGGAGAATAGCGTGAACCCAGGAGGCAGAGCTTGCTGAGAGCTCATCCAGCCTGGGTGACAAAGCGAGACTCCATCCCAAAAAAAAAAAAAAAAAAAAAAAAGAGAGGCTCTTGCCTTGTTGTCCAGGCTGGAGTGCAATGGTGGGATCATAGCTCACTGCAGCTTTGAACTCTTGGGCTCAAGTAATCTTCCCATCTCACTCTTCTGGGTAGCTGGGACTACAGGTATTGCCACCACACCTAGTTAGTTTTTGTTTTTGATTTTTTTTTGTAGACACAGCATCTTGCTATGTTGCCTAGGCTGGTTTTAAACTCCTAGGCTCAAGCAATCCTCCTGTCTCTGCCTCCCCAAGTGTTGGGATTACAGGCATGAGCCACCACACCTGGCCCTATTTTTTTTCTATAGGAACGAGAGAACCATTAATAGAGATTCATACTTAATTCTTTGAAAAATTATGCATCTTAAATTTTAGAAATGTATAGACGTAAGCACTTCTCTCATATATACTTGGTTGAGAATGTAAATGAACACTTTCTGGGATGAAAATGTGGTAATAGCTATTTAAAATAGTTAAAATTTGAAATATTTATAAACTTTGATCTAACAAGTCTACTTCTAGGAATTTACCTTATAGCTACGCTTGAAGAAGCGGGCAAAGATATATGAATAAGCATGTTCATATTAACACTATGTGTAATCACAAAAAACATACTGTTTATCAATAAAGGTTTCAAAATACTACAGTTATTAGACAGAAGTGCTAATATTTGATTTTTTACATATTTTTTGAGACAGGGTCTCTCTCTGTCACCCAGGCTGGAAGGCAGTGGCATGACCACAGTGCATGGCAGCCTTGACCTCCTCGGGCTCAGGTGTTCCTCCTGCCTCAGCCTCCCAAGTAGCTGGGACTACAGTTATGCGTCACCATGCCCGGTTAATTTTTTTTTTTGTAAAGATGACATTCTGCTATGTTGCCTAGGCTGGTCTTGAACTCCTGGGCTCAAGCGATCTGCGTGCCTCGGCCTCCCAAAGTGCTAGTATTACAGTTGTGAGCCACTGTGCCCAGCCAAGCGCTAATATGTTAAAGAGAAGGCTGGGCGCAGTGGTTCACGCCTGTAATACCAGCACTTTGGGAGGCTGAGGCAGGTGGATAACTTGAGGTAGGAGTTTGAGAACAGCCTGGCCAACATGATGAAACCCCATCTTTACTAAAAATACAAAAATTGGCCAGTGTCGTGGCGTACACCTGTAGTCAGAGCTACTCAGCAGGCTGAGGCAGGAGAATCGCCTGAATAGAGGAGACGGAGGTTGCAGTGACCTGAGATCGTGCCAATGCACTTCAGCCTGGGTAACAGAGCAAGACTCTGTCTCAAAAAAAAAAATTTTTTTTTAAAGAGGAAAAAAAGGAAGTTGCAAATGGTACTAATACTATGATTCCATTTTTGTTAAAATAATTTAGTATATTTTATGTAATATATTAGTAAATTGTGAAGAAATTTACAACAGGGCACTGGATTGTAGGAGTCTTTCAGTTTTTACTTTATATAAGTTTTATAATAATCACTCTTGAACTCCGGGGCTCAAGTGATTCTCCTGACTCAGTCTCCCAAAGTGCTGGGATTACAGGCATGAGCCACCATGCCCAGTTACTGACTTTTTTAATCATAAAAATTTATAGCCAGCACGGTGGATCACGCCTGTAATGCCAGTACTTTGGGAGGCCAAGGTGGGCGGATCATGAGGTCAGGAGTTTGAGAGCAACATGATCAACATGGTGGAACCCCGTCTCTACTAAAAATACAAAAATTAGCCAGGTATGGTGGCAGGCACCTGTGATCCCAGCTACTTGGGAGGTTGAGGCAGGACAATCGCTTGAACCTGGGAGGCAGAGGTTGCAGTGAGCCGAGATTGTGCTAGTGCACTCTAGCCTGGGTGACAGAGCAAGACTGTCTCGGAAAAAAAAAATTTTTTTAATAAAATACAGGAACCATGTAAGAACATTACAGACAGATGACTATATTAGCTTCTAATCAGGAGAGAAAACACTTTTTTTGAGACAGAGTTTTACTCCTGTTACCCAGGCTGGGGTGCAATGGCGCGATCTCAGCTCACTGCAATCTTCACCTCCTGGGTTCAATCAATTCTCCTGCCTCGGGCTCCTGAGTAGCTGGAATTACAGGTGCCCACCACCACGTCCGGCTAATTTTTTGTATTTTTAGTAGAGACAGGGTTTCACCATGTTGGTCAGGCTGTCTCAAACTCCTGACCTCGGCCGGGCGCGGTGGCTCAAGCCTGTAATCCCAGCACTTTGGGAGGCCGAGACGGGCGGATCACGAGGTCAGGAGATCGAGACCATCCTGGCTAACACAGTGAAACCCCGTCTCTACTAAAAAATACAAAAAAAAAAAACTAGCCGGGCGAGGTGGCGGGTGCCTGTAGTCCCAGCTACTCGGGAGGCTGAGGCAGGAGAATGGCGTAAACCCGGGAGGCGGAGCTTGCAGTGAGCCGAGATCCGGCCACTGCGCTCCAGCCTGGGCGACAGAGCAAGACTCTGTCTCAAAAAAAAAAAAAAAAAAAAAAAAACAAAACTCCTGACCTCAGGTGATCCACCCACCTCAGCCTCACAAAGTGCTGGGATTACATGCGTGAGTCACTGCGCCCGACCACAAACACAGTTTTATACACAATAGCATTTATAAAAACATAAGAACTAGTCTTTTTTCTATCATGTCTAGAAAATACTATGTATTTTATTTTATTTTATTTTTTTGAGGTGGAGTCTCCCTCTGTTGCCCAGGCTGGAGTATAGTGGCGTGATCTCAGCTCACTGCAACCTCTGCCTCCTGGGTTCAGGCAGTTCTCCTGCCTCAGCTTCCAGAGTAGCTGGGATTACAAGCGTCTGCCACCATGCCCAGCTAATTTTTTTTTGGTATTTTTAGTAGAGACAGGGTTTCACCATGTTGGCCAGGCTGGTCTCGAACTTCTGAACTCAAGTGATCTGCCCGGCCTTGGCCTCCCAAAGTGCTGGGATTACAGGCATGAGCCACCATGTCTAGCATAAGTTTTTTTTGTTTTGTTTTGTTTTGAGATGAAGTCTTGCTCTGTCACCCAGGCTGGAATGCAATGGCATGATCTTGTCTCACTGCAACCTCCGCCTCCTGGGTTCAAGCGATTCTCCTGTCTCAGCCTCCTGAGTAGCTGGGATTACATGCATGCACCACCACGCCTGGTTAACTTTTTGTATTTTTGTAGAGATGGGGTTTCACCCTGTTGGCCAGGCTGGTCTTGAACTTCTGACCTCAAGTGATCCACCTGCTGCACCCTCCCAAAGTGCTGGGATTACAGGAGTGAGCGACCATGCCCGGCACATCCAGCCTAAGTTTTAAAACAGGAATTGGAGTAGTTAAGATATGAAATATAAGGAATTAAGCAAGAATTGCCCCAGGAGTATGGGAAGAACAGAATAATTCAAAATGAAAATCTGAATATTAGAAATGCATTTCTAAAGTAGCCTGCCTCACCATCAGTTTAATTTTGAAGGCAAATGTTATTTCTAAAGGAACAAAAGAGGAATGGCAAAAAGATGGGAAGAAATGAGCTAAAAGCTGGCGCATGGCAGATGCAACTGATAGCAATAACTTAAGCATACTCTGAAAATGAACCTATGGTCTAAGAAGAATGTGTAACTGGAGTCCCAAGCTAAATAATCTGGGAGAGTCCAATGTGAAGTTTCACTCCTTATCTATGAAGGACATCTGAACTCTCGGCTCATCCCTTGGAAGGCCATACGGGATGGAGACCCTTTGTTCTGGGTTAAATGGAGGTTGCTAGGTAAAGGGTGCTAAGTGAAAATGCTATGTAAACTGCATGGTCTCTACAGATGGTAGCAGTTCTCCTGTGTAGCCTGTTGCCACCTGAACTGCCATTTCTACTGGAGTCAATATGGGTCCAGCACAACACCAGCCCATTTGATATTTGGTGATGTTGGTATCTTATGAATATATTATACTACTGCCAAGGTATAATGGTTAAATTCCACTCCAACAAAGAGAACTAACATTTACTGACAATTCTTTTCTTTTCTTTGTTTTTGAGATGGAGTTTCACTCTTATTGCCCGGGCTGGAGTGCAGTAGCGCAATCTCAGTTCACTGCAACCTCCGCCTCCTGGGTTCAAGCAATTCTCCTGCCTTGGCCTCCCGAATAGCTGGGATTACAGGCACCCACCAAAACGCCTGGTTAATTTTTTTGTAGTTTTAGTAGAGATGGGGTTTCACCATGTTGGCCAGGCTGGTCTTGAACTCCTGACCTCAAGTGATCCACCCGCCTTGGCCTCCCAAAGTGCTGGGATTACAGGTGTAAGCCACAGCGCCCGGCCAACAATTCTTTTCAATATGATACGGTTACAAGACCACTATCACGCCCCTCTTTCTGGTATACATGGGAATTCTTATAGTAAAATCAATTAGCTTTTATTAAGTTTTCTCCTATAAAAAGCATGCTCACTCATTCCATCATCAGTAACACCTATTTAAAAACAGCAGCAACAACACTAAACACTACCTACCCGTTGTCCAGAAGAAAAAGAATGAGAACAACTAACTTCACCGACTAAATGAAGAAGAATGTAGGTCAGGTAATATGCCTGTTAGAGAAATGAATAAAATTAACACCTATGAATTAGCTAGCATAGATGTCATTCCAATTTACACATTAGGAAAGTTGCCCAGGAAGGATAAAGGATACGTTAAAGTTAACCCAGCTGGTCAGTAAGTAAAAGCCAAGCATCTAAACTAGGCTTTCTAATTTCTAACTTAAGTGCATTCTTTTTACCATGATGCATGACCTCATGACTGCCCTAATAAAGGGCTACAAAAAATACTCTTGGGAGCAAATTACCAACAATCATCCTTTTACTCACATTTTCAACTCTCAAATTTATGGAAGAATTTCATGACAGCGATAAATTAAAAATATCATTTGCTTTAAAATTATGTTTGCTAGAATGTATCTAGTGTCCCAATCCAGAAATGCCTATATTATCAGTCTATGGTTAGGAAGCTGATATCAGTTATGCTTCTATGTACTCTTTGAGACCTCCTAGCATTGGATACCTGCTTTTCAAGTTCTAAATGTAGACTGTCATCAATAGTGCCATCTGGTTGTTCAGCCTTTTTCTTTAAGACCATTTTCTTTAACAAATCAGAAGGCTTCATCTGCACAAGATAGCGATGTAGGACTGATACCTATCAAAAGAAAGAGGAGACATTGAACAAACCTAAATAATACAGTTGCTCTTTCTTAGGCTATTTTTTCCAGTGTGTCCTCTTTCATTTTGTCCTTTTATTATAGCTTTCTTTACACTTGAACAATATTCATTTTCCCTTTATGTAAAACCCCTGAATTGCTTAAAAAAGGATTTTAAGTGGCCAGGCACAGTGGCTCACACCTGTAATGCCAGCATTTTAAGAGGCCGAGGGAGGTGAATCACCTGAGGTCAGGAGTTCGAGACCAGCCTGGCCAACGTGGAGAAACCCCGTCTCTACTAAAAATACAAAAATTATCTGGGCGTGGTGGCACATGCCTGTAGTCCTAGCTACTTGGAAGGCTGAGGCACAATAATCACTTGAATACGCAGGGCAGAGGTTGCAGTGAGCCAAGATCGTGCCACCTTACTCCAGCCTGGGTGACAGAGCAACACTCCGTCTCTCAAAAAAAAAAAAAAAAGTAAGGGATTTTAAATTAGAGATTTAGTACTTGTAACTTGGGATAAATGCTTAGGAGACCAAATGATATTATAACAGAGGCCACAGGGAATGCTTTCTCTGTTAAATTATTCAAAAGTCAACAAAGTTGACTCTGTGGTTAGAAGTCATTGAATTCTGAGAAGAACTACAAGAAGTTGGGGTAAAAATCGCAACTAGATTGTAACTTGAATATCAGTTAGTGAGTTTGAGGGTTAATTATTCATATAATTATTTGGTTAATTATTCTATTTTACATGGGCAAAAAAGGAAAAAGTAACAGAACAACAAAAGTTAGGAGAAATGGTAGAAATCCTATCCCCGGATCTTTTTCGAAGGCAGTAAATATCATTGAAAGGAATGAGAACTATCTGCTAATTACCCTGGTAGCTCCAGCACGATCCCCATATATCTGGAATCAAATCTACCTCAACTCTACTAAAGCAGAAACCAGCTGTGCCCATCAATCTCTCCATCCCCAGCATCTTCTGCATGCTTCGGTTACTGTTCTTACCACACTAACCCACAAGAGTTGGTTAATTTTGTTTCAACCATTAGATTATATTTTCAAGGGCAGCCTCAAATCTAAATCTTTGTTTTGTTTTAATTCCTAAGACCTGGTGGCATACCTTGTACCAAATTGCAATTCAAACAAGAACAAAGGGACATCCAGATCAGGTTCTACGGTGAGTTTTTTTTTTTTTTTTTGAGACACAGTCTCGCTCTGTCGCCCAGGCTGGAGTGCAGTAGCGTGATCTCGGCTTACTGCAAGCTCCGCCTCCCGGGTTCACGCCATTCTCCTGCCTCAGCCTCCCGAGTAGCTGGGACTACAGGTGCCTGCCACCAGGCCTGACTAATTTTTTTGTATTTAGTAGAGATGGGGTTTCACGGTGTTGGCCAGGATGGTCTCGATCTCCTGACCTTGTGATCCGCCCACCTAGGCCTCCCAAAGTGCTGGGATTACAGGTGTGAGCCACCGTGCCTGGCCTATGGTGAGTTTTCAAATCCAACCAAGGGCAGCCCCATTAGTGCTATCAATGTTTGTAAAAAGCCTTCAGAACTTCTGAGAGAGGGACTTCCGTAGGACATTTTTTTAAATTAAAAAAATTCACATATATATATTAAAGACAGGGTCTCCCCATGTTGCTTAGGTTGGACTCGAACTCCTGGATTCGAAGGATCCTCTGGCCTCAGCCTCCCAAGTAGCTGGGACTATAGGTGTGTGCCACCACTACCGAGCAACAGTTGGACATGTTTGTCCACATTCTCATATATACATGATATATTCTTACTGAACAAGTACTAGAGGGCAACTACATTTAAGCTCTATGATCTAAAAAGACTCATTTTAAAACAGGTTAAAGATGCAATCAATGTACAATGGTTTTGCAATTTCTAAGCTTGCGATAAAACTGCTAACTTAGACAAGCTGAACTAATTCAATAAATGAAATCATATTCATGTAATTCCACATTATGATTTTCCCAGTAGTTTCTTTATACATTAATTCACAGCTGATTGTCCACAACCATTCTATGTGGTGGAGGGTGCAATACTATCTCCATTTCACAGATGAAAAAACTGGACCTTGTTAGTTAAGTGTGCTAGAGATTACATGAACAGTATCATGCTTGAGAGCTGAGCTCTGACCCCAGGACCTTTGACTTAGGGTTCATCAATTTTCCTTATACCTCTCATTACCTCTCCCATTTATTAAAAATAAAAATGTATTTATTTATACCTGCAGATTACTGGCATTAGGAACATCTTCATGTTTCTCATCCAAAAGCTTTGAAATAATCACTAGACTGAGGCACTGTCTCAGTTGCCTAGAATTAGAAGTTAAAAGTATTTAGAATGTATTTTAATTAATACTGCTTGAAAAGCAAATGAATGAGTCAAGAGGAGCTCTAGTTCTAATTGGAAATATAGGCAATGTTTCAAGAGAAGTCTGTACAGGAACATATAAGCTGTTATAGAACAGTAAAATTTTCATGTAAAATATTTGTACATAAAACTTGAATTATCTGAAGCTCAGTAAATCATTTAACAGCCTTATCTTTGACCCTGATGATTTACTGACAGAAAACCTATTTTTTTTTACTGATGAAATTTATTTTTACTAAAGCAAAAAAAAGCTGATTCATTTATTTTTGTGGAATATGTCATCTGTATTAAGGTAACAGATAAACTAAAATTAAAAATAAAAAAATATTCAACTTGGGTGACAGAGTGAGACTCTGTCTCAAAAAAAAAAAAAAAAATTACATAACGACCTGAGTTAAGAATTAGAGTAAGAAAGAATCAGGCTATCAATGCCTTTTCTCACAACTGAATATGAAATAAACATCTCTGATCTAACATTCAAAGAATGATGAATGGAAATAAAGAACCAAGGCATTTCATTAATCTAAAATTATAAAATTTCTTAATGTTTAATTCTCACTTTTCAATACCTTCCACGTGATGTCCAATTAGGGACCAGCTGTACTAACCACAGAAGGTTGTGGGGATGACTCGAGAGTTCATTTATGCCCAGACAGAGTTCACGCACCTGAAAAAAAAGAACATGTAAGATTTCTTTTCAAACAGAACAGTAAAATCAAACACCCAACAGATCATCTACATCCCTTCTTGCCATAATGGAAGCACTAGTACAAAATAAGGGCACACATTTTTAGAAATAGCATGGAGTCTAGAATCTGCTAAAATGTACACAATACACAGATTGTTTTACTTATACTATCTTAAATGGACTGAACAGATACATTTAGCAGAATTTCACTTGGCTTTCATGTTTTGTACTACATCATATCTTTAAACAGTCCTTCTTGGAAGGATAAACTGATCTAAACATAAATGTGTATCAGAGTTGTACAAGACTATATATATTCCTGATTTGGGATTTCTTGCACTTTAGGGATCCTATTTCAGTATTTTTAAAAGCCTAACACCTGGCTGGGTGTGGTGGCTCATGCCTGTAATCCCAGCACTTTGGGAGGCTAAGGAAGGTGAATCCCTTGAGGCCAGGAGTTTGAGACCAGCCTGGCCAACATGATAAAACCCTGTGTCTACTAAATACACAGAAATTAGCTGGGCAGGGTGGCGTGTGTCTATGGTCTCAGCTACTTAGGAGGCTGAGGCACAAGAATCACCTGAAACTAGGAGGCAGAGGTTGCACTGAGACAAGATTGCATCACTGTACTCCTGCCTGGGTGACAGGAGATGCTGTCTAAAAAAAAAAAAAAAAGCCTAACACCCCCCAAATATGTATTACCATTGTGTATCAATTTTTTTAAAAGCCTAACAGTTGCTTCAAAATAATCTGATGAGCAGGGAAAGGAAATATAGGGTCAGTTTTACATTAGACAAGATTATGTCTCAATTATTGAAGCAAAGTGATACTTAGGAATTTATTATACTCTTTGCCTTACTTCTGCCTATTTTAATTTTTCCACCAAAAAAGACTGAAAAATATAATTTTTAAAAAGTCCTAACAAAAATTATACATGTTCATCCTCCATATGGTTGCAGAAGTTCAACTCAAATTCTGGTTGTAGGTATGACTCACTCCGTCATTTCATTTAGGTCTCTGCTCCAAGGTTATTTTGGAAAGGCCTTTCCCTGACTGCCTTATATGAAATAGCATAGCATCCAGTCTTGCTGTACTCATGTCCTGCTTTATTTTAATTTGTAGTACTTAACTACTACCTGACATGATAATATAATCAACATTTACTTGTTTATCTAACCCTTTGACTAGGACAAAAGCCCCATGAAGGCAAAGGCTTTGTCTCTTTCACAGCTCAATCTCTAGCACCTACATTAATGCTGAGTCCACAGGAAATCCCCAATAAACACATTTTTGTTGGATAAAGAGCTGAAGTTTTAGAAAAAATTCAATTATCATGAATTTAAATAATACAGCTCCAGCAAACAGTCTCTTCCTCAGTTCATTTTTAATCTGCCAAAGATCTTGAGTTTAGAAACAGTATTAATTCCATATGCACTATGAGTCAAATTGTAATGCTATATAAAAAATGAATAATGAAGTTTTAAGTAACATTACCTTTGTGTTCCAATCTCTGATGTTTTTCATCAGGTTTATCAGGAGGCTTTGAAAGTCTACTAGAGGAATCTGTTTCAGCTGTTTTTCCAAACTCATTTTAAATAACATTAAAATCAGCAACATTATTTCACGATCCTGGTAACCTTCTGGATGTATAGATGTACACAAGCCTAGAAACTGTTTAACATAAATGCACAGACAAAAATATTTTAGAAGGTGTATTTTATTTTTAGGGTTTTAATTATAAACTTTTTGACAAAAGACGCAAAAAAGAACTATAAAGAAAACAAACATCAGATGTCTAGACAAAAGAAGGCAAGAACTACTCCACGTTAATAGTTGAATTAAGTGGCATTTTCTTCTCCATTTTCCATTTTTGAGATTTTCTTAATGGTTCAGTAACACTGATTCAATTCAGCAACTAAAAATGTTTCACACTGTCATTAACTTTTTTTGACCTTCTTTTTTTTGAGACGGAGTCTCACTCTGTCGCCCAGGCTGCAGTGCAGTGGTGTGATCTCGCCTCACTGCAACTTCCACCTCCCAGGTTCAAGTGATTCTCCCGCCTCAGCCTCCCCAGTAGCTGGGATAACAGGACCTGCCACCATGCCTGGCTAATTTTTTTTTTTGCGATTTTTAGTAGAGACAGGGTTTCACCATGTTGGCCAAGCTGGTCTCGAACTCCTGACCTCAGCTGATCCACCCGCCTTGGCCTCCCACAGTGCTGGGATTACAGGCATGAGCCACCGTGCCCGGCCTCTGCCATTAATGCTTGATCACTAAATTATATTGTAAGACTTCTTTCTTCATACATCCTACTTATAAAAAACTATTGGTTTCAAAACTATTTAATGATGTAACTGACCTAAAGTTCCTGTTCATCACTAATATTAAAACAACACAAAAACAGCAAAAACAATCTTTAATACAAAGATTATTGCTAAGAAATTTCAGAGACTGGAAATCACCTGGTAAGAAACTAGAGTTTTTTTTTTGAGACACAGTCTCACTCTGTTGCCCAGGCTGGAGAGCAGTGGCGTGATCTCAGCTCACTGCAAGCTCCGCCTCCCAGATTCACACCATTCTCCTGCCTCAGCCTCTCGAGCAGCTGGGACCACAGGTGCCCGCCACCACACCCAGCTAATTTTTTTTTTTTTTGTATTTTTAGTAGAGACGGAGTTTCACCATGTTAGCCAGGATGGTCTTGATCTCTTGACCTTGTGATCTGCCTGCCTTGGCCTCCCAAAGTGCTGGGATTACAGGCGTAAGCCACCGCGCCCGGCCTGTATTTTTAGTAGAGACGGGTTTTCACTGTGTTAGCCAGGATAGTCTCGATTTCCTGACTTCGTGATCTGCCCGCCTTGGCCTCCCAAAGTGCTGGGATTACAGGCGTGAGCCACCGTGCCCAGCCGAGATTTTTTTTTTTTCAAAAAACCATTAACCACAGACCAAATGGTTCTAGCTCTGAGCCAAAGACACACAAAAGTTTTTTCCTACCTTAACCACATTTAAAATGTTGGTTTCAGGAAGTGTTGAAAAAATTGGCTTATAAGATGAATCTTCACTTTCTTTTCCCCTTGATGTTGTCTGTGTTTCAGAACTATTGAGAAGTGAGTAAAGCAATGTGAAGTTAGGCACAAAATATATTACTCACTTTAAGAAATACTGGGCTACTTTTTAAAAACTATGTTTTATCGAGGTATAATTTACATACAATAAAAGGAATGTACCCATTTTAAGTTTTGATAATCATATATACTAATGTAACCACCATCCTAATCAAGAAGTAGAACATTTCCATTCCCCTCAAAAATCTCTTTATGCCAAATCCAAGTCAATCTGCTATCCCTGACTCAAGGCAAACACTAATATCATTTCTATCATTATGCATCAGTTTTCTCTTGAACAAACTACGTTTTATATGGTACTATCCTCCTTGCTCTTGGTGTTAGAGAGCTATGTAGAAGATGGTTCTGACTAAAAAGAATTCATAATAGGTAAAAGACTCATAAATGGCCTAAAGAAACTGCTATAGCAATATACAGAAACAATTCAACGCATTCTACTTCTAATTGTCAGAGGTTATCAGTGAAGATTCATGAAAGAGGAGATGCATGAACTTCGCTTTCAAAAGATAGACAACATTTTAAATTTTTTGAAAAAACAATACTTTTACATGCTTTAAAAAAAATATATATATATATATATATTTTTTGAGACGGAGTCTCGCTCTGTCCCCAGGCTGGAGTGCAGTGGCCAGATCTCAGCTCACTGCAAGCTCCGCCTCCCGGGTTTACGCCATTCTCCTGCCTCGGCCTCCCGAGTAGCTGGGGCTACAGGCGCCCGCCACCTCGCCCGGCTAGTTTTTTGTATTTTTTAGTAGAGACGGGGTTTCACCGTGTTAGCCAGGATGGTCTCGATCTCCTGACCTCGTGATCCGCCCGTCTCAGCCTCCCAAAGTGCTGGGATTACAGGCTTGAGCCACCGCGCCCGGCAAAAAAATCAAAATATATTAAGGTACAGTATGCTGGGATAAACTGCCCTCCTAGCTCCGTTCTTTATAACTACTCGTTTCTTCCCTAAGATAATTACTACAAGTTTTAGTCCTTCCTTCCATTGGCATTTTATGTATAAACAAACAAATACGAATATATGTCCCACTGTGGTATAAGAAGAAATACATTTGATCTTTGTCCCCAATCCCTGGCACAGAGCTCCTAAAACCTCTGGAATGTCTGATGAGGTAGGAGGAGCCTCTTTTGTTATTTATAATAATCCCTTTTTAACCATACCTAAATTTATGCTAATAAAGTGACTCCTGGAGGATGGGGGCTGGTTGACAGAGTTATCAACCATGTGACTAGAAGGCTGAAACTTTCAGTCTCACCCAGAGGGGTTAAAGATTAAGTTAATCACCAATGGCTAATGCTTTAATCAACCATCCCTGTATAATTGGCCCTCCAAAAATACCCTAAAGTTCAGAGAGCTTCTGGATTGGCTAATGCATCAAGATGATGAGAGGGTGGGTAGGGTGGAGTGGCTCACACCTGAATCCCAGCACTTTGAGAGGCTGAGGCAGGCAGATAGCCTGAGCCCAGGAGTTCAAGACTCACCTGGGCAATACAGCAAAATTTGACTGGGGGTGGTGGCTCACATGTAATCCCAGCACTTTGGGAGGCTGAGGCAGGCAGATCACCTGAGGTCAGGAGTTCGAGACCAGCCTGGGCCAACATGGTGCAACCCCATCTCTGCTAAAAATAGAAAAATTAGGCGGGCATGGTGGCGGGCGCCTGTAATCCCCGCTACTCGGGAGGCTGAGGCAGGAGAATCGCTTGAACCTGGGAGGTGGAGGTTGCAGTGAGCTGAGATCGCACCACTGCACTCCAGCCTGGGCAACAGAGCAAGACTTTGTCTTAAAAAAAAAAAAAAAAAAAAAAAAAAGCGAAACTCTGTCTTCTCTATTAAGAAAGAAAGAAAAAACCTCTCCGTGCCTACCTTACTTGTAAAATGGAAATGAAAACCTTACTAGTATTTGTAGTAACTACTAAGTGAGGTACTATGTGAATGAAGCCCTTAGAACAGAGTCTGGCACACAGCAAACACTATATAAGGGCTAGCTATTATGATGTGGAGGGACAGCAGGCAGACCAATTTGATTAGAAAGCTGACAACAAAACAGAAAACAGGTCAGGGTAAAATCGTAACGTCTTAAATATAGGGTATAAAGGTTTGAGAATAGTAGAGAGTGAGTTCCTGCAACAGTGAAAAGAATATCTTGCAGGTGGAAAGGCCCTGGAGGAAAGATTTTTTGCCAGGCTAGGCAGGAAAAGAGAATCTGAATTAGACTGACACAGGAAATGAAAAGGAACGAATAGATATGACATAGGTGGAGGAAAAGGAACGTAGGGATGTGATAATTGAAAGGATACAGAACTGAAGGTTAGAATGTATTTAGACTTAAATTTTAAGTCTATGTACCTAGCAGAATAATGGTCAAGAAAAGAAATGTACTAGTATCCTTTAATATCTGAATTTTCTCTACCTAAATATTTATTCTGACGATCTGCAAACATTTTCACTCTACATCTACTATTTGTATAGATAACTTGCCATGATAAATATGCATATACACACTGGCAAAAATGGGTAAGCTGTGAGTCCTGGTTAAAAAAAGAACAGTGATGGCCAGGTGCAGTGGCTCATGCCCATAATCCCAGCACTTTGGAAGGTCAAGGTGTTAGGATTGCTTGAGCCCAGGATTTTGAGACCAGCCTGGGCAACATAGCCAGATCCATTCTCTATGAAAAAATTTAAAAACATTGGCCAGGCATGGTGGTGTGTGTCTGTAGTGCCAGGGTACTCAGGAAGCTGAGGTAGGAGGGCCACTTGAGCTCAGGAGTTCGAGGGTGCAATGACCCATAACTGTGTCACTGCACTCCAGCCTCAGTGACAGACCAAGACCTCATCTTGTGGAAGGGAGGAAGGAGGGAAGGGGAAGGGGAAGGAGAAGGGGGGGAAGCGAGGGAAGTTAGGGAAGGGGAAGGGAGGGAAGGGAAAGGAGAGAAGGGAGGAAAGGGAAGGAAGGAAAGGAAGGAAGGGAGGGCAGGGAGGGACAGAGGGGAAGGAAGGGAAGAAAAGAAAAGAAAGAAAAGAAAGAGAACAGTGAGTGGGGTAGGATCTTAACAAGTTCAAGCCAGGCAGTGGCTCATGCCTGTAATCCCAGCAGTTTGGGAAGCTGAGGCCAGGGGATCGTCTTAGCTCAGGAGTTCCAGACCAGCCTGGGCAACATGGCAAAACCCCGTCTCCACAAAAAATAAAAAAATATTAGCTGGGCGTGGTGGTGAGTACCTGTGGTCTCAACTACTCGGGAGGCTGAGGTGGGAAGATCACTTGAGCCTGGGAGGCAGAGGTTGCTGTGAGCTGACATTGTGTCACTGCACTCCAGCCTGCACAACAAAGCAAGACCCTGTCTCAAACACACACACACACACACACACACACACACACACAATTTCCAGACTCATGCTCATGTTGTTTAAACAGGCATTTTGTTACACAGCACTCATTCCTTCACCAGATCACTTGTGTTAAGTTTGTGCCCATCTTTACTCACCACTATACAACAGTGACTATAGCCACCACCGTTTATTTCCACTACTGTACATGTTCACTACAGTAAGAAAAATTCAAATTGTTGTACACCACATACAAAATTACCACACACTACTGAGTTCATTAAATGTTAAATAATAAAGTAGCAGTATGTTAAATGTTTATATTATGCAGAAATATGTGGTAACTTTTAAAATATAAGTGTTTAAGAACATTCTTGTAATATTTAGGGGAAATAGTTGGGATTTTTGGATGGGCTGGATAAACATTATTTTTCCTATTTAAAGTGATGAAACATAGTCTCTAGCTGAAATGTTGCTATCCAATATATTTTCAGATGCAGATTACATCTGAGTAACCAGGGATCCTATACGGAGTGGAAACAGAATTTTCATAATGTTTAAGTGAATATATTCAACTTTTTCCTCTTTTACTTCCTTTACCTTTCCATTTTTATTCCCTTTTCTGTGATCAGTCTATTCATTTCCTCTGCCCATTTTTCTAATAGGTATTGATCTTTTTCTTATTGACTTGAAATTAATACTTTGTCTGTAACCAGTTTCCTTTTTTTTTTTTAAGATGGAGTCTCACTCTGTCGTCCAGGGTGGAGTGCAGTGGTGTGATCTCGGCTCACTGCAACCTCCGCCACCCAGGTTTAAGCGATTCTCCTGCCTCAGCCTCCCAAGTAGCTGGGACTAAAGGTGCGTGCCACTACACCCCGCTAACTTTTTTGTATTTTTGGTAGAGATCCGGTTTCATCATGTTGGTAAGGCTGTTCTCGAACTCCTGACCTCAAGTGATCCGCCTGCCTTGGCCTCCCAAAGTGTTGGGATTACAGGCATGAGCCACTGTGCCTGGCCCCCACCTTTTTTTTTTTTTTTTTAAAGACAAGGTCTCAGTCTGCCACCCATGCTGTAGTACTGTGGTGTGATCACAGCTCGCTGCAACTTCCAATTCCCAGCCTCAAGTGATTCTCCTGCCTTGGCCTCCCCAAATGTTGGCATTACAGGTATAAGCCACCACACCCAGCCCAGTGTATCTTTTAACTAGTTACACTTCACATATCTGAAGGTTATTGATTTCTGTTTATTATTTTTATACCCAGACACCCACACCAAATTTTCTTAGTTATTTGTCATAGTTTTTCACCCAAGTCTTAGGCTTCTATGTCTAGATTAACTCACATCTACAAATAATCTTTCAGCAACTCCTTTCCAATTTTTGTATCTCTTGTTTTTTGTCTCTTGTCTAATTACTCTGGCCAATACTTCCACCAAAACAATGTTAAATAACAATGGAAAGTCTTGTAAAAAGAAAACAAAACTTTTATGAGAATATTTCTATTGTTTGCCTGCTAAACATGATGACGGCTTTTAGATTAAGACAGATGTTAAGAATGTATCTAATTCAAGATTGATCTCAACTTTGAGAGATCTTTTTAAAAATCAGAAATAAATATTAAACTTTAGCTATAATTATAGGTAAGTTGTACGAAATGGTATTTTTGGAGTTAATTATGATGAGAAAACTTACACTAGATAGTCTTCATTAAAGTCTGGCTGAAGATTCTCCAGGGGAAACAAAGATCTAAAATCAATCCCCATATTGAAAAACACAGCTGCTATATCAGACAATGATGGGATCCAGGGCCAAACTGGTGAGTCACTGAAGGTATCTAATTAACAGAAGAAAACATTTCATTCTAAATCTGTGGTCTACAAACCCACATTTGCAAGGTGACAGTCTGCATGTGAAACATGAATAATTACAATGGTTTTATACAAATGACAGCTGCTAATTTTATGCTAACAATATAGTTATAGGTTGATCATAGGAATTATAGATTTCCAAATAAAATGAAGAAAATGACATAAAGAAAATATCTGAGAGTGATGGATAAAAGGGTGTAACTCAGAAGGAAGTAACACGTTTTAAAACGGCTGGAAATACCACTGGTAAAATCCCAACTATCAATAACACAGAAAGATTTTTTATCATCTTCATTGCCTTTATAGTCCCAATCCCCAAGACAGATGAAACAGGTAAACCACCATGCTTCTTTTATTTTTAAGGGCTCCCAAAGATGAGAAAGCAAATGTTATACCTTTGCAGTGGATGCTTTCAATATGCCTTACTATATTATCAGTATAATACTGCTGCTTACCAATAAGCCAATTAAACTTAGTTGGCTAAGTAAGTTTGGAACCATTTCCACTTATCAAGCAAAGTAAGCCATGATTTGGTAAATAGTAGGTGAGGGCTTCCACTTGCAAGATCTTATACTCTTTTCTCAATGCAAGTAGGAAAATTCAGATACTCATTGTTTAACTGAAGTTCCATTTCATTATCAAAGACTTTTGAGGTCGGGTGAGGTGGCTCATGCCTGTAATCCTAGCACTTTGGGAGGCCGAGGCGGGTAGATTGCCTGAGCTCAGGAGTTCGAGACCAGCCTGGGCAGCATGGTGAAACCCCGTCTCTACTAAAATACAAAACAATTAGCCGGGTGTAGTGGTATGTGCCTGTAGTCCCAGCTACTCAGGAAGCTGAGGCATGAGAATTGCTTGAACCAGGAAGGTGGGAGTTGCAGTGCTGAGATTGTGTCACTGCACGTTAGCCTGGGCGACAGCAAGATTCTGTCTCAAAAAAACAAAAAAATGACTTTTGATTAGAAAAATAATTTTATATTCTATATTTCCAAATATACTAACATTTAGCAATATGAAAGATACCATGTAAATAGCAACCAATAATACACACTGTAAATCGCAGTAAGTTGATATACTTACCATTTCTAATAGTTATTTCCATCAGTGTACTTAAAATCTGCACTGACACAATACAGTCTGTATGAACTGACATCATCTGTCAAAAGCAGAGAAATGACAGGGTATTAAGAAGGAAGAAAACACAAACATTCATTATTTGCTAGGCACATATAAAGTTGTTTTATGTGGGCCAGGTGCAGCAGTTCATGCCTGTAATCCCAGCACTTTGTGAGGCTAAGGCGGGCGGATACCTTGAGCTTAGGAGTTTGAGACCAGCCTGTGCAAGATGGCGAAACCCCATCTCTACAAAAAATACAAAAATTAGCCAGGTGTGGTGGTGTACACCTGTAGTGGAGGATTGGTTGAGACCAGGAGGTGGAGGTTGCAGTGAGCCATGATCGTGTCACAAAAATAAAAAATAAAATAAAGGCATTTTATGTGCATTTAATACTAATGATAGCCTTGTGAAGTGGTACTCATTACACATATGAGCAAATAGGTTCAGAGAGATTAAATATTCTGCTCAACTGATATAAATGATATGTGGAGAATGTGGAGTTTAATTCTAAAGTCAGAGCTCTTTACATTCTAACATGCTGTTTTTGTTTTTTACAACTGTCATTTATAATTAGACAAATAAAACATTTGAAACTTTCAAAAAATGTCTTTTTAGTAAACAGCATGACATGAAACCAAAAAACCATAAAGGAAAAGGCTGCAGGTAAAAATCAAACCACAAATTAATAAGATACGAATATACAAAATAATATACCAACATAGTTTTTCAAAGATGCTCAATATCACTAGATCAAAGAGATGTAATAAAAACAGTAAGATATCACTGATTGGCCAGGCCCGGTGGCTCACGTCTGTAATCCCAGCACTTTGGGAGGCCAAGGTGGGTGGGTCACGAGGTCAGGAGATCGAGACCATCCTAGCTAACATGGTGAAACCCCGTCTCTACTAAAAGTACAAAAAAAATTAGCCGGGTGGTGGCAGGCGCCTGTAGTCCCAGCTACTCGGGAGGCTGAAGCAGGAGAATGGAGTGAACCCGGGAGGCGGAGCTTGCAGTGAGATTGCGCCACTGCACTCCAGCCTGGGCGACTGAGCAAGACTCCGTCTCAAAAAAAAAAAAAAAAAAAAAGATGTCACTGATTGACTTCTAAATTGGCAATGATCAAGAATACTGATACTACCCTGCATTCATAGGAGTACTAGAAAGGAGGAAAGTAGTCTTATGCCTCATGTGAGTGCAATTTGGTTAAAACTTTTAAACTAGGGCCAGCTGCAGTGTCTCACACCTGCAATCTCAGCACTTTGGAAGGCTGCAGTGGGAGGATCATTTGAGCCCAGGAGTTCAAGACTGGCCTGAGCAACATGGCAGGGCCCCACCTCTACAAGAAATTTTTTAAAATTAGCTGGGTGTGGTGGTGCATACCTATAGTCCCAGCTACTTGAGGGGCTGAGGCGGAAGTATCACTTGAACTCGGGAGGCTGAGGCTGCAGCAAGCAGTGATTCATACCACCGCACTCCAGCCTGCGTGGCAGAGGGAGACCCTGTCTCAAAAAAAAAAAAAAAAAAAGCCCAAAAAATCCAAAACAACTAATTGGTAATATTTATACGAAGTTATTATTTTATTTTATACTTTCACCCAGTTAGTCTTTTTACATACACGAATTTAGATGCAAATAGCATGCCTGTAACGCCTTTTTACATACAGGAATTTAGAGACAAATAATATATCTTTGTTTTTTTTGAGACGGAGTCTCACTCTGTCGCCCAGGCTGGAGTGCAGTGGTGCAACCTCGGCTGACTGCAACCTCTGCCTCCCAGGTTCAGACGATTCTCGTGCCTCCTCCTCCCAAGTAGTTGGGTCTACAGGCCTGTGCCACCATTAGGCTGGCTAATTTTTGTATTTTTTAGTAGAGACAGGGTTTCTCCATGTTAATCAGGCTGGTCTTGAACTTCTGGTCTGAAGTGATCCACCCATCTCAGCCTCTCAAAGTGCTGGGATTACAGGCTTGAGCCACCGCACCTAACCTCTGATATAACTTTTTTTTTTTTTTTTTTTTTTGAGACGGAGTCTCGCACTGTCACCCAGGCTGGAGTGCAGTGGCGCGATCTTGGCTCACTGCAATCTCCACCTCCTAGGTTCAAGTGATTCTCCTGCCTCAGTCTCCCAAGTAGCTGGGATTACAGGCACCCACCACCATGCCTGGATAATTTTTTGTATTTTCAGTAGAGACTGGGTTTCACTATGTTGGCCAGGGTGGTCTCAAACTCCTGACCTCGTCATCCGCCTGCCTTGGCCTTCCAAACTGCTGGGATTACAGATGTGAGTCACCACACCCAGCCTGACACTTTTTACAAGACAATTTTTTGGGAACAAAAATCTCAAGTTTAAAAAATTTTTAAATCATTTAACAAGGTAATTTTATAGTGGATTTGTAGACGAACACATATTGTATTTCTATTGTTATCTTTTTCATTTGCTTAGAAGCCATAGATTATAATACATTTAAATTTAAAGTGTAGCCGGGTGCAGTGGCTCACGTCTGTAATCCCAGCACTCTGGGAGGCTGAGGCGGGCAGATCATGAGGTCAGGAGATGGAGACCATCCTAACTAACATGGCGAAACCCCGTCTCTACTAAAAATATTTTTTAAAAAAATTAACCGGGCGTGGTGGCAGGCGCTTGTAGTCCCAGCTACTTGGGAGGCTGAGGCAGGAGAATGGCATGAACTCGGGAGGCAGAGGTTGCAGTGAGGTGAGATTGCACCACTGCACTCCTGCCCAGCCTGGACAACAGAGCGAGACTCCATCTCAAAAAAAAAAAAAAGATTTACAACGTAAGGGGTTGCCAGGTGCAGTGGCTCACACCTGTAATCCCAGCACTTTGGGAGGCCGAGGCAGGCAGATCACTTGAGGTCATGAGTTTGAGAGCAGCCTGGCCATCATGGTGAAACCCCATCTCTACTAAAAATACAAAAAAAAAAAAAAAATTAGCCCGGCATGGTGGTGGGCGCCTGTAATCCCAGCTACTTGAGAGGCAGAGGCAGGAGAATCGCTTGAATCTGGGATGTGGAGGTTGCAGTGAGCCGAGATTGCGCCACTGCGGCACTTCAGCCTGGGAGATCAAGCGAGACTCTGTCTTAAAAATAAATAAAATAAAATAAAATAAAATAAAATAAAATAAAATAAAAATGTAAAGAGTAACCTGAACTCTACTTTCAATCAGTCATATGGCCTGTCATTCTGAAAACAATCTATGTGGAAAAAAAACTTCTGCTATGCAGATGTTTGTGCTGCTAAGCTCTGCCACTAGGAGGCAACACCATTCACAAACATGTTACACATAGGACAAGGTTTCTAACAGTCTTTTTGTGGTGGGTGAAAAATTCCAGGGTGGGAAATACATTGATTTCAGATAAGTAAATGTGTAAAGGAGTATATACAGCAATCTAATGTCTATCAGTTGAGATTGAGTTAAATAAATCATGGTATAGCCTAACAAAGGAATACTATGAAGCCAATGAAAAGGACAACATATCAATACTCTGAGATGAAATGCTCAATAATTTACTGCTATCTGAAATAAACAAGTTATAAGAAATATTCACATGTTCTGTTTATGTTAAGTTACATGGCAATTTTTGAATGCAGAGAATACTCTAGAAAACACTGACTAAAATGTAACAGCTCCAGAAATTAGGACTTGGGAGGAGTTCAGCCTTCTTATTCTAATTTAAAAAAATTTAAATTGTTCACTCAAAACAGATTCTGACAGAAACTTCTTTTTAAAAATATTTCAGGCTGGGTGCGGCGGCTCACACCTGTAGTCCCATAACTTTGGGAGGCCGAGGTGGGGGGATCACTTAAGGCCAGGAATTCGAGGCCAGCCTGGCCAACATGGTGAAACCCCGTCTCTACTAAAAATACAAAACTTAGCCAGGTGTGGTGGCACAGGCCTGTAATCCCAGCTACTTGAGAGGCTGAGGTAGGAGAATCGCTTGAACCCAGGAGGTGGAAGTTGCAGTGAGCAGAGATCACACCACTGCACTCCAGCCTGGGCGACCGAGTGAGACTGTCTCTCAAAAATAAACAAACAAATAAATAACAAATAAATAAATAAATTTTAATCTCCTTTCCATTTTACTCGAAATTTTCACAATCAAACCTGAATTCCTTTTGAAAATCGCTAAAAAAAAAAAGTTCTAACCTTTTTCTGGTCTACTACATTTAGATATTCATGATAAAATCACAAAAATGCAAGGATTTTAATTACATTTTAACAATTAAACTTACAAAATACTAGTTAGGAGCATAGCATTAAAATGAATTGACATAATTTCTAAAAATACTTACAAGTTGGTAAATCCTCCCATGATGAAAATTGACTTGGAATCAAAAAAGGAGAAATGAGACAAAGTGTCTTACACAGAGAAAGTGTTTACTGAATGATTAGTCTGGTTTTCAGAAAATAAATATGAAATTTATTAAAAAACTGCTTAAATGAAGGTATGCTTGTATGTCATAATTAGGGTTTGAATGGCTATAATGATGGACCCACATCAACAAGAGGCAAATTAACATAGATAAATGCAAAGTCTTACTCAGAGGTTTAAGAAACGATATATACAATTAGAGAATAATGAAGCCCCGGCACAACAGTAAATGAAGTTTTTCTTTTTTTTTTTTTTGAAATGGGGTCTTGCTCTGTTGCCCAGGCTGGAGTACGGTGCATGATTAGTTTTGAACTGTAAGAAGTAGAAATTTGTAGGTTTCTTCAGATAGGCAAGAGTCTCACTGAAAACTGCTGGTAAGACAGACCTTATCTGGAGCATGTGTCCACATATTTTCGGTGGAGGCAGTGAGGGAACACTTTAGGAGTGACATTGACAAGCTACTCCTTTACTTGGATCTTGCCTTAACAGCAAGACCTTCAACTACTTTACACTTTAAAAAAGCAAACTTTTTCTCTCACCCTGGTACTCTCTGTATCCACCTTACCCTACGTTTTCTTCATAGCACTTATCCGACATAATACACTTATAAATGTGTACACACACACTTGTTTATTGTCTGTCTCCTCTATATTAGCATGTGGGCTTCATGAGATCAGAGACACTGATTTTTTCATTGCTGTTCTCTCCAGTGCCTGGCACAGCTGGCACTCAAAATGCCAACTATATAAAACAACGAATGAAAGGCTGTACTGGAATATCTCTCCAGTTCTCACTAAATACGAGATTTCTTGATGCTATCATAAAACCCAGAGTAGAACTCCATGTTTTCCCACTTTTCACTTTATATATAGCTGCAGTTCTTTGATAACATTGATACTTTTTTCCTTTTTGTTATAGGATTTCCAGGGCAAACACTCACTTATTGTAAAGGACTCTTTTATACTACAATTCCTTTTTCCTGAATGTATATTTTTCACACATTTAGGATTTTATTAAAGTAGAATACTCAGTAACCTGAGAATAACTTTTTTTTTTTTTTTTAAACAGATGTGGTCTTGCTATGTTACCCAGGCTGGTCTTGAACTAGCAATCCTCCTGCCTTGGTATCTCAAAGTGCTAGAATTACAGGCATGAGCCACTGCCAAGAATAACTTGTCATTCATAATCATTCTTGTCTTTGGAAGAAGGATAATTCCAATCTAACTGGGTAGTTACTATAGCACTCGTTGATACAGAAGCTATTATACAGGAAAAAGCCCCTTCCATGCTCTCCCATACAAATGTTTTTTGGAGACAGAGTCTCACTCTGTCCCCCAGGCTGGAGTGCAATGGTGCGATCTTGGCTCACTGTAAACTTCACCTCCTGGGTTCAGCAATTCTCCTGCCTCAGCCTCCTGAGTAGCTGGGATTACAGGTGCTCACTACCACACCTGGCTAATTTTTGTATTTTTAGTAGAGACAGGGTTTCACCATGTTGGCCAGGCTGATCTCCAACTCCTGACCTCGTGATCCGCCCGCCTCGGCCTGCCAAAGTGCTGGGATTACAGGCCTTAGCCACTGCGCCCGGGTGATACAAATGTCAAGAGTTAGAAACTTCTACATTAATCTGCATGAAGGTCCAAAGTATCTAGAGTAATACCAGAACTCTATACATAGCATCAATGATACCACTGATATTTAAAAAGTTACCAATTGAATTAACTTTGTGGAATTATCATATCTTAAATTTATGATAATTATTTAAGTGGATTTAAGCGTTAAATATGAATGGGGAAAAGAATCAGTTGGATTTGCATCCAAAAAAACCATATATACGAATGGGGAAATATTAGTATACAATTAAAATTCTGAAAATGTATACAGGTACCACCATAAACATGAAAAAAACGTTAAAAAGAAATTTAGGTATGTAAGCATTAGACAATCCCTTCTAAAACTAACTATAATAGTGATTTATCACTGTAATGAAGGGTTCAGGTACAACTAACACTGACTGTCCTGTACAACTATCTACACTATCATTTCCTTTATAATCTCTTTACATTGACTCTTTTTGCCACATTCTAAGTCACTGACATCATGGATGTGCTACATTAATTTTTTTCTGCAGTAATGTACAAATAAAATTATATTTAAAAGTTTTTGACTTGGAAATATAGTAGGAGGCAACTATAACCCTCCAAACATTCCTCTTACCCGAAATAGCCACTTTAACACAGGGACAGGACACTGGACATAGTGATAAGCAGATGTAAGGAAACCTTGTGTTGTCAAAAAAATCTGATCTGTTTTTCCCGATCTGAAAAAATAAAGTAAAATCAACATGACTATTAACTTCATGGCAAAATACTTCTACTATCACCACCACCACCATCACATCTGACATAATCAGAGAAATGAGCAAGCAAATCGTCTTCAGTCCATGGAGGTGGACTCTACACAAATATGGATGAGTTACTCATAAAATAAATTGAATTGATGGCCTAAAGCTGATCCAATCTGTTGGCTAGGCTCCATATTTAACTGGTAGACAAAGCTATATTTGCTGGTAGTGTTGAGAGACAGCCTATCAAGTCTCAGACTGGGGAAGTACTTTAAAAAATTGGCAGCAAAACTGATGTGATCTCTCTAGAGCTGAGATATCATGCACTGAGAGAAATTAGATCAGTTTGGGCATTGTGGTGGAGATTACTAGCTGCACATCCCAGCATCTATTTTTCCCTCTCTTCTTGGTAACTGAACCCTGATTTGTAGCTGCGAACACTAGCTGCCTGAAATAAACATCACTCTCTGGCTTCCCTTGTGGCCAAGTGTGGCCATATTGACTAAGTTCTATTCAACTAACTTAGAGTGTGTGGAAATGCTGTGTGGAATTTCTGGGAATTTGAACTAAAGGATGGAGCTCTAATAGCACCCGAAGCTAGGTGCTAAGAATGCTGGAGAAGAAAGATTATATGGTAAAACTGGCACTCCAGCCCTGGACTTGCTACTTTTATACTTCTTTCAAATACACTTCTTGTTTAAACCACTATTATTTTGACAGTCACTGTTATTATATACTGATCTCAATCCTAATTAATAAAGGCATGCGATGTGTCAAACAACTATCCTACACTGCTTCCTATAATTAAAGAAAAAAACATAAAGATCACTAGTAATAAGAGGATTAGGAAACTTAATAGGTCATAATAGAAATTAACCTTTTAGAAGATTATATAAGTCAGAAGTGTTTTAGAGTAATTTTTTATACATATAAAAGTAAAATGTCTATTTTTCTACTTACTTAAGAATAAGTTTTTCTACAGCACTTTGTCCAATAAAACCAGAGTCTCTTAAATCCAAGGTATACTGATTGAAAATTTTTCCAGAATTGAGGAAATTAAATATTTCTTCACCTGGATGATGATCAGGAATAGCATCAATTGTAACTGAAAATTTCTTTAGAAATTCCCTGAAACATAAAAACAAGTCAATCAATACCAAATTGTTACACTACATATACTTTTGTATTTAAAAGTTGGGTGCAAAGAAAACTATTTTTTAAACCAATGTTAATCCCAAATTAGAAGACTAGCATGAGAAAAGTATGCTTTGCTTCTTCCACTTTTTGTAGCTGTTAGTCAAAAGCCACTAAATGTGTCTACGTGAAAAGAAATAACCAGGAAGAAAAATAAAAGATGAAACTTGATCCTAACATTTGCCTTTCAAACCCATCACAGACAGATTAGAAACCTATCATAAATTATTCACTAACAGCCATCGATGGCCCATTTATTTTACAAAAACAAAACAAAAAAAAATGTAAAAACTTTAATAGGGTAAAATACATTATGAAAAATGCTATACCTGTGCTCTTCTAAGAGGCCATCCTCATCATCTGTACTGTCTTCTTCTCCAATTCTGATTGGGGATTTAATGCCTCGGCCTTGCCTTATGTCTTCTTGTAGTTGCTTCTGCAGTTCATCTAGCCTGAGAATTGGAAAGAATGTTATAACAGTTTACTCTAAGAATATTAAAAAACAGTCTTCAGTTTATATCTAAAAGCAGCACAAAGAAAACCCTTATTAAGTACCCTGGTATATGACAAATTTTGTTATACTATAGGTCAAATTATGTCTCCCAAATACATCATGATGTACAATTTTCATGAAAACAGATATATTTTAGGTGCTAGGTTTTTACCCAGTTACCAGTGTGGCATTAGAATAGTGTTCCATTGCATAAAAGACTTGAGGATTTCCATAAAGCTAGAACTTCAAGAATGATCTGTCCAAACCACTTACAGAATGGGAAAAAAACCCTGGTAAGTTAACTAGGCTTTCTAGCAGTAGTTGTCACTGTCATCATCATCACAACACCTAACACTTACCAAGCACTTAATATGTGACAGGCACTGTACTAAGGGCTTTACATATTAATTCTTTTAACCCTCACAACAACCCCATGTAGTAGTTTATACACCTTTTATAGATAAGAAAACTGACATTAGAAAAGCAAAGTAACTTGCAAGAGCTTGTAATGCAAGAATGTGGGATTCATAGCCAGAGAGTCTAGCTCCAGAGTCCTTGCTTATACTGCCTCTCCCAGATTAAGTTATTTTAAACAAGGTTCTTACCCCAGCCACAAACAGTGGATAAGTACAGCTGAAGAGTAAATAACTAGTAAATGTACTGTTCTATCGTTACAGAAAAGGGTCAATCATTTGATTAAACTAGTACCCCTATCTTTCATTTGTGAAGTGCTCGATTTTAAAGGAGGAACTTCAGATTCCATATCACAGATCACAAGAATTCATGAAATATTTAAAGAATTTTACAATACAGACAAGTTCTCTAATTAAATTCAGAAAGGAGGAAGCTTTTGAACTACTAATCATCTGAAAAATTCCTAAAGTTAGTTACTTGGTTATCAAATTTGAGATATGTAGCACATACCAACTTCTATGTAATCAAGTCAGCTAAGATGTTAGTGAAGTTCTCCAGGGTATGTTCAAGGACATTCCTTGAATTAACAAGGAATATATTTTTCCCCTCTTACTAGCAAAACCTGTCCATAATTAGTCACATAAATTTCATTAAGATCATTATGATTCTCAACTTTTTGATCTCTCTCTCATGTGTGTGTGTGGTGGGCGGGCAGTGTGGGGAGAGCGGTGTCCATCATCATTCTAAACTTTTTCCTCAAAAGAGTAACTTGATAGAAATATTTCAGAAAATTCTACCTGTGTGAACCCCCCCACCCACCAAACAACCCAATTAAAAACAGGCAAAGAACCTGAAAAGACATTTCTCCACTTGTATAACAAATGGCCAATAAGCACATGAAAATATGTTAACATCATTAGTCATTAGGGAAGGCAAACCAAACAATAAGGAGATACCACTTTACTATTAGGATGGCTATTATCAAAACAAACAAACAAAAAACATAGAAAAAAATAATGTGTTGGCAAAGATGTGGAGAAACTGGAACCCTTGTTCACTGTTGGTGCAGATGTGCAATGGTGCAGCCATTGTGGAAAACAGTGTGGCGGTACCTCAAAAAATTAAATGGAATTACCATATAATCCAGTAAGTCCACTTATGTGTATATATGCCCAACAGAATTTAAAGGAGAGACCTGAAGAGAGATTTGTATACCCATGTTCATAGCAGCATTATTCACAGTAGCCAAAAAGTAAAAGCAATCCAAAGGTCCACTGACAGATGACTAAAGAAAATGTGTTATAGACATAATACAATGGAATTATCAGCTTTAAAAAGAATGGAAATTCTGACACATGCTACAATATGAATGAATTCTGAAGACACTGCCCTAAATGAAATAAGACAGTCATAAAAGGACAAATATAATATCACTTACATGAGGTACCTAAAACAGTCAATTTCATAGAGACAAAGTAGAAGGGTAGTTGCTGAGGGTGGGAGGAAGGGGAGAATGGGGAGTTATTGTTTAATGGATATGGAGTTTCAGTTTGGAACAATGAAAAAGTTCTGAAGCTAGATGGTGGTAATGGTTGCACAACATATAAATGTACTTAATTTTTACATGTACACTGAACTGTACATGTAAAAATGGTTAAAATGGTAAATTTTATATGTATTTTCCATTAAAAAAAACACAAAAAATTCTACCCACACTTTCGATCTAGAATTTCAGCTATCAGATACTAGTTGTAATAAACAGAGAGGAATTTATATTATTAGTTACTCCAGTATACTATAAAAACCTGGATCTTTTGATCTACTCTATGAAGAAGAGAGCCCGTCTTACTCCTTTTTTTTTTCTTTTTTTTGAGACAGGGTCTTATTCTGCCACCCAGACTGGAGTGCAGTGACTCAATCACAGCTCACTGCAGCCTTGACCTCCTTGGGCTCAGGTGATCCTCCCACCTCGGCCTGTTGAGTAGCTGGGACCAGAGGCATGTGGCACCATGACTGGCTAATTTTTGTATTTTTTGTAGAGATGGGGTTTCACCATGTTGCCCAGGCTGGTCTCAAACTCCTGGGCTCAAGAGATCTGCTTGCTTTGGCCTCCTAAATTATTGGATTACAGGCATGAGCCACCATACCAGGCCTCTTTTTTTCATTTGAGACTGGGTCTCACTCTGCCACCCGGCCTGGAGTGAAGTGGCGCCATCACTGCTCACCACAGCCTTGAATTCCTGGGCTCAAGTAATCTTGCCTGTCTCCCAAAGTGCTGTGATTATAGGCATGAGCCACTGTGTCCAGCCAACATATCTTATTCTAACACAGTTGACAACAGAGTCCAAAATGCATGCTAATTTCTCACGATTTTTTAAAAAAGGTAAATTAAAAGTAAGCCACACAAACAAGCAGAATGTTAAATTTAGCAAATTAATCTTTATGCTAACGAACCTTTGTGTGTCTTCCATTTCCTTCACTAGACGCTCTAAGGTATTTGTGTAAGTTCCAGGATGAACATGTTCCTAAAACAAGAAAATTTAGAAATACTTTACAACATGTCTTAGTAGAAGAACTGGGATGTTTTAAGTAATTAAGGGTATGGAAGACTATTTTCTATTTCAATAATCTGGGCCAGGATAAAACCTTTCTTAAAGGATAATTTTCACCATCATGCTTTAAATTCAGTATTTTGCACTGCAGACAAATTGATTTTACTACCTATTAGGAAAGGCAGTACTTATAAAACCCTGCTAACTTTGAGATGTGACTGCAAACACTCAAGGACTCTGTGGCTACCCTGTCTTTACTTTTAAATTCTATTTTAGTAGAATTTTTACTAATTTTTAGGTGTTACCATGGAATATTAACACCTTCCCCACCAAATTTTACAGACATCTTAGAATTTAATTCAGCTTATTCCCAAGATAGAATGAAGCACTTTATAAATAAAATTGCACACCACAATCAACAACATTTCTACACACTACCTTCATTTACAGATGTGGTCTCCAAAGCAGGGGGTGTGCAAGGTGATCCATTGGGGTGCAGGAAGAAAATAATAGAACTTCTATTTATATGGAACTTCTATAGAGACTCCAGTAGAACTTAGTCTATAGTAACTTCTACGTAACTTCTATAGGAAAACACTTATTTTTCTCTTCTTCCTTTTAAATTCTGTTTTTGCATATGCTTTAGAAAGTACACAGTATCATAGTGGTACATGTAATCTAAAGGTATACATATATGTCGGGGTACATGCTCAAAAATTGTTTTTACTAATAAAAGTGTGTGTGATCAAAAGAGTTTGGAGACCACTGACTTAACAGTAATAAAACTGAAAATATGGAAACTCATTTACCAAACAAGAATTATTCCATTTTCAGTCCAATTATGAGTTATAACACTAAATTTTAAAGTAAGTTCCAAAAATCCACCCCTTTCACTAATCATCTTTCCCTCAAGTAAAGATAAATGTCACAGAACTTACTGTGTAGTCTGATGACTGAGATCTAAGCCCCTTGGAAAGAGCAGGAGGCTTTCCTGTAGTTGCAGGAGTCTGATTGAAGTTCAAAGCCATGATTTCTTCCAGTGACTTTAATGTTTCCTCTTCCTCATCACTGTCTAGGTTGTAACCTAAACTTTCTTCATCACTATCAAAATCACCCCTTAGTTTTCGTTTCAGTGCACTGCTACCTGCATTGGAATTTCCTGAACTCTCTCTTTCTGAAGGGGCTTTATCTGAAGGTGCTGCAGGGCTTGGGACACATGGCACAACTTCCAAAGCAGCAGGGGGAGACTTTGTAGGAGTGCCATATTCTGAGCGCAAAGGTCCCCCAGAAATTTTCCCTGAAGATACATTAGAATCAGCCTTATTAGTCTTTGCTTTGTGTTCCTTGTGTTTGGTGGATTCTGTAGAATGCCCAGAACATTCTTTAGATGAGGAACGCTCTTTATCTCTTTTAGAAACTGGAAGAGTACAATTTTTAGCATTTAATGGTACTAGAGAGGAACCAGCACTTGGAACATGGGAAAGTAAAGGTAGTTTTGTCTCCTTCTCCTTTGTCATGGAGCTAGTGGTTTTATTTTTCTGAGGGTTGCTAGCTTTTTTAATTGCAGACTTTTCCTGAGGTAAAGGTAAGTGGGGTTTCTGCATCTTAGTCTCCTTGGCACCTGCCACTCGGATTTGGTCACTATTCCTGGTAGAATGGTGGCTAGAATTTGAAGGTGCTAAGCCTGCAGAAGAGCGATCAGTTTCATCATTCGGTTCCTTGGATATATCTTCTAAGCGTAACACATCACCAGGTGTCTTCAGTGCAATATGTTTTATAAATTTTTCTTTCTGATGTGGTCCATCAGGACGCTTTTCAAGGAAGGACTCTTTTGCTTTTGGTATCATAGATTCTCTTGTGCTTTTCAGATCTGAGTCCACAGAGTTCCTTTTTCTTTTTTCAGGGAATTTATTCTGCTTAGCGCCTGCTAAAATTTAATTTTTCTTAGATTAGTGAAAAATATACTTTCCAACTTTAATAAAGTTTATTCAGTGAGTGTCTAGAATGTTTAAAATTCTAAGTATTAAGGCTGAGATTAGTCACCATGTATGGAATCCAGAAAAAGAGTTAATGTTATTTATCAACTGGATAAATGCTGGTGTCCAAGAAATTTAAAGCTAATGACAAATGCTCATTTTTAATTCCAAAGCTATGAAAAGTTTACCACCTTAACAGAATTAAAGATGCCACTCCCTAAAACAAACGACTGTATATTGGTACCAAGTTAAGGATTCCATAGGCACTTTTGGAAATTCTTTTAGACCTAGGACAACCTGGTTGCAGAAATGTAACACTTCTACATTTAAATGTATAGTACTTTAAAACACATATAGGATAAGCAGTTGAAGGCAGATAAATATTAATCTCTCATTAAAAAAAAAAAATCACAGTGTGTCCCAATGCAGTATGACTGGTGTACTTACAAAAGGGAAAATTTGGAGACAAAGACAGACATGCACAGAGGGAATACAAAGTGAAAATACACAAGGAAAAGATGCTGTGTGACTGGAGTGATGCAGCTCTAAGTCAAGAAATGCCAAAGATTGCAGGCAAAAGCCAGAAGCTAGAAGAGGTAAGGAAGTATTCTCCCCTAGAGTTGCCAGAGACATCATGGCCCTATTGATATCCTGATTTTAAACTTCTAGCTTCCAGAACTGTGAAACAATACTTTGTTGTTTTAAGACACCCTGGTTTTGGCACTTTGTTATGGCAGCCCTAGGAAACTAATGTAAGCTATGTTTATTATAGCCCCATCCTGAAGTACTTTAATAACCACATACATTTGAATGAACCAGTTTTTAAAAATTCATATTGTGGGCTGAGTGCAGTGGGCCAAACCTGTAATCCCAGCATTTTGGGAGGCCGAGGTAGGCAGACCACTTGAGGTCAGGAGTTTGAGACCAGCCTGGCCAACATGGCGAAACCCTGTCTCTACTGAAAATACAAAAATCAGCCCGGCATGGTGGTGCGTGCCTGTACTCCCAGCTACTTGGGAGGCCAACGCAGGAGAATCGCTTGAACCTGGGAGGTGGAGGTTGCACTGAGCTGAGATGGCGCCACTGCACGCCAGCCTGGGCACCAGAGCGAGACTCCATTTAAAAAAAAAAAAAATTCACTTTAACCTGGTGCAGTGGTGTGTGCCTATACAGTCCCAGCTACTCAGGAGGCTGAGGTGGTAAGATAACTTGAGCCCAGGAGTTCAAGACCAGCCTAAGTACCAAAGCAAGACTTCACCTCAAAAAAACAAAATAACAACAACAACAACAACAACAAAATTCACTATTTATACAATTGGTTATCCCCAAACCAGATTTCCCTAAATCAAATTTTCTGCACATGGACAGATGTCTCCACTCCCCAAGAGTTTGCTTGAAAAACCCAAAATGGCTAGGCACAGCGGCTCATGCCTGTAATACAAGAACTTTGGGAGGCCAAGGCGGGAGTTCGTGAGCTCAGGCGAAACCCTGCCTCTACAAAAAGTACAACCCCATCAATCCCTTCTCTACTCAGAAAATTTCTTATCTTTTGGCCATGTCCAGTGGCTCATGCCTATAATCCCAGCACTTTGGGAGGCTGAGGCAGGAGGATCACTTGAGCTCAGCAGTTTGAGACCAGCTTAGGCAACATGGTGAAACACTGTCTCAACAAAAACTACAAAAATTAGCCGGGTGCGGTGGCATGTGCCTGTAGTCCCACCTACTTGGCAGGCTGAGGTGGGAGGACTGCTTGGGCCCCATAAGGTTACAATGTGCTATAATTGTGCCACTGCACTCCAGCCTGGGCACCAGAGTGAGACCTTGTGTCAAAATAAGTAAAATAAAATAAAGCCCCCCAAAACCAAACTTGAGAGTTAAGCAGTTATGATTTGGATAGCTTGATCAATATATAATCTGAAAAATTCAATTTATAAAAATGAATTAACTAATTAATTAACAAATGCCCTTATCTCTGTTCTTTTACAGATATCTCCCATTACTCGAGGAAATCATTCCAATCCATTCAGTTTTCCGGGGTTAAATGTCTTATAAAAAAGGACAGGGGTCACAGGATGAGAAATTAAATGACTAAACAAAAGAGAAGATTTGGGGTACTGATTACCACACTTTTAAGTATGAGATTACAAAAAATGAGCTACAGAGCTGCCAGTTTGAGTTCTGTTCCATTTTTCTAGAGAAGTCAGATAATTTAAATACAGCAAGAAATGAGGAGAAATTCCTGCTTTGCTCAGGAATTATCCAGGGTTGATCCAGGAGGAGACAAACACTGTTTGTAGAAGATGTTTAGGATAAGTCAGCTTATTACGAGGTTTCATCATCTAGAATTAGAGAAAAGTGAATTGGTACTGCAGGTAGGATCCCCTTTAGCAAGCTCTTCAGGTCAGGTGATTAATTGCAAAATGTTCATAATTATTTTTGTATCCTTTGTTCAGCCTGTAGAGAATATTTGTTTTACAACTTTTCAAATATTTCAAATATACTAATACATAAAATATTCATATAAGAGAGAGATTGAGTTGGTAAAAAGAAAGGAGGGTGGCTCACCCCCGTAATCCCAGCACTTTGGGAGGCTGAGGCAGGAGGATTGCTTGAGCCCAGGAGTTCAATGCTGCGAGTGAATTATACTCGCACCACTGCACTCCAGCCTAGGAAACAGTGAGACTCCATCTTAAGCAAAAGGAGAAATCCAATGGCCATTAATAGGTGATTGGTTATTAATCAGTTATGAAATGTACGAGCAACGGATTAAATTTCACCTCAGAATTCAGCCAAAAGACAGGGCTCTAGAAGACCAAAGGGCCAAATGCCTATGCTAACATTACTTCTGAAATCCCTGAACTTGTATGTGATTAATGATTGCGTGATTACATACATCACCATGACAATTGATAAGTGTATTAACAAGATGAGCAAGACATACCATTTGGATTTTTATTTTTATTTATTTTTTTTGAGATTGAGTACTTGCTCTGTCACCCAGGCTGGAGTGCAGTGGCACCATCTCCGCTCACTGCAACCTCCGCCTTCCAGGTTCAAGCAATTTTCCTGCCTTGGCCTCCTGAGTAGCTGGGATTACAGGCATGGGCACCATGCCCAGCTAATTTTTGTATTTTTAGTAGAGACGAGGTTTCACCATGTTGGCCAGGCTGGTCTCGAACTCCTGACCTCAGGTGATCCACCTGCATCGGCCTCCCAAAGTGCTGGGATTACAGGCATGAACCACCGTGCCTGGCCTGGATTTTTTTAATAACTTTGCCATCAGACACAATAAGCATTCTTCATGCTATCTAGAGTGAAATAACCCCTTGTCCTTTATATGCTGAAATTCTGTTGATGTTAGTCAACTGAAGTATAAATGTATATTTATTAAGAGTATAATGCTATAATTATTAGTGATTATGAAATACATGCAGAAATATTAGTAATAAAAATGTAAGTGAAGGCAACCATCATAAGTCAGCCTCTGAAAATATGTAGAAAGCATCTTTTCCAAGCAGTACTCAAAAACTTTGCTAGGTGGGATTATATAAATGAAACTTAAACTTTAGCCACCATGAATGAAATTTGCAAATCCAGGAAATCAAAAGTTTTTAAAATCTTAAGTCAGAGAAAAAAGAAAAGGAATAATGTGGTAGCCACACCACCAGTAGCAGCCCCTTATATAAAATAATATTTTGTTCTTCCATTAACTTTGGTGCAAAGTGATCATGTATTTAGTATTAAAAATGTGCAATACAGTGAGTGAAGAAGCAATCTCCTGGCTGAGAAATTCCTGTTCTTGTACAATAATGTCAAAATTCATTAAAATTTGGTCATAAAATCAGCAACATTATAAAAATAAACAAAAAACACATAAAACTTTAGATTTATTCCTGTATCCTAGAAGTTCCTTCTATTGAAGATTGATTTTACTAGTTGAGGGTGCTTGGTCAAAATGCAATGTACCTCTAAAATACAAATAAAATGAAGGAGTAGATGAAACCTGAAGGAGGAGTTAGAACTGTCTCTCTGTACTTCTGCTTTTCCATCTCTAAAAGTAAACCACCATAATAAAGTTATAAGGTTCAAATGAATTAAAAGCACATAAAATGGCATAGCACACAGTAGGTACTCAATGAAAGTCAGCTATTATTATGTCCAATGTATCTTACTGAATGTGGGAATCTCCCTGTTTTTCAAAGTGTATAATCATATCAGGAAAAAAATCTGATACACTAGACTATTAACTGTTGTTAGTTATGGAGACCTTTCATTTCTTGTTGCAAACTTCTGCAGTGTTTGTGCTTGAATCTTCTATTTTCTAGTTTTAAAAAACGATAAAATGTACTGAATTAACAGTAGGCTTATTATTTTATTTTTTTTTCAATCATTAGATGCTAAAAGTACAAACTAATGTCATGTAGATATCCTTGAAATTTAACATTAAAAAGGGATCCTTGTATTTGAAATATTAGAGAACACTGCTTTTTATTACGGTAACAGTTTCAACCTTATACAAAGCATCTTCAACATAATACCAAGACCTCAGTCTACAATTCCAAGATTATAAGATTATGTTTCCTTGATGTAGCCAAGGATTCAGGAGACAACACTGAATACCAGTATGAGAAACATACTGTTAGGAACTCCTGAAGAAGGCAGAGAAGATTCAAGACAGATTACAAATTATACATACTAGGTCAGGCATGGTGGCTCATACCTGTAATCCTAGCACTTTGGGAGGCCAAGGCAGGAGAATCACTTGAGCCCAGGAGTTTGAGATTATCCTGGGCAACATGGCGAAACCTCGTCTCTACAAAAATACAAGAAATTAACCAGGCATAGTGGCCCACATCTGTAGTCCCAGCTACTCAGCAAGCTGAGGTAGGAGAATCATTTGAACCCAGGAGGTCAAGGCTTGCAGTGAGTCGTGATGATGCCACTGCATCCCATTCTGGGTGACAAAGAATAAGACCCTGTCTCAAAAACAAACCCAAATCTTAAGTACTAGATTCAGGGACTATTCTTTTTTATTATGATTTTACCAAACTCTTAAGTAATATGAGACACTGAATTCATCCCCAAGAAGGGAACTGCATATTTAAACAAATTTGTTTTAAAAAGCAGTGCCATTAAAATGGAAATTTATTTAGAAATTCATAAATTTAATTTTGATTCTACCTGAAGTAGGTTCCCATGAATCAGAAGAGGATCTTTTTCTTGAGAGATGTTCATTTTCCTATGAGCACAATGAGATAAAATTAATTAAGTGTTGGGAACAGCAAAGAATGTGAAGGCATTCTTCCTAACATTTAAACACAAATTTCTAGATTGAATAAGGCAAGCACCCACATTTGGAGGCAAAGCCTAATGTCTATAATAAAATAAAGATCTTAAGGTTTTTATCATAAAAATTAAGGGCATTTATATCATAAAAATGGAAAAATATCATAAAAATGAAGTCAGTTTTCATAATGCTGATTTACATTTATGTCAATAATTCAAGAATAATATTATATTAGAACAGTGTATTTTTGAGATAAGGTCTTGCTCTGTCACCCAGGCTGGAGTCACCCAGGCTGCAGTGCAAGCTCACTGCAACCTTAATCTCCTGCACTCAAGCGAGCCTCCCACCTTAGCCTCCTAAGTAGCTAGGACAACAGGCACATGCCACCATGACTGGTTATTTATTTATTTATTTTTAGTAGAGCCAAGGTCTCGCTACGTTGCTCCGGCTGGTCTCAAACTCCTGAGCTCAAGCAATCCTTCCACCTAGGCCTCCCAAAGTGCAGGAAGCAGAAGGATCACTTGAGGCTAGCAGTTCAAGGCCAGCCTGGGCAGTATAGGGAGACCCTGTCTCTACAAAAAAATACAAAAATTAGTCAAATATGGTGGCATGTACCCGTAGTCTCAGCTACTTGGGAAGCTGAGGTGAGAGCATCATTTGAGCCCAGGAGTTTGAGACTGCAATGAGACATGATCATGCCACAGCACTCCAGCATGAGTGACACAGCAAGAATGTTTACAAATAAACAAATAAGACTATACTTGCCTTAAAAAAAAAGAATGCTTATTTTTCTGACTAAAAAAGATCTTTGTTCCTGGTCTGAAAAAACTATGGATAAGAAACACTGCTTTACTGAGTTCGATGAAGGGCAACTGGAGGAAACCTAATGAAACCAGCTTCTACACAAACTGTGCATAAATATTTCCTTCAGGAAAGACATCAATGTGATGTAACAACTCTTAAATACTTTTAAATTTAGTATTCTAAATGTGATATAGCAGTAGCAATGCTAATTCAATAATTCTTACACATACCACATTTGACAGATTGTTCTTTCCAGGTATGACATCATTCTGTTTACTTGGTTCCTGCCTTGGTTTATATTTTCTTTCTATACTAGAAGATTTTAAGGAAAGATTGCTTGCTTCTGAGAAAGAATTTTCGGAGTTGATTCTCTGCTCCATTTGCTCCTTTCTCAACCTCTTTAGTTCTCGTTCTCTGCAGTAAGAAGCTAGTGACAACTGGAATTTAGCTCCCAGTGGGCTTTCTCCCGGGTGGTGCCTGGACAGGCTGCTCCTGCTGCTAAGACTTCTGGAGCTGTTCTTGAAGATGTCAGCTTCTGCTACTGTGGTCTGCTTTTTGGAGTCCGCATTGGTTTTGCCTCGATCTCTATCATTCTTCTCACTATTTTCATGAATGAATAGTGACTTCCTTCTTTCTGGGGATCGATGTTTTTTCTTTAGTGACTTCATCTCCTTTGGCAAGCGATATGAAGAAGGAACATAGATATTTGTTCCTTTGGCTAAATATTTGGAGGCTAGTGACACACAAGGCCGACGTGACTCATGTATACCATGATCTTCATGATGCTCTTTAACACCTTTCATGAAAGCTTCTATAATAGGGCTCTTTTCTGGTGGCACCCTTTTGGGTTTAGATTTTTTTGGTGAGGATAGTTTCCTTTCAAACTGCTCTGTCCCAGTGATAGACAATCTACTTCCTCCATATTTGATGTTTGATTTTTGTGGTGAATCCAACATGTGTCTCTCTAAATAGCCAATTAAAACACATACAAATTGCATGTTACTAAAAGTAAAATATTTAACATTTCTCTAAATTATTAATGTTTAAAATATAAACTATACTAATGTTACCACAAAAATTTTCAAACCAACAACTTGGATAATGATACACACTTTATTGGGGGGTATAGGAGAAATTAAGACATGATTTATTTGTTAAAAGCCTTAGTTTCATAAAGCTCTCTTTTGGTACATCATATAACCTCCCTATGGCTCTATATATTGCTGTATTAGATAATTAAAATAATATGTATTATGAACATTAAATTTTTGACTAGAATAAATTTTAAACGTAAGAAAACACAATAGCAAAAAGACTCTCCTCATGATATTTAGAACTTCAGTTTATCCTTGTTAAAAAAAAATACTGCATCTTCATTTTATTTCCAATTTTGAACACTACGTTTACTAAAACAGTTTAGAGTAGGTTTTAAAGTTGAATCTGTCTCTCTCCTCACCCCCAAATTAGCCCACAAAAAATGCTTCAACAGTGTACATACCTTGTTCTGAAGCTGGTTTGAAGAAATCTATAATTGACTGCTTCCTGAAAATAAAAGCATAATATGGCATCATATAAGCAAATATTAAAACCTCCATAATTCAGATTAAATGGAGAAAGTTAGAGTTATAAAATAAAGGCTGGATTTCACTGTTTGGTTTAACTAATAAAGTTCTGACAACGGTAACAATGCTTTGCTAAACTGTTGATTTAAAAAACAGAAAATATAACGTATCACTTCCTATAGGAGTTCATTTATAAAAATACAACTGAGGTTTATGTTATTTACAGTACTTAAACAGGTAAGACTGGTGTGTAGACCCAAGGAATCAGTACAGAATGCTTCTTAAGACCGAAATGCTCACAGCTACATGGTAAAATGCAACATCTTGGGTATAAGCACATGAACCTACTTGTTCTCTGCAGACATTGATACAAAATAACTAATTAGTATCTAAGCACAGGGGTGTTTTAAAATTCAGAATAAAAAGCTAAAAAAAAAAACCCTCAATAGATGTATGCCAAATGAATAATGGGGATTATAAAAATGGAGTAAAACCTGAACAGACTCTCATAACAAGAGTAGAACAGTAGATGGTAGAACGGCAATATGGGTGATTTGGCTGATCTAAGGAATCAGTTGAAGAGGATTTCGCTGGACAAAGAAAAGTACCAAACTTATGCTACCCTCTTTATACATTACTTTAAGATGCTAATCCAAGTAACAGCAGAAATTAGAATGAATTGTCACGACTAAATAGTTTCAAATTCTTAATTTTTTATCAAAGAATCCTTAAAATAGTTACAAAAATAACACATTGCTTGGGAAAAACACAAGGAGAAAAGGAAGAAAGTTAACAAGAATAACAAAAACCAAATTAATTTTTAAATTTCTGTACCCTAACGACTGGATTTTTCACTATCTGGTTTAACTAATCAAGTTCTGACATTGGCAATAATGCTAAAGTGAAATAGGAATCCATTATCAGAATTCACATTCTGATTTGTTCACTGTATTTAGAGGTGTCAGCTGCAAAAAGTGGGATGTTATGATATGCTGAGCAAAAAATTAACTTTCTGGTAAATTTTGCTAAAATGTATCATTTTACTGAAAGAGAATAAGCTATAGACTATTGATTTTCCTAAACATTCATCCACTATGAGGTTGGAATGCTCAGTGAAAACTCCAACAATTCAAGCTTCTTGAAGGTTACGCTTATTGTACACTTTACTGGTCACATTAGAAGAGCAATGCACATCTTTACTGGTTTACCAAGTCCATCATGCTTGTTTGAGATGTTGGTATAAAAGCTGAGTGCTTATGAGATGAATATGAGTGACAGGCTATGGAAGAATATATGCATTTGCTTACATAAATTACACTAGGCAAATTAACTCCACCAGAGTAAATGCTGGAGGTTCTGCAAAGAGGAGAAGGATGACGCCTTGTTATTGATTGAGGAGAGATGGGAAGGGACCCAGAAGCAGCGAATTTATTGCAAACAACATCATTCTAAATGTATTTTACTAAATGTAACACTGTATCTCTTCCTTGAAATATTGGACCTCAGACTCCTCTTTGATTAATACATCAGAAAGAGAAAAAATGGTTTTGGGTAAAACATACAAGAAACCTGTAAAATAACCATGAATGTAACTTTCAAGAGGTAAGTTCTCTAAGTTCATATGCACACAAATGTCCACTGCTTATTTAATAACTGGCTAAAAAAAAAACCACCACAATTATAACGGTTTCACAAACCCTTATCTGAACCTTCTGAGGCCAAATGTGTTTTAGAATTCTGAATTTATCAGATTTTAGGAAGCGGATAACTTGGATGTATTATGGAAAGTCCCCAGTGGGGTCTGGTGCTGCAACCTGTAATCAAACCCACTGATATTTCTCCAGCAAAACATGAATATTCCCACTTAATGGGATAAAGACCACAAACAGCCTTACATTAGCTCTGGTCACGTCTGGCTGCCAAGTAAGATGTGGTACCAAATTTACTGAAAACGTTTGGTTTTCATAGCTTTCTGGCTTTCAGAGTTAAGATAAGGGATTGCGGGCCTGTACCACAGTATTAGAACATGAATATTATTAAAACTTATTACAATTTAACTTAAAATAAAAGACAGTACCAAGTTCGTAGGGAATTTAAACATGTTTTATTGTCAGAGGATGTCATTAGATGAAACTCCCCATCTCATTACATAGCTCCCACAAAATCTTTACAAAAAAATTGGCCTCTTGGAGAGGCGTGAAGTTACTGAAAGAGAAAACACGTCACATTCCAAATCTGTAAGTTCTTTTAAGTATGAATTAGCGTGCACGCTGGACTACAAAGTAATTCGTGGAAGGGATTCCCTCATCACAGGTTACATAATTTCACCCACAACATAGAAAAGGTTTATATTACTAAACCACTAGCATCAGTAGAACTGGGAAGGTACAGAAAACGACCTAAATATGCATTAAGCAGTTAGGGTCCTGGGTCAAGCTCTTGCAAAGGAAAAAAATCACGTTCTTTCTACCTAAGGCGGGTTCTCCGTAGCTGTCCAGGCTGGTGGTCACTAGACCAAGAACAGCTGCCCAGCTACAGAGAAGCAAACTCCAACTCCCAGAAGCCCCTGCGCGGAGGCGGGGCGGGGGTTTGCCAGGCCCCGAAACGCCAACGCCTGAGCTCGCGGAGGATGGCGGGAACTGGAAGAGCGGCGGTCTGCAGTCCTCCCCTCATACCCTTTCCCCCGCGACCCGGCCCCTTCTCAAGCCCTCTGCACGGTACCTGTCCCCAGGACTTTCTGTTCTCTTTCCCGCTGCAGCATGGGCGGTACTACCGGGTCTCAGATGGCAGCGCGGGGGCGACGACCCCGGGGCTGGGGATGAGGGGAAACCTGGCCTAGCGGGCATGCAGCGCCTTGTCATGTCGGCGCCGCTGGCGACGGCGGCATGAGCCGTGGCTGGAGAAGTTGGGTGCGTGGTTGCCGTCTTGCTGCTCGGACTCGGGGAGGCTGTCGGAGCAGAGGTGGGCGGCACCCCCTTCTCTCTTCATGGCGGTTCTCTCTTCGGAAGTGACTCCGGTGTGAGCGGGAAGGAACCTGAGGACCAGTAAGGGGCGGATCTTACTTCATGAGTCACGTCTTGATTGGTTGGCACGGTGGTCATTTCGGTGGTGGCGCAATAGGAAGCCGCAGCCTCTCTGGAGAAGGCGGGGCTTGGGGACGGGGGCGGAAGAAAACTCCCCCTCCCACCCCGTCACATGCACCGAGGGCGCGCGCCTCTGGTCCGGGCCGCCTCGGCCTTGGCGGGCGCGCGGGGGCGGAAAGGCGCGGGCAGCCGCTGGCGCTGCGGCAGCTGACGACACCCGCCTGGTTGAAGGCGAGGGGTGAGGGTTTGCTGAAGCAAACCCTAGCCTGGCAGCTGCCTTCGGTGAGGATGGCCAACATTTGGGCTTCCTGTGTCACACAATTGTCTCTCAGAAATCCCCAGCTCTTCATTACATTGTCTCTTTAACATTTTAGGCCAAAGTGCCATAATACTGTCACAATTTCCTGGGGGATCTGCACAGCGCGATCCGAAGACTTGTCCATTCTATGAGGGTTCTTGTTGAGTGTCAGCGGTAGATTTTTTTTTTCTCTTTAAGAAGAAGAAAAAAAAACCCTCAAAAAACTCCGTTGGAATAAAGACAGTTTTTAATCCACAAAAGCATTTTGTTTCTCACGAGTTACCATGAAGTCTCTGCAGCTGGCTTTCTTAGCGATTTTTTAAAGGAACACAAGGTCAGCTTTCAATTTTCCATGTTAAGCGTGGGCAGCATAGATGAGTAAAAGCTGCCCTTAATCTCCAACCCTCCTTTGTAAAGGGCTTGTGCTCTGGAGGCTGTTAGCCATGGTTTTCCTTATAAACCGAGAGACTGGTCAGAGTATCTCTGAACCTCAGCCTCCACATCTGTAAAATGGGCATTTTACTCCCTTTTCTGGGTAATTGTAAACCATAATAGAATAAAGCAGTGTACACTGCACAGTTCAGATTCTCATATAACAGGTACTAAGCAAATTATAGTTCCCTCTTCTCCAGATAGATTCTTACAGTGAATTTTACTTCTTACAAAATATTCCAGAGACAGGTCAAATACTGTTGCAATAACTGTTAACCAAAATATCAGTTTCAAGATGTCCAAGCTTTAATTGACAGAGTTATTTAATCAGTTGGATGGAAAAAATCTTAAATGATATAAAAGAATTTGGACAGGTCTTTCAAGTTTATTGTATAGAAATTGAACTGTTGGCCTGGTACAGTCACTCACGTCTGTAATCCCAGCAGTTTGGGAGGCCAAGGCAGGTGGATAGCTTGCGCCCAGGAGTTGGAGACTAGCCTGGGCAACATATCAAGACTCTGTCTCAAAAATACATAAATTAATTAAAATTTAGAAAAAATGAAATTGAACTGTTTTGGTCACTAAGCATGCCTGACTGACTCCAGGTTCACCTCCTTTTCCCTTCCCCTTTAGTCCCCAGGAGGAAGAATTAATAAGGAATAAAGTGGTCAAAAAGCTGGCAAAGTAGAGGGTCAAAGGTAAACAGTGAACATACAGGTCTCACGTTCACCCCAAAAGCACGTATGTACAGCTGTATACTAGGCAGTGGTGGTGGAAGAAGGGAAGTGCCAAAATAGAGGGTACTTTTCTGCTCCTAATAGCTGAGAAGAGGTTTTTTACATAAAAAACATAATAGATGCTCAAAATGTGTTGAATGACTTATACACTTCCTTTTACATGTATTATTTCCTATCTCTTGATTTAGTACTTTCTGTTGGATGTTTTTACACTAGGAAATTTCTGTACTATAACAGAGCACATCTACAAAACATTTAATCCGATTCATTTCATTGCATGCCTAATCGATAAAGAGTAATGCATAAAAACACATTCTGCATGATCATTTAGTTGCTTTTCTTGGATTATAGTACTTGAATCATCCAGCCTCCAAAGTATCACTTTAAAGCGTGTACTCAAACTACCAAACAATAGTTTTCTCATTTTCTTAATCTGAGTAACAGATTATGGAGTTAAGTGAGGCAAGAAATCCCTCGATCAATAAATGGAAATGGAGTCATAATGAAAACACAATTTAAAAAATATCTTAACAGGAAGTAGTTATCTAAATCCTCAGTAAGCATCAAGATTCTTCTTTGTTTAAGCTGTGTATGAAAGTGGTACAGATTTGGGTTGCAGGGTGAAATATGTTCAATGTACTAATAAGAACCCCAGGGAACTTCTAGGGCATAGGGCTCTTCTCCATTACCCACCTCAAATAGTATTGGACAGTTTATTTTGTGTTTATAGCCTTTCTCCTAGTTTAAATGTGCGTGTGCACACATACTTATTGTAAGGGTTTTTTACACTTTAATTTGTAGTGGGCTAAAAAGAGATGACCAGGAAACTGTACACTAGGTAAAAGATTTTTAAAGAGTTCAGATGCGTGCTTAGGAGGAGCTAATAGGGGAGAGAAAACTAGGGTGGTGGGGGGGCTAGTGGGGGGAAAGGACGTTGAACAATGTAACCAAACCCAATTGGAGACTTAAGACAAAACTTCAGCTGGGATTTGGGGGGAAAAAAAAAAAGAGAGAGAGAGAAATTAAGGCTGGATGACCATACAAGGCTAATTTGGGAAGATTTCTGGGCTCGGGGATGGGATGAGGACGCAAAGATTGCAGAAATGGAGTGGCTTCTATGCACAAAGCTTCTGTCGGGGTACAGCTCAGCTCAGGTTAGCATCCTGCCTTGTTAAAGACAACAGGAGGAGGGGGCTCTGGCCTTGATGAAAAGGAATGGGACAGCAGCAGAAACAATGTTACATGAACAACAGATCAAATTTGCTGGGAAAGTCAAGCCCAACGTGGGAGTTCCTGAGAGGAGTGACAGTATAACTCATGCCAGAGATCTTAAGCAGTCACACAGAGAGAAAACAGCTTGGGCAGATTGGTTCACACAGTACCTTAGCAGACAGGGACTGAGAACAAAAGGTCAGTAAGTGACAGAGAATGTTACCAAAAAGCAAAGAACTCTAAAAGTAATTTCTGATTGTACCCAGTAATAAATTTTTGCTCTGAAATTGCCACACATTTAATTAACTCCAAGGCTCTTGTTGGAAGGTGTTCTAGGGCAGGCCAAGAAACAAAGACTGATTTGCTGTAGAACTGCTGTGGGGAGGTGAAGGTGAGAGGGTGGCCTGGGAAGGGGGATAAGGAACAGACTCAGGAAAACAGGAAATAATTAACTTGAAAGCCTGACCGAGAAAGACAGACCACGTGATGATCTCAAGAAGGGATGGCGAGCTCACAGCATCTCAAGATCCACACAAATCACTTTTCAAAAGGATGCCAAACTCAAAACTGCCCAAGTGCTTGGAAAAAGGACCTCCCAGGTTTAAGCAGCTGCTGGGGAAAAACCAAATGTAAAATAATATCATGTCATGTAACCTAACATTCTGGGAGTAATTAGTAGAGTTGTGCAAAAGCAGACCTAATGTGAAGGAACGTCCATTTCTTGTTCTATCATGATGGAATGGTGCGAGATAGTTTCCCACACTTCAGATACATGAGACACGTATTTGTGATTTTCAACATATCTGAATATTTCCTATACTATTTATTAATATTTTTCCTTAAATTGCTTTTTGAATTTAAGTACATATATTTTAGGAGAAAACTTTAAATCATTCCCATAAGTGGAAAATTAGTATGAATTTCCTAAAATGGAAGATAACTGTAAAAACTAATATTAGTAAAAATATATAACTAGCTTAAAAAATATAAATATATCCAAGTTTCTTCTGGAGTTATCTCGTTTACCAGTGGTGGTGATAGGCATTGATAGGTGTAGATATTACTCATACATCTGAAATATAAGAAACACTTTGGGAAATATTGGTTTTAGGGATTCTATCCCATACTTAGGTGTTTTTCACACCCGGTTAGCAACTCCTTAGAGGATTTTGAAATTGATGTAATAGGTTACAGACCATGTTTTTGAAAAAGAAAAAGACAATGGAATAGAGAATGTCTGTTCACTGCATACAACATATGGGCATGTGTTGTTTTTCAATATTTTTACTTCTTCAACTGTATATATATATATAATATGGTAGTGATGTAAAAGGTATTCCTGTGGCCCCTGCTGTGGGCCATGGTCAAAATATTTAAAAGTCACTGCTATAATCTGTGTTCATTTTTCATACTTCTGTGTATTGGTGGCACTGAACAGCCAAGGCTGGAGTGCAGTGGTGCAATCATGGCTCATTGTAGTCTCAACCTCCTGGGCTCTAGTGATTCCCCCGCCTTAGGCTCTCGAGTAGCTGGGACTAGAGGCACATGCCGCCATGTCCAGCTAATTTTAAAAATTTTGTACAGACGGGGTCTTGCTGTGTTGCCCAGGCTAATCTTGAGTTCCTGGGCTCAAGTCATCCTCCATCCTCACCTTCCCAAAGTGCTGGGATTACAGGCATGAGCTGCTGCACCCGGCCAAGAGTTGTTCAAAGACATGGAGCAACATTTAAAAACCAAGAGATTTCACACAAAATTCTAGATTTCTGGCTTCAAGTGGTACAAAGAGTGGTCTGGCACTTATGCTTACAGGGGCTAGGTAGGTAACTGAAGTAAGTGAATCAGGTCGATTTCCCTAACTTTTATAAAGCCTCGGGATTAAAGAAATATTTCTTAACAGCAATGACAATGGCCAACGCTTACTGAACCTTATGGGCCAGGGACTGTTCTAAGCACTTCATGAGTACTGACTCATTTAATCTTCACCAAATTCCTACAAATTAGAAAATGGTGATCTTTGTCTAGTGTCTGCACAGGCATGATAATAAAAGGCACCTACTACTGAGCCTCAGTGAGGAGTGGGGCGGTACTGTAGAACCAGAGAGCACATTCCCCACTAAATGGAGGCAGCTTCTCCAGGCTACAGCTTCCATATGGGAATGCAAACCCAGAGTTGCCTCCTCTCCTCTCAGTGTCAACCCCTGGGGAGTGCTGGGTGAGACATGACAGACCTGCAGTCAAAGCATGCAGCCCCTAGTGTCTTGACATATACCCTAACATTTGTTTATTTCTATAGTACTATGAGATCATGTTCTCTTAAAGCTAATGTCTCTTGGGGCCAAAGGAGAAAATAGTGAATGCTTTTGGTTCCCAGTGCAGTGTTACAGAGAGTAGGCAAGAATGTCACTCAGGGCTTCATACTTAAAGAAAATGCTGTACTTTACCTATGAATAATACCTATGGGAATTTTTTTTTTTTTTTTTTTGAGACAGAGTCTCCCGCTGTCGCCCAGGCTGGAGTGCAGTGGCCGGATCTCAGCTCACTGCAAGCTCCGCCTCCCGGGTTTGTGCCATTCTCCTGCCTCAGCCTCCCCAGTAGCTGGGACTACAGGCGCCCACCACCTCGCCTGGCTACTTTTTTGTATTTTTTAGTAGAGACGGGGTTTCACTGTGTTAGCCAGGATGGTCTCGATCTCCTGACCTCGTGATCCGCCCGTCTTGGCCTCCCAAAGTGCTGGGATTACAGGCTTGAGCCACCGCACCCGGCCACCTATGGGAATTTAAAAGGACCAGTGGCCGATATCTATCAAAAATATCAAATGAACATGTCCTTTGACCCAGCAATTCCCCTTCTAATATATTTTAGATACGTACTTCTGTGTTCACAAAGCTGGATGTGTAAACGTACTCATTGCAGCAATATCGGTAGCAAAAGACTGAAAGGGAACTGAATAGCCCAGCAACAGGGGACTAGTTGAATAAATGCTCACCTACACAGTAGAATATTAGGCTGCTTTTAGGAAGTCTGAGTTAGATACACAGGATGTTTTGTGCTTAAACGTGCAAGGCCTGGGGCTCTACTGCCTGGGTTCAAATTCCAGCCCTGCCACTTAGTAGATCTATGACCTTGAGCAAGTTACCCAACCTCTCTGTGCTACTGTGCTCAGATGTAATAGGAAATGATGATACAGGTAGTATCTGCCTCATAAGGTTTTGTGAATTTTAAATGAGTTAATACACAGCTAATTGATCACAGCCAGTTACAGATTTCTTTGTTCCTTCTCCACTCCCACTACTTCACTTCAGTGACCTTACATTTTTTTTGAGACGGAGTCTTGCCCTGTCGCCCATACTGGAGTGTAGTGGTGCCATCTCAGCTCACCGCAGCCTCCGCCTCCCAGGTTCAAGCAATTCTCCCTCCAGCCTCAGCCTCCCGAGTAGCTGGGATTACAGGCACGTGCCAGCACACCCGGCTAATTTTTTTTTTTTTTTTTTTGAGAAAGAGTCTCGCTCTGTCTCCCAGGCTGGAGTGCAGTGGCGCGATCTCAGCTCACTGCAAGCTCCGCCTCCCAGGTTCA